GGGGAGTCGTTCCACCGCCACGACGGCGCGACAAATCGCGCATGTACCCTGGCTGGTCATAGTCCACCGCAGACGATGGGGCACTACTCTCAACGCTTGGACTTCGCCCTCCGACATAATCTTTCCAGCCAATCTTGGTCCCAGGCGATATCCCACCCGACTGGTAGCTACTCGGCCACCTGACATCAAGACTAGACCCCTCGGAACCACCGGGAGAAGGGAGACCACCAAAAGTCCTCGAGGGTATAGTGAGAGTCGAAAGTAAGCCCTTGTTCTCGCTACCAGAGCTGATAGACTGTCGTGGAGAAAGCGGTTTTCCTATTTTCGACAAGAGGTGTTGGTCGTAGGCATCTGATGAATCCTTCACGCTTCGTCGAGAGAAGTCTCTCTCTCCTTTCAGAATCGGGCTGGGACTGTTGACTGAAATGGCGTTCCGGAACCCTTCATCCATCGGCGGTGGGGGTTCAATTCTGATGTGGGCCTCGGGACTCCTAGAGAAAGGTAAACCGTTTTGTCGACCATCTAACTCGTCGATAGCCATTCTATTACTTTGAGGCGAAGCTTCCGGGCGACGGTGACCGCCAAAAAGACTAGAGTTGGGATTTATCGGAGCAAGTTTGTGTGGTCCTCTAACATTTGCATGCAGCCAGCCAGCGTCGTAGCCGTCCTCAAGGTCACTGATTCGGGGTGGTGGTGGTAAAGGCGGAGGAGCGAGATTGCTCGTTGAATTCGTTGGAATAGGCATAGGTCCCGAAAACGATTGCCCGGGCATGTTACAAGGCGATCTGGCGGGGGAATGCTGGTGGTCGAAACTACCACTGTTGAAGTCATACACGTTAATCGAAGGAGGCGCAAGTCGCGGAATGTCCATCGTACACAGGGATTGTCGAGAAGCTGTTCATGGACAACTAAAAGGACTGGTCAAGGACGTGTAAGCGTGCACTGGCGTAGACGATACAAAGCAGTGTATATCGTTCTGGTGGATAGCTCGCGAAGCCGGAATTAAAGAACTGTGACGAAAGATCGATGTTCTTGACAGAAGAACCTGCTTCTAGGTTTCGTTCCAAATGCTGCGGGTGTTGTCGGTAAAGGAGTGGACGAAGTCAAATGGTTGTTCTGCAGCAGGGAAGTGGCAATCCGGATAGATTAAGCTTAAGTCCTGAGTAGTCAGGTGAATTTGATCGCATACAAATTATCGAACGAGAGCACGCTACCTGATTAGGAAAAGCTTAAGTGTTCTCTTTGGAAAGAACCGTTGAAAGTACCAGCGATCAACTGTGTTAGTGGCTTTCTGTCAGTTGCGCACAAGCTTGCGAAACTGTCTGTGTGCCATGAAACTGCCGGATAGCGGCAACTTAACAACGAACAGCGCAGAGACCACAAAACATGCTGAAGACCTTGGACTGGAATAGATTGGCGCTCGAGGATGGGTGCGGATTGGATGGGTCGAAAATGAGAAGAGAATCAGTAAGAAAGGGGCTGATTCTTCAATGCCTGCACCTGGAGGCTTGAAGTTGATCGAGACCTGAGGGTGCTTTCTCTAAGAAAAACCGGCTACTCGGAAGCGAGCTAGTTGGCGCGAAAAAAAGGTGAAGTAACAAGAGAAAGACGAGGAGAAAGAGGCGAAAATGGGATGTTGTCAGAAAGCTGAAAGTCACATGCACCTATTCTCAGCGACGAGAAGGCGGATTGAGGCGCAATGCTAATGGCGGCGGAAAGAATGGCTCGAGGGCGATGGCGGGCGGAGGTCGCGGAGGCGAAAAAGAAGACCTGCAGGCGCTGTGGTGGAGGTACTGGAACTGCCGTTGCTAGGCGCAGCGGATATGAAAACCGAGAACAGAGGTGAAGCTTTGGTAGCGGATCAAGAAAGTAAGAGACGTGATGTAGATGTAGTAGATAGATAAATAGATAGGTTGATGTAAAATGGGCAGAAGAATGGTGTGGTTGCAGACCCCGGCCTTACGGTCCCTACAAGGCTCGGGGAAAGGAAATGGGCTGTAATTGCAAGGACTTAATTCCCTGTTTTTCGTTTGTCTCACAGTCGGGGGGTTCTCGATTTAGAGTCTCGCTCCGTAGGCACCCAAGAAACGGGCAGAATTTAAGGCTGAAAGGGGGGTAAATGAAGAGGATAGTAGTTGATACGGCCAGACAGAGGAAGTTGAAGAGAGGAGAATGGAGGGAAGAAGGCAAGAAAGGCAGGATAATATTAAGGTCGTCTGCGATGATGATACAACATTGGTATTTGAACATCCGTTTCAAACTGGAGTTTGGTCCGAGTGGGCACCTTTGAAGTTGGGCTGGCCAACGGGAGCAGCGTGCCTTTTCCTTCAATGTCACGGCGGTAATGCACGCAGCACCAGCGGCAAATGAAATTTGCAAGGTCAGAAATTCGAAGGGGGGTCATGTATGGAGTATAATACCTTCTAGTGACCGTCCTACCGGGGCTGGATGGAGCAGAGAAGCTCCAGCGAAGGAGACAAAACAGCAGAACCAGGAATAAATAACTAACATTTATATTTATCATTTGAAGCACTGATCGCAATAACAATTATTCTAGTCGTTTTTAAAAGCCATATTATTCATTCACTCGTCAGCATTTTCGTTTCTCCATCCCCCTTTCCCTCGTTTTTTTATTTTTTTTTTATTTTCTTTAAAAAAAAAAACCCCCTCCTTTTTTCCCTTGCCTTGTTTGACCATCATCTGCGAAATCTACTTGCCGCTCGTCAGATTACATGTGGTGGTTATTGCAGTACGGCAGAACGTAAAATTACCAGATACATACAAGACAAGGGCCTTTCTCCCCCAAAGTCAAAGCAGCCCGGAAGGAATCATAACATCCAGAAAGAATCTAATCAGACAACAAACCACACAACCAGCCGTTCAAGGCAACTGGGAATTGTCTGTTCTCCCCACCATTAATCCGATATTCTTTTGATATTCCTTCAATGGGGACTTGTCAAATCACTTAACCTAATTCTCTGGGCTCGAGAACCGCGCCGTTGCCACAGCCCGCGCGGAATAGTAAAAAATCGTCGACCAGTTTGTATGGATCGGCCAGGATGTTAATTTAATCGGAGGGTCTTTAAAAGTAAGCAAGCGTAATCGCATGAATCATTCATTTAATATCAGCTTGAAGGGCGTCATCTATCAAATCGCTTAGTGAGGTGCAAGCGGTATGATACACCCAAAGTCATGCTCACTCACTGAAGCTTCTGTGAGCCTTCTACGCCGTCCTTAACGATACTATAACCTACCTTCCCGTTTGGGATTTCCCTACGAAAGTCTAATCCGCCTTATGTCTTCAGACCATGCTTATGCGTGTCCCGTATCGACCTCTCCACCTTGCATACTGCCATGCAGGCGGAATTCCGTAAGGCAAGTGCCTCAAGAGGAAAATAATTCGCCCGCCTAAAAGGAGAAGAGGGGGTGGGATTATGTGAGTGGATTTTGCTTGATACCCCATATACCTCGATATCCATCGTCACCCGGGTTAATTAAAGGTGAAGCTGGTCAATCCTCAGAGTGATGAGAGTACAGTACTATTGACGGCAGAAAGAGGGGACACGCATTGGATATCACAGACCAAGTAGTCCCCACGTGTCTGGGTTTCTTTACTTATGACTTTCCCCCCTCTTTCTTTTCCCCATCCGCAAGGCGGCAAATAAACAACACAGGATGGATTATGACTGAAACCCGAGCAGGCATCTTATGTACCACAAAAGGTATCTTGTTCGACCTGGGGCTACAGAAATGATGAATTAGGAAGCTTGGATCCAACAGACCGAACCGAGTCAGGGAACTGCAGGTGGAAAGCGGCCAGGACTTATTCCAGATGCAGAGCGGTGAGGCCTCGGGCTAACCGGATTGGTTCTGACAGTGCAAGGACGACTGGGGACGGTTAGATTGGAATGAGGCAGTGCTGGTAGTTCAACTTTTAGTGCCATGTTGATTCTTCGGCACTCTGCTCAACTTGTGTCCTACTGGATACCAGCCATTACCTCTGACAACGTCTCATAGGCTCGTCTTCTTTCCCCCCTTCTCCAGTCGGTGCTCCATTACTACTATTACTTACACCATTGGGCTGTGGTGGGAAAGCAAAAGGTAAAAAACAAGGTTTTTGCCCGTCATCAGATAATGAGGGCGCGAAGATTTCAGGACACAATAATCAATCAAAAGTGGCAGGTTGAATGGGTTAGAGGGGCCCGTTCTCCACGGTGGTGACTGTGGTGACTTTTAGGCGAATGCCCCCCATGCAATTGTAAGCAACATTTCTCAATTTCAGTCCAAGGCGACCAAGTTCTTGTCAGGTACCTCTCATCGGCTTAGCGCTCATCCAGAAGTTCCGGTGATACTATGCTCCCAGCTACTAGTAGATATTGCGTCGAGTGACTGCGGGTCATACTAGATGCATACAGTGAGTGGTACACTCTCATTCTGAAGAACTGAACGTTTCAAAGGCATTTGATAGGGGAGCATAGAATACGGAAACACTGGGGCTGGCTAGCCCGATCTCAAGTATATTATCAAAATTATTACTTTGTATCTGCTTTTTTTTTTTTACTTACCCTTCTGGGTGTACCTTCAGCCCGGTACACAGTAACTAACATGTAGAAGTTGCCAAAAGAGTGGTATGCAGCAAGTGTGGTTGCTTTGCTTTGCCCATTATTTTCTCCGTCGCCTTACCCGCGCGCGTCCATTTTTCGACAAATACAGGGACAGCATCATTTTTAAGTTTTACGAAAATTACCGCCACCTTTTGTGTTTTTCCTTTTCATCATCATCCTGCTCCTTCATCGTCATCATCAATATGATTATAATCATAATCACACAATTACCTCCCCAATTCAGGGATAATTCCAGAAAAGAGGTCCATCAGTTCATCCATCCAAGGTAGGCAATAACTCAGCAGAGGCAGGGGCCCTAAAGCCGACCAGGCCGGAGTAGGGTACCGAGTGCATCCTAGGCCCCAAGTGTACTTTTCCAACCGACTCCAACTTTCCATGGCGCCCCACCGTGAGTTGTTGCAAAAGACCGTCACAACGATTATTAGTGGCCCTGTTGGGCTTGACCCACTGCCAATCATGGTCTAGCGGGGCCCACTTCTGGCCTTAGATACATGCACTGCCACATTGCTGTCATTTGGCATTTCCCCCCGTCGCACCTTGCGATCCGAGGAACTCCCTGGAAACACTGGCATAAGGGGATGTGTGTAGGAAAAGAAGGGGGGAAGGGCGGGCCATGAATTCTAGGTAATCAATTTTTCAATAATTTCATTTTCAAAGGGCTGAAAATTAAGCGAACAGTGCTTGCTCGTGGAATTCTACATTAGAGGGGTGGGTGGGTGACTATCTATAGTTGATAAGTAGATAACGCTCTACGGTGAAGAATAGCAACAGGTAAGAGACACAATGCCAAATACTTTGTAGTAATAGAGAGAAAGAAGAGAAAATACTCCATAAACTGGCCTAGGCAAAAGAGAGACATGAAAATTCTGAACATTACTGCGGAGTAAGCCAATTTTTCTCTTCATTGATCTTGTTTCTGCTCTCCTGTGGATCATCAGTTGATTGTCCCTTCCCTCTTTGATCCAACTTTCCCTGCTCGCCCTTTTCGTCTCTATCTGTCTCTCTCTCAGAGACTCCCAGCCAGCTGGCCAGCAAGCTTGGCCCTCGTCTCGTGTCCAGTCCCATACAGGTAAAGTAAGTAACCCATAACCCGGACTTAACGGATCGGATGTAACAAGCGAACTTCTATCCGTCCTCCGTCAGTTTTGAGGTACCAGAAAAAGGTGTCAGGAGTAAACTTAAAGAAATAAATAGTACTTATAATAATAACGAATAAAATAGTATGAATATAGGAAAGGGGGGAAACAGATCTGCGTACAAGGCAACTTTTTGCAAACAACAAACACTTTAGTCTACTATCCGCCTCTGGTCTGATTGTACTTTCACGAAAAATGAAAGTTATCTAATTCGTATTGTCAACAAGACAGACTAAACAACCCCCATTTTTGCCACAATCAGCCTGAATTCCTCCTGCGTGGACCATATTTCACGAACCTATTGTGTAAAAATGCAATCAATCAATGCGCACCACCACACACACACACGGCATCATCTGCGGTATTAATGACAATCCACCACTCAATCTCTACGGCCAAGAAATGGGGCTGGGAGGGGAAGACTCAATAAAACTTCTTTTTCCTCTATAGTTTTCTAGTATTAGTCTACTGCTAAACTGCTATAGATACAACTTCTTTTTGGGCGAATCTTACGCGCCCACCGACAAAACCCAACCCAACTAAACCTAACCGTCGCACAGACTGAACACGCACTCATGCATCCACAGCTTAGTTAGTTAGTTAGTAGTTACCCTGGTGGTTGTAGTGGTGGCAATTCGGGGGAATTACACCGTTTGTGTGGTGGCACTTCGGTTTTACCTCATAGGAAGTTACTAGTAGTACTCCGTAACTATCCATTTATCTGGGTAAGTAGGTCCTTCACGAAATTCCAATTATCGGACTTTATTGGCCCGATTCGTGCAGGGCAGCAACACAATGGGACAACTAGCATGGGCATGCAAGGCCAATGAGACCCCCGGTCGCTTGTGTTCTATCCGCCTAGCTACCTACACTACTATACTAATTTAACTCCATGGATTCTTAGTGCAGCAGGGGTGGGACATCAGATAACCGTGTCTTCTTTGATAAGTTACTATACTACCGTAAGTAATAAATAGGTTATTAAGGGCTGGTTTGGATGGCTCGTCCGTTGTATTGACACCACATACTGTAAGAGGCAGGTACAACAGGTTGGAAGGAAAAAGAAGGATAAGGCAACCCACGCAAGCAAGGAAAAGAATGTAAGAAGGAGTAGTAGTAATAATTGTCCGAGGAGAAAGGTCGGGTTAGGCTTAGCATCTCTCGTACAAAAAGCGCCGTCAGCCTTAAGCCTTAAGGGGCTGCAGACTAAATCTCGTGCACAGGCCGTGTCTTGAATTAGTGATCGATAGTTGATAGGTATCATGATAGTTTCCGACCCTGCAAAGCAACCATCACCTACCGCACCTATTTCTGGTCATATCAAATGATTTGGTCGTATTTGGCATGCTTCAGTCATGTCGGGAATCCATTTAATTTGTAAGGCTGCATATGTGGACTAGAAGCCAAGTCATCAGACAGTCCACAACCCACCCTGCAATATGGTTGGTAACCCTGCGGGCTTCTCCTGGGTAAGTATGGGTGGTTGGTAACACTGCGATGATAAGATAGCCCTTGTTTTATGCAGGTGGGTAGCAAGTTGTTTCTAAATGCGGTTCATGCTTGCTTCTTCTTGTCCAAGTTTTATCGACTTCTTGATTGGGCACGGGAGACTGAATCAAGCATTATCTACCTAGCAATTACCTCTTGCATGCGCAGTGGACCAAGAAACCTGGTTGTTTCTTGGCCTGTCAGCGATTAACGCTTGCCTGGGTCGTACCTATGCAGTACCATTCTCGGCGACTGAAACTGGTTGGCAGCCAATAAATGCCAGCAATGGAGTGATTATTGCTGGATGGATGGATGGAACATGTACTTGATACGTACTACAGGTAGGACTCTGCTTTAGCCAGGCAAACCACGTCTCACCGAATATGATACAATCAGCCGCTAGAGGATTCACACACCGAACTATACCTGCGCATAGACCATATAATTATTGCACACTCTTGACCATGATACCACTAGCATTCATCTCGGCCGGACTATAGTGCGATCCCATTCCAGACCAGCTCCCGAAGCCTTGGCAGCAAACAAGGCCTAAGCGATGAGCTAGATCGACGACCGGAACCGGCGACTTCTAGCTGCTTGGGTAGGCACTAGACTAATATTACGAGCACTGGCATCTGAGCCTGACTGACCGAGGACTAACTAACTATCTACCGGGGACTGCCTTGGCCTCCTCGGCTCTGAATGTGACGGATCAAACGACTATTGATTCGGTCGAGATCGTCTCGATAGTTGCAGTAGTACGACAAGGCCTTTCCTGGTTTCCTATCAAAAATTGCCGCTTCAATTAACCAGACTGATACGCCAACGGCGTCAGGCCAACATTGCTCCGGACATATCACGCCCTCTAAGCCAGCGCTTCTGTGCCACCAGGGGCCTAGATGAGGATCACGCTGGCAGCGGGAGGACCCCGGGATCCAGGAGCTGGATGCGCTGGCTAATGGGGAGCCAATTGCATGTCACACATCTTGTAGACTTGTGGGATGGATGAGGGGTAACGAAGTGATTAGAGAAACCAAGGGGGCTGTGCAGCGTGTAATTCACTCCTCTAAAAAGAATTTTTGCCAATGATCGTATAGAGGAAGAGCGTAATACGCTGGGCCAAGTCCGTGCTGCATGCCAAAGCCGGCCGAAGGAATGACCGTTAGTTATGCGGGGTCTGTCTTAATGCCTTAGGTGTCAAATTCCTACTGCTGATATGTTACCCTTACCCTTGCCCTACACCCTAAGTTTCTTCTTTCATGCCGCCATTGCAAGATTGCCTCCAGCCAATCAGATGCCGTCACAATTTCTTGGCGCCATATCGAATGTTCAGGTCCGATCTTGGCTATCATTCATGGCCACTCTGCCTCTTATCATCGTCATACTCTTTTGCATCGTCAACCCGATCTAGAGTCATCATTATTCATCTAGATCGCTGCTTTGATAGCTTGTCATCATGGCGATGAATCAGATCCCTGGACAGAATATCTATGTTGGAGGGTTGGTTACCTTGTCCCTCACTTTCTGTTACCATACTAAGCCTTCCTTTGGCCCGTCATATGATGGGCCAGGGTCCAAGAGGGGTTATAGCGCTCTGCTCTCAGAAAGCTTGCTAACACCGAGTTGCACGTAGCATACTGGCACTCAAGAATAAGGCAGCCTTGGCTCGAGCAAACATTACACATGTTGTTTCCGTGTTACGCCTCCAACCAGCTGATGATATCTTCGAGTCTTTTCAACACCACTGCATAGAGGTCGACGATGTCGACGATGAAAACTTACTAGAACATTTCCCAGCTGCTGTAAAGTTCATCCAGTCCGGTCTTGATGCCGGCGGAGGAGTGCTTGTACATTGGTTAGTTTAGTCCTCCCTCGTTTATCTGCTCTTAGGATACCTCCACATGTTTCCTTGGTAAGACCTACTCTCAGGTCTTTACCCAGGACTGGTACCCTACCCCTTCCTATTACTTTAGTCCTGTGCTTTTATGATGCCTGCTGAAGCCGTGCTCTAACACCACGTGATTCGTATTGTTCACTTGACCTTGTGTAACAAGGATGTTCGATTGCGCTTCTAAAATGACAAGCGTGCTGACTGTTAATAGTGCGATGGGAAAATCCCGATCAGCCACTATTTGTATCGCGTATCTGCTCAACCGTCAGCCTAGCGCACTGACACCAGAGTCCGCTCTTGACATCATCAGACAGAACCGACCGCTATGTGAGCCGAATCCGGGGTTCATGGAGCAGCTCTCCGTCTACCATCAGATGGGATGTCCAGATGATGTTACCAGCCACCCCCTCTACAGCCGATGGCTTTACCGCCGTGAGGTGGAGGATAGTGTAGCATGTGGTCGAGCACCCGAGATGAAGTCCGTGCTGTTTGAAGATGAGCAGCCGCGCCAATCACAGGAGCCTGCGGGTCGTATGACAGAGATCAAATGTCGCAAATGCCGGTTAGTCTTAATTACGATCCTTTCGAAGCTTATCTATGAGCTCCTCCTGACCACATCACCAGGCGCAAGTTGGCGACCACGCAATTTATCATCCCCCATACCACTCAAAAGAACGCCAGAGCATCCACGGCTGATTGCGCTCATGTCTTTTTGCACCCACTGACGTGGATGCGCCCGTCGCTCTTTCCTGGCACCGATGGAGAAACCTCCAGCTCGCCTTATGGAGCGCCGCCAGAAGACGCCCCTTTGTCTGGCCGTCTGACTTGCCCCAACTCGTCCTGCGGAGCTAATATTGGCAAATTTGCCTGGCAAGGTATGCAATGTAGCTGCGGCGAGTGGGTTGTCCCTGCGATTGGCCTTGCAAAGGCCAGAGTGGACATTTCCGAGAGGGTCAACATTATCCGCGGACCAGGCAACTTGCCAGCTGCGATGGGCATTCGTCTGCCGCCTGGAATGCGGTCTAATCCCACGGATGAGAGCAACGGACGCGGAAACCTTTAGACTTTGGTAGCGCTACCTAACGTTGACTTCGCCAGGGGTAGATCACGGCGCAGCAAGGCTCCGTCAGAAGTTTAAGCATGCTCGTTGATAGGCTCCCTTAGCCACGTCTTTAAATGACGAACCAGCGGGTCGCAGAGCCAAATTACGTCACGTGGTATTAGAAGCGGCGCCATCTTTCTCCAAAGTTTAGGAAAACGATAGTTGAACTGAAAACAGACAGAGATGGTCCGTGAATAGACGGGCCACGCACGCAAGTGTGGCGTTCAGAGCTTCTGCTATGGTATGCGGAGGCTGGCGGAATAGCCCGAATTCGTACACTATTGAAGGCACGAAAGGAAGGACACAACGCAGCTATGCACAATATAGACTCGGGTCTAGACTAGAATTGGGTATGGTCTGCGCTCGACAGGTTTCAGACCCTGATGCCGATCATCCCGCGACAAGTTGGAACACAGAGCAAGGTCGAGATAGACATACAGTTTTACTACTACCGGTCCAGCAAGCAAGAACCCAGCCAATGAGAGCAAATGCACCACACTAGCTTCAGCTATCCCAACTCAAGCCTCGGCGGCTACAAGCCAGATGATCTTATCAAATCAGTTAGCCTAAAAGGACTGATTGGATTCAGCTCGTGTCGAGTGGGAAAGCAGAAGGGAATGGGAGGGGGGAAATTGTAGAACTTCTAAGCGCTAGGACCTGTCAGGATCCAGGGCATAACCCCACCGACCCCACGAGGCTGTTTTAAGGCAGCCCCACGGGCCCCAGCTAGCAGCACCCAATCAGGCGGTGACGTAAGACCCGGGATCTGCGAAGCCAGAAGGGCAGATCGGGGAGAAAAAACAGAGTTTCTCGGGGCCTGGCACAAGTTCCTGGGCCTCCGATGACTAATGATTCCCGGCGCGCGCGACAACTGTAACTTGCCAAGCCTGCTGCTGCTTTTCTGCTCATCCGGGCTAGGTTGGGGAGGGGGAAGAGAAGGGTGGGTAGAACTAGCGAAGGTCTAGGCTGCTTCACTAGCGCCGGCACGGGGGCTGTGCAAACTGCTCTTACGCAACTGGGGCGCGCTAGCCATGGATGAGCTGATCCCGGGCTGGTACATACCGTATTTTGAAGATTACCTTTCTTTCCGGTATTGTCGCGATGTAGTAGGATTGTGGGTATTTTTCATTTCGCCTGTATTAATGCCTTGTATATACTCATAGAATGGAGTAGTATAATGAAGTGGCAATCCTGCATTCATCATCATCATAAGTACTTACTTACCTGCCTAAACAAGTAGATTAGTAGCTACCAACTACTCCCGGATAATCATTCTCTCATCCCATACCATGAGATCCTTACACTTCCATCTACTAAGTACTATCAAACACCTCTCAAACACATCCCCCCTCAGCAATATAGCACTATACTCTACTCTACCTCCTACCCTAATAAAACCAACAGTACTTAGGTTATCTACTACTACTACCTAAAGTATTCTAGTCTCCGCCCTACATGACGCCAATCTCATCTCACGATCATCACAAGTAGAATAAATACTATCCAGTAGAGAGACACAGTATAAGATGTAGTCGTTAATCTTGGCGTTATTTACAATACACATCATCATCATCCACCAACCAAACCAACTTCATAAAAACCAGAACAAATAATAATAAAACAATGATAATAATAAAGAGACGGATAGCAATATAGGGATAAATTTAACCCGCCCTACAGGGCAAAAAAAAAACCACTACTATCTATTCTATCTATATCGCGGGCTGAAAAATGGGGTTTGGGGGGGGGGGCACAACTAGTTAAGTAATTAGTTAGTTAGGTCAGGGAAAACCTAACCGAGTCACCTCACCTCACCCACCCTTACTATGGGTGTATATTCTGTGTATAGCTGAGTGCATTAAGAGCATGGGCATCGACTCGGGGAGAGAGAGCGCGAGGGAGAGGAGAGAGAGGGGCTAAGAGTTTAGTCCTGGATGATTGGGATTGGGTGATACTAAGTTGCACTGCCTCGTTTGGGGATCCACTGCTTTGCATGAGGAGTTTCCCTTTTCTTTCTAACTAACTAACCATCTTCTTTTCTTAGGGGAGTATTATTACTCTGTAGGGGAGTGGTCAGGAGGGAATGAGGGGTGAGTTATTTATCTGCCTAATATGTGTATTACAGAGTTGTTGATGGGTTAGATGGATGGTTACATTGTCTATCTATATTGTATGTTGTATGTTGTATTTATCTAACTACGCATGCATCACATCGATGCTTAATTTCATCGCTTATGGAGCATAGTGCATGTGACGGGTTTCTGGGCATGGTCCGCGCGTTTTCTATTTCTCTGTCACTCTTTCTTTGGGGGGCGTTTATTTCTGGGTTTGTTGTAGGAGGGAGCCGGTACGGTTGTTCTTCGATACGAGCGGTGCAGTTCGGTTTCTGATTCAAACACAACACGGTCATCTGGTTATGTCTTCTGAGTACTACAAGCTCCGATCGGGTTGCTGGATTAGGCTGCAAACCCCTGGTTGTAGCCTTGTAGGTTTTGACATCGCGTAAGGCTGTCAGACGCCTTGCGTTCTCGGCTCCGTTAGGCAGGCAGTTCGCTTCTAGAAGCTATGGTACTTCCGGAATCCGTTAAGGCTGTGCAAAGTGTCTCTTAAGGCTTCCGTGTCTTGCCGGAAATGTGAGACAGTATAAGCTGCTTCCGGTGAGCCGCGTAATGATGGCTATTCTAGCGACGGCGGATATGAGTTTCTGAGTGACGGATATGTCGGTGGAGAGCTGAGCGATCGCCGCTTGAGCTGAGTAGTAGTGTAGTAGCTAGGCAGAGCACTGAAGCTGGTGTAGCAGATGTATCGACCGTCTCTGTATTGAAGTATTGACTGGGCCGTGACATGTGGCTGTCGCCTTGCAAAGCGCGGTGGTGACAGTGTCTCACACACGAGCAGATGTACTCGCGTCGCGAGCCCGTATCCGATACACCGACTGTCCAGCAACTGCTGATGGCTGACTCTGAGCTCCTCATCAGCCAGATAATCATCAGGCGATCATATCCAACAAGCCCGATAAAACCACGATGAGCACCGAAGGATCCAGCCACAGGCTAGACATACCAGGCAACCCAGAAGGTAAACTGTAGGCGCCCATCCACGTCGTCAGCGTTCTAGCACCCATCCACAAGAACATCATCATCCTGCAGCTCCAGACTCAAGCTCACAGCCCCCCAGTCGGAACAGACGGGAACAGAGAAGGATCCTGCAAACGCTGACGATTCCTTCTAGCCATCTCAGCATTGCGCATCCTGTCGATACGCATCTGATAGAAGTTCCTACACAGATTAGCAATCATCACATAGAAACCGATACGAGAGCAGAGAGAAATACTTATGCAACGCAAATACCCTCGGCGAGTCATCCGCCGAGGTGGTCGATTTCTTGATACTCTCGATCTATGATATGTTAGCGAATACACGTCAAGCCAACAGGAATATAGAAGAAAGAACTGTGAAGAGAAGAACAAACCTTATCATCCCGTTCCTTTTGCATTTTCTTATCCTCCTCATCCCCCTTCTTCGTAGCAGACTTATCATCCTTTTCCTTGTCTTTATCATCTTCCTTCTTATCCTTCTCCTTCTCAGCATCCTTATTCTTCTTCCGCTGCTGCTTCTCTTCATACTCCTTCTTCACCCTCTCAATTTCCCTCGCCATAGCCTCCTCTTTCGCCTTGGCGGCCGCCGCTTCTGTATCGACAATAGGAGAACAGAAGTGACGGTCTTGGAGGTGAGAGGGGCAGACGTAGAAGAAGTCCTGATGCATACTTAGCCGGTGTCCAGACAAAAGAAATTCATTGTTCAAGTAGTAAATTATGATCATCTATCTCAAAAGGGAAATATGGAGATTTGAAGGGAGTGAAAGGGGCCTCATACCCGATTATCAGGCGTGATTAATACACTACTCGATGGCTTGTAGCAAATGTAACATGCTTTGGCGGCTGTATCTGCTACTCGGCGCAGATGCCAGATGTTTTGGAGGGACATTGACATGGTGTCTATTCTATGTATAGTTGGGTTTGGGAGTGTTTGTTAAGGAGAAAGTGAGGAATTGTTGTTTTGGTTTGGTTTGGCGGGGAATTGATCGATGATGTCATGTGACATGGGTATAGATTGAAAAGATGGACGTTGGTACAATATGGATTATACTATCGTGCTGCTACTATGCGGTAACTAATTAATATGATTGTTAAATGTAATTTAATGGCACAAGTATGGGTTGTCTCAGAATACGTAAAGGTTCACGACATTAGTGATGATCTGAATATGTTGACATGACAACTAACTATATATCACTACTATGATACAGAACGAACCAATTGCAAAACAATTGAAAGTCTACACTATCCACCAAAACTCCATACTAATAATAGTATCTACTCCGTAACACTATCCTTCAATCCTCTCAACGCACTCGGCTCCTTCGACCCATGCAACATAGCCGCCGCATTCTCCGACCGTCTCCTAGCATCCGTCCAGATCATAAACTCATTATAACTCTTGGGCATGACCTGCACATCCTTCTCCACGAGGAATGTATAATTAAACATGCCCGTGGGCTTCTTAGTTCCATGCTCCACATCTCTCACCTTCGTGTCCACCCGCACCCGCACCTTCGTGTACTTGCTCTCCACGCCCTCGCGTTCCAGCGGCTCCGTGTACGCCACCGTCGCGCGCAGATACAGCACGCTGCCCACGGGTACGGAGTTCTCGAACGTGCTAGGGTCCAGGGAGATGAAGTTGGGGCGAGAGTGTGAGAAGGACGCGGCGCAGCAGAAGGCAAGCTCAAAGGTCTGTTTGAGAAGGAAGCCACCGAAGATCATGAAGTTGTGGCGGTTGCGGTCTTGGGGTTGCATGATCATGGCGGATTTGAGCACGGTGTCGCTCATGAAGACGTTGTTGGAGGGTCGTTGGGCGGGGTTTTCGGGGTCTGTTGTTCGGTTATTGATGAGTTATACTTGGATTGATGGGAAGGATACTTACTGAGGTAGGACATTTCCTTCGTCCACATGGAGTGAATGAGGTTACTCTCTTCCGCATCGGGGGCCGTCTCGAGAAGACTCTTGGAGCGTAGTGCTTTCTTGGCTTGGTAGTTCTCTTCGCCTTGCTTGAAGAGGAGACGCTCTTCGGCTGTTTCGACCACTAGGGGGGCGATGTTGACGGGTCTGGGGTGCCAATGTTAGTACCCAGACGACGGTTACAGTAGAGTAGCATCGGCTTACTTCTTCGTCGCAGGATCCAACGACACCATCGTAAACGCACAGGTGATGAGCACATCCTCCGGCTCAACCTCCTTTCCCGGAGCAGGAGCCTTGGCCACCTGAATGGAGATCTCCATACTAGAGCGACCCGTCGCATACGTGACCTGACCGCTGAGTTCGAGGTCACAGATCTCCATCAGCGGATGCTCAATGGTAATGCGATCCACGGCCGCCGTGACAGTAGTGACCGAATCACCAGCATGTCTGTAGGCAATGACACCCGCCAGCGCATCGAGGTCCATAAGCAGGGACCCCAATCTGCATCCATCAGTAAATCATCGCCGCCAAAAACAGATATCAGAGACACTCACCTGATATGCCCCGAAGCATTAAGGTACGTATCAAGCAGCCATTTATCCTGAGCCAGAGGCAGAACCTAAAGACGGACCCATCAATCAGCTTGTTCCCCCTTCCGAGGTCAGCAAGTGCACCTACGGCACTATAATAACTATCCGACATCTTCTTCGGCGTCATATCAGGTTTCGCCGAGGGCGTAGCAGCAGCCCCCTGACTAGACTTTGCAGTCTCGCGACTTTTCGTGAGTGCCTCAATCCAAGGAGTCTTAACTCTCATAGGCATCCAAGTAGGTCGGAATGCGGCATTGTGTTGACTGGGGTGAAAGTCGCGGGCTGAGAGCAGGGATCGGTGCGCAGGTGAGCGGACACTGCTACTTAAGCTGGTCGGGGTGTTGGTAAGACATTTGGAGCGCGACGCGGCGGAGCGTCTTGTACTTAAGCCGAACATGGTGATTCCAGTTCTCTTCTGTCTATCTGAATGAATAGATATCTGGATATAATAATGTACAGTTGCAAATGTGAAAGAAGAGACAAGTATGGATCAAGATGATGTGTCGAACACGAAGATGAACTTTCGGCTTCGGTAGTTGAAGCGGATCTCCCGACGGCTGTTCCGGCTCCGGCTTCAATGGCCGGAGCAAGTCGGTAACGCGAGAAAGTATATTTCCCTGAACTGACATGTCGGGTTCGGTATAGGCAAGGTGAGTCATTAATCTATATTTACATGTCTGATTGTGCAAACCGGACGTACAATGACATTTCTACTGAACAAAGGGATGAAAGGTGAAGTTGAAGTAGAAAATGAATCGTGATAATTCCGACTACTGTGCAATGACATCATCGCCGCTGCTCTCCTCCGACATCGACCATCTCATGCACTAAAAGGGGCCATTAACAGGAGCAACTATGCCCCCTTGGAAGAGGGACCTACTCTGTACCTGAGCTCCGGCGTGACCAAAAGATGGGACTACGAGTCAGGCAGAAGTTGATCTTCAGGCCAGTTTGCTGGGTGGCCTCAGGAACCAACTTGGTTTCTCGCCCGAGAGCTGCGTCAAGGTGAAGTCATCTCAAGTATAAATTGGACTTCTAACTTACTTTGTATATCTGTTGTGGTTTTCTTTTTTTTGTTCGTAGTATTGCATTGTAGAATATCTTTTGTATATTTTCTGCAATCCGTCTATATCAGATAGAATCTCCATATAGATAACATCTGCCTATACTTGAATTGTTTCTATACTGCAACCATGAGTGACCCAACCAACCCCAACATTGAGAAGCGAACAACCCCCCAATGGGCTCTGTACCAACGTGAGAACTTCTGGAAAGTAAATGATGGTCAAACTGTCCCGTTCAATACAGGTACACACCACTTCCACACCCCTACTCCATCCCACCTTGCTTGCTCGCTGACAAGACATGCTGTGCAACAGACCCGAGAAAGCTCGAAGAGGAGGCACACAAGAAGTTAAGCCAAGGGGGCTGGTATGCATCTTACCCCCTCCAATTGACAAAAAGCGCATCTCATTAACCCATCCAGGTTCTATGCATCCTCCAACGCAGGCATGTCCAACACCCACCTCGCCAACCGGCAAGCCTTCTTCCGTCATCGGATCATCCCCAACCAACTAGTAGACACCAACCAGCGAGACACCACCACCGAGATCTTCGGCCATAAAGTATCCGCGCCAATCGGCTTCGCGCCCATCGGGATCAACAAGATCTACCACCCATCCGCCGAGCTCGCAGTAGCCAAAGTGGCCGGCGAACTCAACCTCCCCTACTGTCTCTCCACAGCAGGAAGCACCCCCATCGAGAAAGTCGGCGAAGCCAACGGCCAAGGCAGCCCCCGTTTCTTCCAGCTATACATGCCACATGATGACGAGCTGACCTTGTCCCTGCTCAACCGGGCCTGGAAGTCCGGGTTCGATGCGCTGATCCTCACAACTGATACCTGGCAATTGGGCTGGCGGCATGACGACGTCGCCAACTCCAATTATGCCTTTTACCGCGGCATCGGGGCGGACCTTGGCTTGACGGATCCGGTGTTCCAGAAACGGTGTCGCGAGGCGGGCATCGATCCGGAGAAGGATGTGGTGGCTGCGTCGGCCAAGTGGATTGATTCCGTTTGGCATGGGCGTGCTTGGTCGTGGGAGAAGATCCCCTGGTTGATTGAACAGTGGAAGAAGATTTCTGGGGGTCGGCCGTTCGCTATCAAGGGGATCCAGTCTGTGGCGGATGCGAAGAAGTGCGTTGAGTATGGGGTTGATGGTATTGTGGTGAGCAATCATGCGGGTAGACAGGTTGACGGTGCTATTGCGAGTCTTGATGCGTTGGAGAATATTGCCAATGCGGTCGGCAATCAGATTTACATCATGTTTGATTCTGGGGTTCGTGGAGGCAGTGATGTCGCTAAGGCGTTGGCTCTGGGAGCTCGCTTTGTTTTCGTCGGTCGGCTCTGGATCTGGGGTCTCAGTATCATGGGTGAGGAGGGGGTTCGTCATGTGATGAAGTCGCTGTTGGCCGATTTCGATATTCTGATGGCTGTTGGAGGGTACAATAGCGTTAAGGACTTTGATAAGTCTATACTAGGTAAGGTGATCAGGATGATTTCTTGGGATGAAAGCTAATGGTGTTGTCAGAATCGTACCCGAAGTCATACACACTCATCCCGGACAAGGTTCTTTAAATATCCCTGATAGTGGATAGTGGATGGCGGATGCAATGTTTTATACCATTTCGTTTAGATAGGGGTTATCGCGAGTAAGCACTGATGAAGAATGAAAGTTGTTTGATTAGAGAAAGACTTCGAATGTAAAGTAATATGATCCGCACGCTGTCCAGACTCTAGAAAATATGCAGATACAAATCAGCAGCAAGTGTAAATAATGCACACGTTTCCCGAGTTTCAGACGTCGAGTGGACGCGAAAGCCTTTCCCCGAAGCTGTTTACAGCCAAAGCATGAAGGAAGCAATCGCCAAAGCAGAGAAGAAATACTGAGGAGCGGGCATGGTCATTCCACTTCCCGATTCAGCATCAGAAGAACTACTAGAGCTAGCAGAGCTCGTTGTAGTCGTTGAGCTGCCCGTTGTTGTGGATCCCGAGGTACTGCTTGTTCCAGAGCTCGTAGAGTTCGACGTAGAGCTGCTGTTCGAGGATCGCTCTGCAAATCCGACCCGTAACTCATCGTAGTCAAACACGGCATACACATTCTTGAGGAACGTGTCGCCCAGGAGCCAAATATCATCACCGAACAGGTCATAGCTGATAATGTTCGAAACGCATCCAGAACCAGAGGTTGCTCCCACGTAGTCCTTTGGCGAGATGGTGTAATTCACACCAGAGAATTGCACTTGTAGCTTAGCGGTTGTGTTGCACGGGATAATGTGGTAGTTCCCAGAAGAAGTGGCGTCAGGAATCAGACTGTGTAGCGTCTTCGAGTCGCTCGAAGGAAGCATAGCGTAAGACGTGCCGGTATCGATGATGGCAGACTTGTTGGAGAAATCGCATGAAGTGCCGCTAACATAGACATCGTCCACAGGAATACGCCAATAGCTGTCCGATCCGACGGTGTCGGTGTAGGTGATATCGCCAGTGTACTTGTCCTTGTCAGTAGTGCCAAAGCTGACGGTGCCGTCTTTGGCGGGGCTACGCGAAAGGGCAAATCCAACGATGTTCGACTTGAAGACGTTAGTTTCTGCAACAGCATCCATGAAGGTTGGGTTATTGTAGGAACTATCGTTGGTTCGACCGAGACCGAGGATGCCGTCCATGGGGTACGACTCGAAGTTATCCGATGCGTTGGAAGCAAGCCCGAAAGTCATCTGTACAGTTACATTCGCAATCGTGAGCTTGTCTTTGCCTAGCAAGCCGCTGACAGACCCGGTTCCGTAGCCCACACTCCACTCTTCAGATGTCATTTCAAGGGTCGAGGAATCGTCCGATCCGAAGGTGTTGTGCATCGTGCAGGGCGTGGACGTGCAGTTGGTACCGAAGACCCATGTATCAGAGCCTCCTGTGTCGAGCAACATGTACATAGATTTCTTATCGGATCCAATATTGACAACAGAGATGTATGAGATGTCGCTACCATCTTGGTCGAGAGCGGCGGTGTTGGACCAGGAGGGAGTTTCGGCTACCACAATCTTGAAGTCATTGTCACGGCGAACGGGAACCCTTTTGATGTTCAGCGACAAGGACTCATCGCTCGCAGATGAGGCAGAGTCATCTGTCAGAGCATCGCCTGGTTTTGGTACTGGCAAAAAACGGCGAGATAATGAATCACGAGTTGAGATGTCAACCGACGTATCGAGTTCGATGGTGTATGGAATGAAAGCCGTGGCACTGGCGCAAAGATACGCTGCTGTAACGAGACGCTCTGAGAGATGCATAATCAAGAACAATCAAGAAGCAGATGCAAACGAGGGATTTGTCGCAATTGCGTGATGCAGACGCTGAGATGCCGAATGCTCCTATTCCAGCCAGATCAGGTGATACAAATGTATGATGATAGAGTAGAATTTGGTTTTAGACAGATTGAAAGTAATATTTCATAGATGGAGTCAATGGCAGAATGACAAATCAAGACAATGCTCCAGAAGATATCAACGATAAATTGCTAGTGAAAAGACACAAGTCAAGATAAAAAGAGATGATCGAAAGATAAGGTGCTAAAAACGAATGCTGAACAAAGAAAGTGAATAGGAAGAAACGAGGCGACGATAGAAAAAAAAAAGTAATCAGAAAAAGTGGATTGTAAATGTCGAGACAAAGAAGAAAATCAAGAAAATGAACACGGAAATGAAGGAAGGAGGAAAAAAGAAGTAACACGCAAGTGCTGTTCATGCAGTTAAGAATTAAGATGCAGCCTCCAGGAGAATTCACACTCAGGCACAGAATGATTATGCTTACATCGTGGGGAGACCCAAAGCCTAAACGGCCCACTCGGCAGGTTTTCGCGGCGCAACGGACGCCTGCGACTGGCTGCTGCCAATGATCCAGGCCTCGATCTACAGGCCTTTTTTTTGGCGGCGGTGGAGCCCAGGCAAGACCGATCATGTTTTTCCCCTGAGCACAGTTGTGAGAGACGTACAGGCAGAAATAAGTCCGTGAAACATCAATTTTCCATTCTTAGTATCATACCCTCCTGCTATCGGTTTTTAGCAGTGATAGATTAGATATCCGGTGCCCTTGGCGGAGAATACCGTACATATATAGCACAGACTACCTGCCTACCTACCTAAGAGTTCAGAGACATTCCCTAGGAGACCGTAATTTCGCCAGCTAATCTTGAAAAAAAAGCTCTCCTTAATATCCAAATTGACAACGAAGAAGGGCCCGTTCATTTCGCATCTTACCTAAGAGGGGTTGGCCACCTAGTTATGTGCGGTGTCCAGAACATGTACCAACCATTGCGATGACGACTCCTGCGCCACTGAGGGGGCATCGTCGTCGACGGACTCTCATCATCAGCCCCCTCCAACTGTAGCTTGGCATTTTAGTGGATCCGTAGGGCGTCGCATTGCAGCTGCAATAAGCCAAGGACCGTCGAAATTGACCCCGTAGTCAGTTGGCTGGGAGCGAACAACCAAATATGACGAGTCATTTGAGAACACCCATTGGTAAATCGGTAGCAGTTCTTCTAACTATTCCAGGCACCTATAGTGCGAGATGACGAGGACCGATAAAGCTTGGTATATTCCCAGGCATCCATCGCTTCTCCCAGTGGAACTGTTTGAAGGGAACTGGAAAATATCACGGAGGTGTTCGTGGGCTGATACATCTGAGACACTACCGTCATCGACCGACTAATATGAAGAATGTTGGTGCATAATGCCGGAGTTCTGCAATGCCGGGGTTCCGTGCTCGCTGTTCGTTTAAGTTGACAGCCACACCATCCATGGATTCCATCACCGCGAAGGTCGGTAGACGATCGACCCCGCAAATTGGATCCAGAGAATGTGAGACGATAGCATATTCATTATCGGTCAACGTTCTCAGTAGCAAGTACAGAGAATGGCAAGAAGAAGAAAAGAAAAAGGCGGGGGGTGTTCGAGGAAAAGCAAAGAGGTTCCCAATTTCCAGCGAGACTAAACATGAAACAACTCAGCATAGCCGAGGCAGCCACTGTGGCCGGGCTAGACCAGTCTCAGCTCTGTCAATTACAACAGTGAAATGAAGGCACCATAAGAGGCTTAACAGTCAATATTTGTGCTGAAGAAACTATTCCCAAAATAAACATAATGAAGATTAATGTCCCTTGCATTATGCACTCTAAAAGGTACAAGTCTCGAAACAACAGCAGCAGCGGGTTTGCCCGAATCTAAAACCGTCCCCGGACATCTTCTCCCCTGACACACCCGCCGCACCCGAAAGTCAGGAACAATAACCACCCAGACATGCATCCGAAAAGAGCAGATCAACAAGTGCAGTAGGAACCTCGCTACTTCAAGATGCGGTAATTCTTACATTCTATCATGATGTAAGACCTCAATGGCCTTACAAAACGCCTTGAGTAAATCCACATGAGCCACTCCCAACGGTTGGAGGTCGGAACATATCGGGGGCCAATCCATCAGCCCACGACGGTTTTACTGATTGACTTTACCCATTTCCGGGTCCCCGGGAACGGCTTTACCTAGGTTAGATTGGAGTGATGATAATTTTGCCCTGCTCCGATCTGATAAGCCTTATTTCCCCGGCGTGCACAAGGTGTGCCCTAGCATGCATGGTCCGAATCGTACCTAGGTTAAGCCACTCAACCGGATGAGTTGATTGATCGTGCTTTACCCGATGGTCCACTTCTTCCATCATCCGGGGCATGTGTCGTGTGCTATTACCGGTCTATACCAGGTGGGTTACATGAGGACTTGCTATTACGGACAGACTGTAGTGTGTATCCATGGAAGAACCAGAATGGATTTGATAGGATCCTTCGACAGAGGATCATAACTATGTTTCAATCCCGAAAGACATTGACAAAAGGACGGCAATAAGGGCCCTTGAAAGAGTAACCATCACACATCGCTAGAAACGAGACAGAAGACATAATCAAACATGAAAGCAGCATCAATGTTTCTGAGCTTGCTGCTGTTTGGAACCTAAAAGATCCTCCAAGAAACCACTCCAAAGTTCCCTGACGACACCTGGCTCGGAGGTACCGTTCTGTTGCTTTTTCAGCTCCTCGCCGAATCTGGACTTCCCAACCGTCTCGGTTAGGGAGAAGGGATCAATGTCCACGGAGTGGTTGTCAACAACCTCGGTCATGGGACTTGCGGAGATGTCACCAGCACCCCCGGACACGGTGTAAACCTGGGGCCTCATGGGGGCCTCTTGCGACTGGGTCGGGTCATAGTGGGTATAGATGTCGGAAAGGATCGGGATTTGCGGATCGGCACGAGCAGCAGGTGCATCGATCTCTGCCATAGAAGGCATGTAAGCGAAGTCAACGGTAGATGAGTCACCGACGGCCTTGCTAGAACGGGAAGTGTTGAATTGGCGGCCATGGTACTTTCTGTTTTGAGCAAGAATGTTAGTTCCGAACTGGCTTTACCCGAGGTAACGGGCTGTCATGATGATCAGATCTACATACTCAGCGTTAGAGCTGCCGTTGATCCTCTTCATGGCGATGCTGAAGGCACGGGATTGAAGGAAATCATGGTTGGAGAGGCGTTCGACGAGCTAAGCGACGCAGATAATGGTTAGCCATAACTGTGGTTTGACCAGGAGTGTAGATGTCATAGATAGCATACCTCAGACTGGGAGCCGCTAGATCTCAAGGACCGCTTCACACATTCGGTCTTCAAATCAGCCAGAGTGCGGCTGGCATACAGGGAAGCCCTGTCCGAGACATTGGCGGGTTGTGCAGACTGGGAGCCGGTGATGTGCAAGCCCCGACGGATGGATGGGGTGGTAGAGTGCTGCTGGGAGAGCACGCGGAGAGCGCGCAACGAACTGGAACGAGGAGCTGCCATTGGAGATGTGATGGGAGGTAGAATGAGGAAGAGTTGAGCTCGTTGATATGTGCGGGTTTGGTTGAGGGGAACAAATATAATGGTCTGGGCAAATAGTTGAGCTCAAGAATGTAGAGCTAAGTATTTGATAGGGAGGAGTCAACAATTCAAGCAAGTACTGTAGATGGAAGTGACCGGCTATGTACAGCGGAGGGGGAGTCGAAGGGAGTTTAGGCACCAGAGATAAAAGTAATGGAATGTGAGAGAGAAGGAGAAGGAAGAAAGAAAGAAGCAAGACGGGGGAAGCAGGCCGTACTTGAAGGACAGGCGGACAGGCGGACAGGCGTACAGGCGTTGCTTTGCAGGAACCAGTTGGGGGAGTGATGAGCAAGCGACCTTGCCTTATCCACACGCTCCCTGCTGGGGTGGACACTCACTGGGGCCGGCGGTCTGGCCAAGTCTGCCGGCTGTTAATAGTAGAATGGAACCACTTGGTCCCGACCGAATAGATCGATCGATATGATCCTCCAACACCCCCAAACAGGTAATTCTGCCCTTCGGACTCTTCCTCTGATCGGCTTTTGTCTGAAAAATGATCGCCTGATTATTTGTTTTCCATGAGTTGGCCATCCCCCCTATTATCCGGTTTCATAAAGAATCTGATTCGAACAGAAAATCATCTCGTCCAAGGTAAAAATAAATGGTAAATGATAGTCATTCAGCTCGTGAGGGGTAGAAAGATGTGTCAACCACGGTAACAGGTACGAATGACCCGTCCCCCCAGCTCTCCCAGATCATGATATCCGCCATTTTATTCAGGCTGTCTGCAGCCCATACAGAGAGGTTACTTTTACCATCTGGTGCCAATACGGATGGGCTGGGACTCTCCAATCGCAGCCTGCATAATCACCGGCGCCATCATGCAGACTGGTGGTCGGAGCAGCCAATGAACTGAACATTACGGACATTTCTATTACTACTCGGTACACCGGAATCGCTGGTCAGTCGCTGATCGAGGGGCATTGGGAAACACGCATTGGCCTGGCAGTGTCTGGGATATGCCGTTCCTCGAATGGCAGATAGATTAGCTTCCCCTCATCGCAGTCGCATTATCCTTCCCCTCCTCTGCAGCAGCGGCACAACATCCATGAAGGTGCGCCGTGAATATATCATCGAGCATTATTATCTAGCGCGATGCGCGAGAGGGGCAGGAGATGATCCCTTCTTCTCTTGAAGGGTTCTACATATCTGTCGTGGTATTTCTTCTTCCATGCCTGCTAGACTGATAGGTAGTCTCCTGCTCATCATTGGCAATCGGAGTTGGTGAAACTCTGCGACTGTCCCGTATTACATCAACCACTTTTGAGTTTATTCCACCATCCGGACTGAGTTTCCCACTTTTAAACCTGAAGATAGTCTTCATTTTTCCCTCATCAACCAGACACTCGAAATCTAATCCTGTGCGAGAGAGTGTTATGACAGGAACAACAACTCAAAACGTAAGCTGTTGCTCTGTACGTGGTTTCCTAAAGCAGTAGTCCATCCACCTGCGGCGACACCTTCTATCTCCGTCCGTCACAACCTGCTGGAGCTCGGCGGCCGTGACGCAATGAAGAAACAACCAACGATATTCGAGAAGCTTACTAGCGCCAACGGGATTAAACCAGCCAATACCGTACTTTACTATGCCTTTTACCGAGAGGGATGCGTGTACAGACCCAACAACCGTCCCTCATCCAACCTGCCAGGTAGGCCGATCTTGAATCGGGTGATTTCAAGTGGAAACGATGATTGGCAGGATGGATGGGACGATGGATGCTTACTTCACAGAGCTGTACTGTGTAGCATGATGCGACGCCTCAAGGCTGGAGATGACTGGCTCGGGGAGTGCCTACTCCCCTCAACAGTTGAGGAGCGGTGAAGTGGAGACGGACGGGATGGGGCACGTGAGGTCGATCTGGCTTGCCCGGCAGCTTCCCCCGTGGATCCTTCCCCCGACTAAAATTAAGGTACTCTGATTTACGCCGTAGTCCCCATACCCTACGGAGTCCCCTTTCACCTCCTCTAGCCCTTCCGCAACGAGATACTCTGATATACGCCGTAGTCTACATCCTCTACGGGGTTACTCTTCCCCCATCTCATTTCAGCCCCTGATCCTGCTCGAACTCAACAAACGCAGACTCAGCCACCATGACTTGTTGGTGCTTGCAACGGCAAAAAGTAAAATCATGGGACATGTTTCGGTGACTCCCGTATCCTCCGCAGGATTCCGGCGGTTCCCTCCATCTTCCATTCTATTTCTTGCCCGTCTGAATGTCGTACTTCATGCATCAACTGATGAGATCCTTCTATGGCCTTTCCTTTTTTGGATTCCGGAGAAGCACATTTCAAACTCGACTAGATACACGTTAATAAGTGCTTATCAGCCCCTACCCGTTTGCTGATTGCATCGACCCAGCTAAGCCATGTAGTCATCGGAGTTAGAACGTGCAGGTACGATAATCAACTGAAAAATATGACCTCTCCACTACGACTTGGCTGTCGCATCTTGGAGCTTTGTTCTAAGTATGGCAGGGATTCCAAGAAATCAAGGCTTCAGCCAGCCCCGCATTAGTCTGTTTTCAGATGCATCTGCACTGATAACCCCTCCAAGCATGTGAATCGTTTCCATCGTCTTTAACAGGGTCCCTAAGGCGGTAATTACCTTGCGGATCCTACAACCCTCCCTGCCCAGGCATACACATTTTTAGTTATTGACCTACCCTATTCGTCTAACGGTATATACATCCCTTGCGTGCATAGCATAGCATGGACCCGTTAGGTAAATGGCAGCTCTTTGCCTTTCCTCTTCTTGGTAGCTGAAAAAGCACGCCATTGTCTGGATCCACGCAAGTGTCGTCCGGCCACTTCCACATATCCGAAGTTCATATCTCTTAAGTAGCGCTGACTATCTATGAACTCATGGTTGGATACCGATCGCTGTGACATTCTGGTTGCTATCTAGCATGCCCCTCCTTATCCAGGGATTGATACGACGAGTGCTATCAATGAAGCATGAACCATGCGACTAGTCGACTGTCTATAACTAGCTTACCTTGCGCATGCCACTGGAAGCCTGTCCCGTCGAGTAGTGACCGTTTAGCTGTCTATTCTTATGTATTTCGGAGAATAATGATTCTACGTGTATGCTTGGACTACAAGATACCTCGATATACCGTCACCTTGACAGAAACACAGGCATCACATGGTATAGTGCTATTCAGCAGATAGCACCTTTCATATTGCAAATTCACTCACATACTTTCTATCTTTAACTCTGGAACGCACCTCCAGGGCATTCAAGCCCAAAATACGGCAAAGACATGCCTAACCTATACAGTTGTATACCGCAAGGCTACACAGTCGTAAAATTCATCAACCACATGGCCCAAATAAACTTCACAGAACAAAAGCATCATGCAACTTCCTACCGAAATGTAAGCCACGAGTCTCATCGCACGACGCACCAACAAGCACACACGACGGGTCCAGCATCCAAACTAACCTACTAAAAGCTTGGGCTTATCTCCTATCTGCCTATCCACTACCTACCGGGGAAACCAGACCCTTCTCCGACGGTGGGCCGGCCATCCATAGTTACATAACATAACTAATTCTGAATAATGCATCCTGACATAATCAATTCAACTCACAGCCACAGCCACACAAATTCGATTGTGATCGATGACTGTGGCTGTTCCCAAGCCATAATCATCCCCAGAATTTCAGGCACCGCAACCGCATTCCTGTGAGTCAGTCAGGCATTGGTACTTCGATCTATCTAGCTTACTATTATTCTATTTTATCCATTCTGTCCCACTTTCTGCTCTTTCTTGCCCCTCCCCCTCACTCGCCCCTTGTAAGGCTGTGTGTGTTTCCATCTAGGAGGGAACTTTTTTTTTTAATTCTCTCCCAACTAAAACGCATACTGATGCAACGGGCTACTACTGGTGTAGGGTATCTCGTGAGACAGTTTGGTACTACAGCTACTACTATCAATAGTAATAATCTGAGGGGTTGTTGTTTTCATCGCTCTAGATCACTACTACTAGGTATGTTGCGGAGATCCCAGGCTATATAGGTTCTGTGGGGGCGGGGTGATTCCTCTCCTGCTTTTTATTCTCGTGACTTTTGGAGGGTATTAGTGGGGTAAGAATGGTTGTGACTGACTCATTTGCTTTTTTGGAAGATCTAGTGTCTTTGGATTCTGGTATTAGTACTGGTACTATTACTAGATTTGCTGGGGTGGCGTTGCATCATCAGCGTGCTTCTTATTCTTCTTGTTCTTTATTAGGCAAAAGAAGCTTTTCTACTACTCCTTCGCTTCATTATAGTCAGGGATACCTGGCTAAGAGTACGGTCAAGATGGGTGATTCTGAGGCTGTTCCTACTGCTACTGCTACTGCTACTGCTAGTAAACCTATCAGATATGTTGATGTAGGTAGACATTCACTGCCCCTCCGTGAAACCCTCGCTGTTCGTTGCCATAGTAGCTAATGAAGAGACTCCAGATTGGAATCAACCTGAGTGATCCCGTATTCTCGGGTAGTTACCATGGCAAACAGGTTCACGACAGTGACCTGGACGACATTGTACAACGTGCAAAGGACATCGGGTGCCAGAAATTCATGGTGACTGGCTCCGACCTGGAGGAGTCTCGGCGCGCACTCCAACTTGCACATGACTACCGTACGTTTGTTATCCGCCGCTAAGTTAGCAGTGATCTCGTCTGACTTTACTTCCCTTGCAGCTGGATTTTGCTATGCAACTGTTGGTGTCCACCCTTGTCAGGCGAAGATGTTCGATGAGTACCCCGGTGGACCTTCCAAAATGCTCGAAGAGCTCCGGACGCTCGCATTGCAGTCGAAGGAGAATGGACAGGCTGTCGCGTTCGGTGAAATTGGCCTGGACTATGATCGCTTGTTTTTGAGTGCGAAAGAACCTCAGCTGAAGTACTTTGAAGCCCAGTTGGATCTTGCTGTAGAGATTCAACTCCCTCTTTTCCTTCATTCTCGCGCTGCTAGTGAGGATTTTGAGAAATTGTTGGGGCCGCGACTGGCCAAGCTCCCCAAGAGGGGACTTGTGCATAGTTTTACGGGGACTTTGGAGGAGATGGAGCGCATGGTGGCCCTTGGGCTTGATATCGGCGTGAACGGTTGCAGTCTGAAGACAGAGGAGAATCTCGAGGTGGTGAAGGCCATTCCGCTGGAGAGACTCCAGATCGAAACAGACGGCCCTTGGGTATGCCTCACCTTACGGTCATTTCATTCGTATCTTTACTGACTTTGACCTATAGTGCGAAATTCGTCCTTCCCATGCCTCGTCGAAATACCTCAAGGGTGCACCGGAGTTGCCAAAGGCTGTCAAGAAGGAGAAGTGGCAGAAGGGTCTCATGGTCAAGGGTCGCAATGAGCCTGCCGCGATAGCCCATGTCGCCTACGTCATCGCCCAGATCAAGGGGATAACGGTGGAAGAGGTCTGCGAAGCGTGAGTATTTCCTCATACCATCGGAAATAGCCTGAATATGTCGCTAAAATATCTCATTCTAGTGCTTGGAATAACTCGATCAACATGTTTGGGCTTGGGGAAGATGCATGATTATAATGCTGCATCTAGAACATATTATTAGGCCCTCTGTTACAAAGCTTTCACTAACCTCGCATAGCCCCTCCATGAATTCCGGCTACCCGCTGAGGAAAAATTCACTTGTCTTTTGATTATTATAGATAGATAATGATGCTGGAAAAAAAAAATAACCCTTTAATGATGTGATGTTGGTGCCTTTCTTGCAGTCGCGCCCGACCACCGATCCGTTTCTAGACGCTGAGTCAGTCGGCCCCAACCATGGTTCCTCACAACGGCTAGACTCTGCTCCTTGTCAACTGCTGCTGCTGCTGAAACGCAAATTCTATACTGCATTCTCCCACTCCCCTCTATTTATTCTGTCATGAAGAACGAGAAGCAAAACTGTCGTCAGCCTTTCTGGTAGGTGCTTCCAGGAAGTAACCAACGTGAGTAGCTATCTGGCTTTACTCTGCCACGAGACGCTCGCAGGGGTTCCTTCTTGCATCACTTGAGAGCTGCACCGAGAGCTGCGCCGCACGTGTCTGTTCCTGCTTAAGCATTGTGCTCGCGTGAGGTCTGACGGCAGAAGCTAGCTCGCTTTCTATTGACCTTCTTTTACATCAGCTCACCGCCCATACTTGTCCCAGCTCCATACTACTCAGACCTCATCTCTTATTCCGCCCTAGGTTGTGCGTTGACTACTGAAGATCCCCTTCAATCTATTTCATCATCGCAAAAAGACGGATCTTCTATCATCGTCATTATGTCTCCTAGTCGGATCTTTTCCGTTTGAGGCATGCGAGTCAGCCTTACTCGTGTCTCACAAGCTTTCCCCTTTTGCGCATAATCCCTTTCTTCCCAAGGCAGTTTCCGGTTATTGAGCTTGAGGCTGGTTCTTCTTGCTCCTGGTGGTCTTCATTGTATCCCCCCTACTCCCCCCTTCCTCATAAATTCGAAGTTGTGAGACCTCTGAGTCTTGCTACTTCTCTATGGAGGTGTTGAGTCATACAGCCGCTGGGTGTCCGGATCACCAGGGTACCAGTATGGCCTGTCCGTTGACCGAGAAGAATTCGAACAGCTCTCTTAAGAGTACCAATGGTGAGTGATTAGTTTGCTGACAGTGAACATATTGGGCTTTCCTGATCTCTCTATTTTCGTCTGTTGCTTACAATAGCTAATCAACGTTCCAGATATAGCTCGTCATAAAGCCTCCTCTGTGGAGTCTGAGTCTGTACAGTCAGAGCTACCAGTTAATTTTGGAGAGGTCGTGAAAGGGATATATCGCTCTTCCTTTCCATACCCCTGGAATCTTGCAGCACTCAAGAAGCTGGGACTGAAGACCATAATGTACGTATCTCTGCGAGCTTGCGCATTCGTGACAGTTAACTAACCAGACCTTAGAACACTGGTTGATGAACCATACCCCCAAAGCCATGTGATGTTCGTCAAGGAGAACGGCATTGCACATCATCGCATTTTGGTTCAGGCAAACAAGGACCCTAATGTTAAGATACCTGACTCTGTCATGTTTCGAATCCTTGAGCTTCTGCTCGATAAGAGCAACCATCCTGTTCTCGTCCATTGCAACAAGGGAAAGGTAAGCACTCGTCTTCTTTTTGGTTTTGACGCGTAACTAATATCTTTTTTTAAGCATCGTACCGGATGCGTGGTTGCCTGTTTTCGCAAACTTCAAGGCTGGGATTCATGCGACGTCATTGAAGAATACCTTCGATATGCCTTTCCAAAACCGAGATTACTCGATGAAAACTACATCGACCGATTTGACCCATCCCAACTTCAGCAACTTGCTCAGTCTTCCGGTGTCAAGACGTGGCAGTCATCCGGGCTCTTCAAGATGCCACCGCAAGAGCAGGATAGAGACAAGGAATCCCCCAACTGCCACGTCCCTCCATCCCTTTAAAGAGGCCCATGCGGTTCTATGACTCACATCATAGATATGACCAGACCTCCACCCTCCGACTCTCCATTGATCAAACGACCTCCGTCCTGACAATCCGATACTCCTAGTGGCAAATTTCTCAGCCATCTGTCCCTTATCAAGGGACAGTAGGAATGATCGGTTTAGGACCCCATACTACCTCGTTCCTATTAGAACTACTCCCTAACTATTTCTTCTCTGAACTAAAAAGCATAAAATATTGGTTGACGGCTGGATCGTGATAAAGAAGCTTTAATGCTGTGTCGGAGGGATTTTCACTTTTGCTATACTCGCTTATTTTATACCCCTCAAATGTCTAAAGATAGACTGGTTCCTGGTACTTGTTGTCACTCCGTCACTAGTGTACTATTTATTGTGGGAGTAGATTGGAGATTTTCAGTCTTCAATAGGGCTTACGTGTCAAGAAAAAGACACGGGAAGACAAAAGGCTATTTTGTTATGGCTAAAGTGTATTTTAGACAATCGTCCTACTAAACTCGAAAAGAAGAGAATATTTTTAAAAGGTTTATGATCCCATTAGGTTTGTCAGAAGTACTAATAATAACTGAACATGTTAGTACAGAATCAATTTCCCCTGGACAGCGCTAGTAATCAGTATCATCGTTGTGACTACTAGGCTGCTCTACAACATATAATAATGATATAAGTACTATATAGTTCCTACTGTATATACCAGTAACAAGCCATCTCCGACAAAGATAGTACTACCTCAACAACATTAAGTAGTACCATAACGCTCAAAAACTACTGCAGAGCATATCGTCGTCATCGTGGTCATCTCCAAATCCTTCAAATTCTACCACATCATCTGAAAACAGCGTGTAAGTCACATCATCTTCACTGAATCGATCAGACATAATTTCCTCGTCGTCATCCTCGTAATCATCCTGAGAGAATGGCAGTGACCCGCATGACGAAGGAGGTGCAGCAGCAGTAGTAGTCGATAGCATCGCGCAGCTACTACTCTCATCGGGCTCACTGAACCCAAGAAGTTCTTCTTCTCCATCGGAAGAATATCCTGGTTCTTCATACATTCGTTCTTCAACTGGCGACGGCTGGTCTTTGCATTGAGGGTTGGGTGGTGGGGACTGAAAGCGCAGTTTCCGGGATGCTTGTGGCTTGTAGAGCTGTTTCTGGGCGATGCGGAAAAGTGATGCACTTATAGTGTTTCTGATATTGTTTGTGTCTGTGTTTGCTGTAGCGGACTGGGACGTGTTATTATTTTTTAGCTTGCCTAGTTTGGATTGAAGGGATTGGTGGTTGGGGAGCTTGAGTATGGAAGAAAGTGATTTCGTGATTGAGGGGATTAGGGTTGATCGTTGATTCATTTCCTGGTGGAGGGGTGAGCTAGTCATTCTCGTTGTGGTAGTGATGGGCCTTACCCTGTGGTAGTTCGGGGTGAAGACCGAGGGTGCAATTTGTGAAAGAGGTTGTAGCTTCTTGCTTTGGGGATCACCTTGACTAGTTGGTGTAGTGCATCCGAATAAAAGAGCTTCCAGGCCGATCATGAAGAGATTGTTCAGTTGTCCACGCTGTTCATTCGGTGGAATCTCTTCGGAGGATTCTTCTGTGGGAATGGGAAGCGGGGAGCTCTGTTCGCTCTCAAGCAACCCTTCTAGCTCATCGATGAAGGTTGTGGCTTGAGTGTTGTCAGAGTAATTCGTATACAAATCTGGTTGGGGGCCAAACAAAATGGTATCTTGCGTGCTATTTAGTATATAGTCCATGTAGTAATAGTCTCCTACCGGATCCGTTTTTGTCAAAGAGCCAGTATTCAGTATATATAGCTGTGCGTTTTCAGCTTGGGTAGTGAAAGACATAGATGCATTGACTGTAGATAGATAAACAGACTTGATGTAGTCTGGAGGATGAATATTGTCAAGATAATCGAATAACATTGTCTTCCGTGTAGGTCTCGTCTTCGACTGTTTTAAGTCCCTTTGAATGCCGATGATGAGCTTGAAGGAGGTGACATTGCCGTAGTGGAGATGACTATAGCTCTTAAATAGCGCAACAAGGCCAAGGTCTGACCAGAGCTTGGTAAGCACGCCATTCGTTAGCTCTTTTCACAAGACGACTTAACTCTGAAGCTGACCATGAGAATACCTTGTAACTACACATCATCTCTCCGACTGAGGAAGCGAAAGTGGAGACCGAAAGGACCATCGACGCATCGATATTGATCGAAATGCAGAGCTCGAGCTCGGGAGTTTGGAACACCCATAGATCTTGCGATTTGAGCAGCCTCTCGATACAGGCAGCATCCGTTAAGCCAGTGTCGTCAGGAATTAGTACTTGAGCTGAAGCATGAATATTGAGATCGATAGTTGAATCAAGGGAACTAAGTCGATCTTCTCCAAGATCAATTGTCAAAACCATCCCGTGGCTTTATATAACGAGCAGTCAGCATGAACATATACATTTATGAAGTAGCCCCCCGGTCAACTGGGGAAGTGGTTGTAGTAGACGAAAAAGGAAAGGAGAGGCGGGATCTATGACTGTGGAGAACTAAGCGGAATAGACGTCGCCGATCTCAATTCCCTGCATTTCTAGCTCTGCTCACCTTCACTATGTGGAGCGTATAGTCGCATGGATGAAGCATGTTCACACTATGACAGACTGGTGAGATCAACATAGACCAAGAAACCCGTACTAACTAGGAACTACCCTCGAACATGAGGACTAACACGTCTCCACTACCTTGTGTCACAAGCGCGCGGGATCGGAAGCGCATGAAGCTTATCGCGAATATACTCCCAAAAGAAAAAAGGGAGTCGTGCGTCTCCAATGCAGCTTCAGCGAATTGAGTAGCTAGTTCATCAAGGCGGCATAAGCATTATAATTCTCAAACGTTACAATTGTTTGTAGGCTGGTATGATCGCTGCCCAAAGCAGTAAAGTACTTTGGGTGTTATTGACTGATCTATTGACATTTATTTTTAGCCGGCTTATCGATAAGACATCACGTGCCTGGGGATTGATTACCTGGCCCCTAAAGCATCCTCCGCATCAGGGATTCCTAGTTTCAGGAGCTTCACAATCCAGCGATGCCCAGTGATGAAGGACAGCGCGCTCTCTTGGCTGACCAGAAAGGCCCCGATGGGCCGGAATCGCAGTCACTTCTCTCCGAGTCGCCGACACAAGACTTCGAGCTTGTGAACCATGCGGCCCCGACTAGCTCGACTCCCCGCGGACAGCCGCACCAGTCTTCCATATCACAGCCGGTACCAGAGGGACAGCGCCGCACTCCTCGAACGATGAATCGAGTACGCTTTGACCTGGACGACGAGACCGAGGATGAAGACCACCCCAATGGTCGTCGCGACTCCGGAGACTCATGGCTGGAGGAAGAGGACTATGGCCGTGCAGACCGCAACCGGTCAGCCAGGCAAATGGTCCCTCTGCTGACAGACATTGAGGCCCCGAGCGTGACCCTGGCTACTTCCGATGAATTCTTTCCCGAAGAACACCTAGAAAGTGCGAGGCCGAGGAGTGGGATGCGCATGGCCTTTATGAACATGGCCAATAGCATTATAGGAGCTGGTATAATAGGACAGCCTTATGCCCTCCGACAGGCTGGCATGTTCATGGGAATAACACTCCTGATTGTCCTCACTATTGCTGTTGATTGGACAATTCGTCTGATAGTGGTCAATTCGAAGTTGAGCGGTGCGGACTCTTTCCAGGCAACAATGCAGCATTGTTTTGGCAAGAGTGGACTTATCGCCATATCGGTTGCGCAGTGGGCGTTTGCGTTTGGCGGCATGATTGCGTTCTGTATTATCGTTGGAGATACCATACCGCATGTCTTGAGTGCTTTATTCCCTTCCCTTCGTGATATGTCGTTCCTCTGGCTTTTGACCGACAGACGCGCTATCATTGTTCTTCTTGTTCTCGGAATTTCGTATCCCCTGTCTCTGTACCGAGACATTGCTAAGGTACAGTATCAGTAATCCTCAAAGCTGAAGTATACGGTGCTGACAGTTCAATGTAGTTGGGAAAAGCGTCTACCTTCGCGTTGATCAGTATGATAGTCATTGTGGTAGCTGTGATCACGCAGGGGTTTCGCGTACCTCCAGAATCACGCGGGGAAGTGAAGAGCCTGCTCCTGGTTAATGATGGCTTCTTCCAGGCTGTTGGAGTGATATCATTTGGTATGTTCCGGTCATTGGTAGACTATGCGATCAAAAAACCGTACTGACTGTTTGCAGCATTCGTATGCCGTATGTAGCATTGTCCCTTAACATGGCCCGAGACTAACAGATGCAAAGATCACAATAGCCTTCTGATCTACGGTTCATTGAAGAAACCGACCATGGACCGATTTGCAAGGGTAACCCACTACTCGACTGGTGTATCACTCTTGATGTGTCTAGCTATGGGCATCTTTGGTTTCCTTTTCTTTGGATCACAGACTCAAGGAAACGTCTTGAACAATTTCCCATCCGACAATATTCTGGTCAATATCGCACGACTGTAAGATCACGGCCCATATTCCGCGGACATTCAACAAGCTGACCCGAAGAAGATGCTTTGGCCTAAACATGCTCACTACCTTGCCGCTCGAAGCATTTGTATGTCGGTCGGTGATGACAACCTACTACTTCCCTGACGAGCCTTTCAACATGAACCGACACCTGATATTCACATCGGCACTGGTCGTGTCCGCTATGGCTATGGCTTTGATAACGTGCGACCTAGGTGCAGTATTCGAACTGATTGGTGCAACCAGCGCTGCTGCACTGGCCTATATCTTTCCGCCTCTTTGCTATATCAAGCTGAGCAATGCGTCGCACAAAGCCAAGATCCCCTCATATTTGTGCATTGTATTCGGCATAACTGTTATGGGAGTCAGCCTGTTGCAGGCCGTGATGAAGATGATAAGTAGTAGGTCCAAGACCCTATTCACCTGATGGCCTCTGGACTGGCTTTGCTAACAATTTTCACTTGCTGCCATAGATGAAGGCGGCGCGAGCACCTGCAGTGCTTAGCGTAAAAATATTCCTATTCGGTCTCTGAGCATATTTCAGCTCACTTCCCATCTGATAGACTTCATTTCTTTCTGGCTGCCTCGATATAAATGTACATACTGTCGTGCGCCATCATGTTTCTATATCCAATTTTTGCCTCATCCGTATTAACTTCTGGTACCGAAATATGTTTCTATATTGACATAACCGTGATAGCTGTGCTATACCAGCCGCGACGCCTCAGAAGGCAACACTTAGGATGGAATAGGGAGTGTAGTGTGGTGGCTACCGATTTCACTTGGCATACGAAGACTAATACCTCGTCGATTGCTCCGATTTGAAACTTGCTCGAAACTGTCAAACTTGTCCAATTAACCCGAGCTTGACTTTGGGTGGCTGCAAAGCTGCGTTTGCAGGCATCCTAGTACAGCAGGTACTCACCCACAACACGCAATTGTTTCACTTAGCCTTTATATGATTCTCGTATCTTCCTTTCTATCCATCTGACTTCTGAAATATCCATCCACAGCGCCGACTGCCAGCATATTTTTTCTGCCTTCTTGGTAGCCAAACCCCTCATTCATTGCACCCAAAACTCGATCGTAATACCTACTGCCCTGCTTTACCCCCACATTTGTGTTTCCCCTTCAAGGTTCAACTGTTCAAAGTATCCATGCTGTTTTGACTGGTTGGTTTAGTGGCGACATTTTCTACTATTCCTCCCTGACAAAAACATTTTCGTACCTTATCCTCACCCTCGCCTTCCTGACTACCTCTGCGACCTTGAGATGTCATTCACTTGAAATTGCTAGTGATGCCTGGGCAACAGAATCTCCCCCGGGGCTACTTCACTCTCTGGTAAGGCTAACGCGTTTAAAAGACGCGTCCAGCTCTCCCTGAGTGAACTCATGGATCTTTCCGTCCCAACTCATTTTAGAACAGACATCTGAACATCGATTTGTTTCTGCAATTGCAGCATCATCTCTTCGATAAGATGGATTCCAATACTTCAGATCGCCTCAAGAGGCTTCAAATGGTACGTTGTGCAAAGAACCAGGAAGTCCATTTCTATCATACACGCTTTTTGGAGTAGAGTCAATGGCTAATCCAGACTTCCACCCCGATAGGAAGACCTCGGAACCGCACGACGGGAGTACATCTCAACTGCAGATGACAGGCGACATAAGAAGGCTAGGTTGGAAGACATAGAGGCAATACGGATGACAAACGTTTCTGGTTCAGCTGCTCAACGCATGGCCACCGCAAACCAGGGGAGACTTGAGGATTGGGCAAGTAAGTCATTGGAAAGGAGAACCTCTCAAATGTTATGCCTGTTTCATCTTGCTGAACTTCTGTACTCAAGATGTCCACAAGACAATAGGTGATACCGAAGACCTGGAAAACCTTGACAGCCTCCTGGATGGACAAAGTCATCGACTTCAGCTAAGCGCCATGATTCGGGGAAGTGGAGGCCAAAATTACATAGGGGATCAAAGGCGCTCTGGTTCTGCTCCGGCTATCAGGTCATTGCATCCGGTCGGTCGTGGCGGCGGCGTGATAGGCACCCGAGGACGTGGAACAAGGCAGAGCTCTTTACCGTGAGTATCAAACGTTTTTCTTTACCTATTACAGATTTCTGGCTAATATGTAAGGAATATGCAGGCCGTCCAACTTTGCACCCAGAGGCCATGCTGCTCAGCCTCAGAAGCGGTCCCATAGAGATGCAGCTCTTGACGACAATGACTTCTACCGCACGGCTCGTGAGGGAAACGCTTCAAGGAAGGTAGAAGCCATGAGAGGACAAAACAGACGATCTTGTAAGCTATTGGTATTCGCATTAGTGAGATACATGGCACCTAATACGATCCTTCTAGCTGTGCGAAGGCCTACGTCTTCTATGTCCAAACCGAGAAGACCCGTGTCACAGTATGTTGCGATTACCATCCCCTAAATGATATCAAATCAAACCTTACATTTGGATACAGGGTTGACTATAGTAGCATGCTCAGTCAGCCACAGAGTTTCCTTGCTGCCGCTCGCAGTCTGGTCAGCGCTAGAACTACGCCGGCTGCCCCTACTCCCGCCTCCCAAGCATCTCGCGATGCTGGCAGATCTGAGGCCAGTCAAAAGTCTTCAATTCAAATGGACACCACGGATAGGCTTACTATTCAGGAGACGCAGCCGCATTCGAAGCCCCAACTGGCGGAACATTCCAAGCCTCTTCCCCGTCCAGTAGTTCAGCTACCGGCAATTCCCCCTCGGAGCACGGCTTTGCAGCGAGAGAGTGCAACCAAGACGGACGAGCCGCTTCCAGTCTTGCCATCTCCAGCCGTACTCGATACCACCAGTCAGGATCAAGGGTCTGCCTCTATGAGCTTGGAGTCGACGGAGGCTGAACAATCTAATTCTGGAATGCCTGAAAGCCAAGCTGGAACACGAGAACAAGTTACCACTGACCCGTCTACAGAGGCAGCTCCTGCACCGGATGCTATAGATACCACTCCAAAGGTAGCAACTGATGTCAAAGAAGCCATCCTGCTTGACTTTAGCTCCACACCACCGGAGCAAAGCATCCATGGCCAAAGTCCTGCTACTACGGAGGTGCTAACTCCTTCTCTTGAAGACCTGAAAGGCCTTGACTTTAAACAGGATCTTCACCCTAGGTTTCCTACTAGAAGAAAATTTGACTTTGACATGTCTTTGGACAAAAGGGAACCATCCACTAATGAGCGTGATATCATGCCTACCAAACAACATAACAATTCCGAAGCCAGCGAGGATCTGCATCGACAGATTAATATGCTGTGCGAGCTTTTGCAGTCGACTTCTCTTTCGGGTGAGCACCGTGAAAGCCTGAAGCAATGCAAGACAGCACTCGAAGGGAAGTTGCAAGGCGCTTATGACTCCACAGGTAAAACAACTCAGACACAACAAGACCCTTTCCTTGGAAAGCCGGTTCTTGAAACTCTTGAAGCTGCAGCTGAGCCAGATGAACAAACACAATCGACCATCAGTGGTCTAGGTATACATAATGTAGCCTTGGACAGATCCACCCCCATAAAAGCTGAGCCGATAGTCGAAACAGACAAGCAATCGACCTCTAGCACCGGCGGACAGATCATGCCTACATCAGTGGAGAATGCCCGACTAGCGATGGCAAGTCCAAGCCCTTCCACCCGACTGAACGTGACCGCGCCGCCATTCGTCCCAAAGACACCCTACCGCGCCCAGTCGAATAGTTTCTCAAGCGAGTCAAATGCGACATGTGTGCCTGAAACTCCCTGCCCGCACCGTCGCGTGAGCATGCCAGAAGGACACATATTTGGCGATCACCTACTGCCAGGTAGGCGTAGAGAGACCATATCCTCTGGAGCCGAGCCGCTTGCGGCGAAGCAGCCAGCGACCGATGGTAAGTACTATCTTTATCTATGTATATATGCATATCTCTCATGTCCAATACTAGTTTCAACTCCAGAAGTTCCTGAACCCCGTTTCAAGTTCTCGATTCCGCCGAAAGTCTCGCACAAGTTGACTATCAAGACACCAGTCAGGGAAGGATTTGGCAAAGAGGAGACCCCCAGACCAATTGCGCCTCGACTTGCATCAGGAAACATTCCCAGCCCGGCCACCAGACCTTCACCTGCTCTGCAACAATCTGTCCATGCCCCGAAGCCCAAGCCCTCCCCCTCCGCCCTGGGCGGTCTTGAGAGCTCTAGATATGCGTCGCCATCGAGCAACAAACCTTTTCGATAATCCTAATGACACTTACTAATCGGTGAAAATAAGGTTGTTGTTGTGTGTTATCTACAGTTTGATCATGTTGTACTTAGTACTACTACTTAGGTAATAACTAAATGTTGAAAGAGCCGCATATTGTAGGATTAAGCGGGTTTGCTTCATACAATTTTATACTTGACTGTTCCGTATTAACATGGTTCATGACAAGTAGCATATTCAAATTGATTCTAAACAAACGTCATACTTCTCATACTATAGAAGACATTCTATGGTGAGGATAGAAAAGTTACATATACATTTTACAGCTTCGCCTTGACCTTGAGCATCGCCTCTGCCACTTTCCGTCGCTGAATCTTACCCGTCGCTGTCTTGGGGATCTGCGGAACAAGCCACACCTACAATATAAAGTCCAATTAGTGACCCCATATCACATCAAAGCAACAACAAATGGAGGGGGGAAACCCACCTTCTTCGGCGTCTTAAACTTCGCCAACTTCGACTCCACCCACGCCTTCAATTCCTTCTCAGTAGCAGCATCCCGACTCTTAAGCACCACCGCAGCACCGATATCCTCCCCGTAGTGACCCTCATCCGGAATAGCGAAGCACACAGCCTCCGCGACCTTCGGGTGATGCAAGAGCGTATTATCCAATTCAATTGGACTGATCTTCTCACCGCCCTTATTGATAAGTTCCTTGATACGGCCCGTGATGATAACGTAGCCATCGGCGTCTTTCTTGCCTTGGTCTCCTGTACGGAAAAATCCGTCTGCTGTGAAGGAGGATGCGTTGGCGGAGGGGTTGTTCAGGTAGCCCTTTGTTACGTTGTCGCCTCGGACGCAGATCTCTGCTTCTTGGCCTTGAGGCACTTCGTTGCCGTTGTTGTCGAGGATTCGTACTTCCACGCCTTGGCCTAGGCCTACGCTGCCGGGTTGGCGTTTTCCTGGGGGAAGGGGGTTGCTGGTCATTTGGTGGGCGGCTTCGGTCATGGCGTAGGCTTCGAGGACGGGGGCGTTGAAGGCCTTTTCTAGGTCTTGGAAGGTTTTGGGCGAGAGGGGTGAGGAGCATGAGCGGATGAAGCGGATTTGGGGGACTGGGTTGGGAAGGGGTGTTTTGAGGAGGATTTGGTGGATGGTTGGTACTGCTGTGTACCAGTTTGCTTTGTGGGTGGTGAAGTCCGTCCAGAAGTCTGTGGCGGAGAATCTGGGAGGGACTATTACGGAGCCTCCGGAGTATAGAGGGGCTAGGAATGCTGCGAGGAGACCGTGGACGTGGAATAATGGCATCACGAGGTATGTTCGGTCTGCTGGGGTGAGGTTGTATGTTGCTTGGATGTTCCCTGTAGTGGGTTAGTGGATTTGGTCTTGGGATTGTCTATATTTTTGCTTTTGCGAGTGTGTCTGTATAGTTGTATTGCTACTTACTCATTGTGGTTGTTAGGTTCTTGTGAGTGAGTGGGACCTGCATGATAAGTGGTAGATCGGAATGTTAGTGATATGAGATATCCAATGGGATGTGGGATAGTAGATCGAGCTTACAGCTTTGGGCCTGCCAGTAGTCCCACTGGTATGTAGAACGAGGGCAATGTCATCGGGTTGAGCTTCCTGAATATCTGCGCCTCCATTGCCTGCCAGTTTTCCATGTTCCTTGACATCTAGAATGATCTCGGAACCGTTCCAGTAGCACTCCGCGATAGCGGCCTGGTACTTCCGGCCCGCGCGAACAGCCGGTCCATCCTTTATGTATGACCCCTTCGGAATTAAAAGCAGAGTGGAGCTCAGATCGTCAATGTAGAATTCGAATTCCTCTTGCTTATAGGCCGGGTTCAAGGGCGCGGCGATGGCACGCTGCCAGGAGGCGGCAAGAAAGGCGACTATGAACTCATAGGAGTTTATCAGAGCCAGCGAGACGGCAGCGCCATGAGTGACACCCAGTCGAGCTAGCTTAGCCTGGAAATCGGCGATATGGTTATGTAACTGCTGATAGGAGATCGACAGCGGAGTGGGTTTATTGGGGACTAGGACAGCAAGGTCAGCACTATCGGAGGAAAATGACCGGGCCAAGGTCGCCATCGTCGTTAGTATGCTGCAGATAGTAACGCTTAGGGTCTTGGCTTGGCAGGGATGCTGATCGGAATTGATTCAATAGAGTTGATGAGATCCAATTGCTTATGGGACTTGTGAGATGAAGAATCGGGATTCAGGAAGTATTCACAACACCACGAGAAATTGTTTCCCAGGGTATTTTGCTGAAGGGATAGGGGTTCCCTTTCTTGTCTTCCCATCCGACCTCGGGATCTCCTCTTTGGGCTCCGCTCCCCCATTATTTCCTGTTTGGGACAGCTGATTCTGGTTAGTCACCGCCACAATGCAGCAAACTAAGCAAACCATGTAAACTAGACAAACCTCTCCTCATTCTATCGGCCCCGTTCACATTACTTGGGTGATCGATTGATGGTACGCTGTGAAGCTGTCGCTTGAACTGTCCCCTTCATGCTTATTAGATCTTGATTTCTCTTCATTTTGTATCAGGCATGGCTTCTGATTCCACCCCCGCGAAGCCAGGGGGCACCTTGTCACTCTACGCCAATCTTCTAGATCCATCTGCCGATAACTCGCCCGGAACGATCGCTCGCGCCCCGGTCGTCTTTAAGCAGAGTAGCACTACCGAGAATAATGACTCTCAGTCCGATGAATCCGCTGCCAAAAAGCAGCAGCTCAGTGCTGGTAGACTCATACCCTCTTTTGTTGACTGAGCCGTTTTATCTGCATTTGACCGATCTGATTGCTCACTTGTCCGCCCGGTTGTTCTCATCGGTGGTTTCCAGCTTCTCTCAGATTTCAGCCTACCAAGAGGCCCCAGCTAGCAGCTCAGAAACCGAAACCGAAACCGACGTTACCAAAGACTGCTGCTGCGCCCGCGGCCCCGGCAGCAGCCCCCGTGAAGACTACTCTCGCAGATTGGGCAGCCACTGAGGATGACGATGTCAATGGATTCTATGCCGGTCCGAAGAGGCAACGAGGTGGGCGCAAGAAGCGCAAGAAGAACCGCGAGGCGCAGGAGTTTGTACAGAACTGGGACGACATTTATGACCCGTCGCGACCTAACAACTACGAAGAGTACAAACACAGTGACGAACAAATAGCTGAGGTGAGGGAGTGGAAAGACCGTCTTTACGCACATCGCATGGCCAGATCGCCCAGCAGGGACTCACTAAGTGACGATGAATATGCACGACCCATGAACCGTAAGCTATTCGCTCTCAAGATCGTGTTCATTTACTCATGACTGTCATAGGTAAATTTGCTCCTCCGAGCAGCTTCGCGCCGCCTCCCAATCTCAACGATATGCCGCCCAGGCCACCCATCGAATCTCCTCCAGAACGAACAAGCGAAACCCCAGGAGATATCTCCATGTCGGATGCTCCTCCACCGCCACCCCCGACCGATGAGCCGCCCGCGCAGGTTCCGGATGACCCTACAGGCGAAGATGCCTACTTACGGCGCCTTCAGTTGTCAATGGGCAACCAGCCTGCAGCAGCTCCTGCTGCCCCACCACCGCCCAGGCCCCTAGAATCCTTGCAACCAGCTTCCGCAACGATATCCCGAGCACCAGTTCGCTACACGCTTCCTCCTCCACCCGAGGACATACCTGCGTCGGAGGCGGAATTGGAAGAAGTCTTCGCAAAGGAGCAGCCAGTGGAAGATGAACCGGAGGATGAGAGCCAGCGTTCGCTGCGGCCAGGACAGAAGGGATTTGCTGAACGTCTCATGGCCAAGTATGGCTGGACTAAGGGCTCTGGTCTGGGTGCTACGGGCACCGGCATTGTCAAGCCATTGCAAGTCAAGGTTGAGAAGCAGAAGAAGCGACCGGACTCCGAAGGCGGGGGCTTCGCGACGCCCGCTGGTCGGGGCAAGATCATTGGCGGCGCAAGGAAGAATGAAGAGGAAGGGAAGTTTGGTCCAATGAGTGAAGTCATTATCTTAAAGGGTATGCTTGACGGAATGGACTTGGATGCTGAATTAGCAGGGGATGGCGAGGGCGGTGGTCTCATGCAAGAGATTGGTGAAGAGTGTTCTGAGAAGGTAAGTGGGTGGTTGCCTAATACATGGCACGGTCTAATGAGATACAGTACGGTCGTGTTGAACGTGTCTTCATACCTCGAGACTCGGCGCCTCCAGTGCCAGTTTTTGTCAAGTTCACCAATCAGCTCTCGGCTCTACGTGTATGTGCTGCATCGATGCCCACCTAATGCTTTATTTAAGAACCTGGCTAAGAAATTTAGGCTGTCAACGCTCTTGAGGGTCGGATATTCAGTGGGAATGCTATCACTGCCCGGTTCTACGATGTACATACTTTTGAACAGGGGATATACGATAGCTAATAGCGGGAAGGGACTCTGTACATGATACCTCACAAGTTGCGAACTGAAGAATACAAGCAAGGGACAATTCTCTCACCTTTTATGCCACTTAGCATAGTCATTTTGAGGAGCCAGAACAAGACTACTAGGAGAATGCATCCATTTCAGTGACTCTTACCTATTAACCCGGTCACTGTTTGCATTACTATCAGTGCTCAAAGACCGGATATCGTAATTTCCCCTGTGGCTATCTATACTGTATTGAGGTCATGTGACTTAAAGCATGAGATATAGTACTTGCTTCCAGGCTCCTTCCACAGTGGTTGTTGCCTAAATCATACTTACAATGTACTATATTGATTGAGATAGTCTATACATCCCGACAAAGGCTATTTGCTACAACCATAGCGCAGCTACTATTATACCACCGATATGAGGAAGTTGCTGGAATGGTTGGAGAAACTAGTAGCAGTAACCTCTTAACTAATTACTTCATTTGTACATGGTATATGTGTGCATTGAGTTGGCTGACGGCGATCTCCGGGAATAATTGCTGCATGTCAACTGTGTGTACCCAATAAAACCACCATGTACAACGCAAGGACACATGGAAGACCCCATTGGTTCCGTCGCCCAAGGCACAACTGCAGAGGGAGGAAATGGAAGACGTGCCAATGAACTTTCCTCGATCAAAAAGTTCGATGCGGATCTATGAGGTCATGTGACAGCGATAAACTGCAGCGCCGCCGGGGACTGATTGGCTGTGGGGCATCAAACCCAGCGATGAGCAGCTGCACGCCCAAGACAGTGTTACTTCGTCTGCGCATTCACGGCCGACCTTAATTTGCCTACCTCACTATCCTTTAAATCCCTCTGACCTCGTTCCTCCCGCCTCGCTTTCTTCTCTTCTTCCCCTCTCCTTCCCAACCCTCTCAACTCTCTCGCCGTCATCCCAACCTTCTTCGGTTCCAGCCCACCTACGTACTCCGAAATCGCATCCCCAAAATGTCACTTTGCCAGAACCGTCTGACGGAGGAGAGGTATGTGACTGACAACACCGCATACGCATAATGTGGCGTGTATTTTCTCGAACTAACCCCAAACGCGACCATTTACAGAAAGCAGTGGCGTCGAGACCACCCTTTTGGCTTCTACGCAAAGCCGCATCGGACTCCTCAAGGAACACTTGACCTCAAACGATGGGAGTGCGGTATTCCCGGCAAGGCGCAAACACTCTGGGAAGGCGGACTTTTCAAGCTGGACGTTACCTTTCCCGATGGTGAGTGAAGCCTTTCGACTGGTGCTCTATGCGACAAACCTGCTAACCCGCATTCTATCGCAGAATACCCCACTAAGCCGCCGAAGTGTAGGTTCCCCTCTCTCTCGTACCATCCCCAACGCCACTCGTCCGTGCTGTTTGAAAGGTTTCGTCTACAGCACTTTTCGCGCAATAAGCTAACTAGAGCATTCGCATTCGACAGGCAAATTTGTGCCTCCGCTTTTCCACCCTAACGTCTATCCCTCCGGCACCGTGTGTCTCTCGATCTTGAACGAGGAGGAGGCGTGGAAACCCGCAATCACAATCAAGCAGATTCTCCTGGGTATTCAGGACCTGCTAGATGACCCCAACCCGGAGTCACCAGCCCAGGCTGAGGCATACAACCTGTTCAAGAAGGACCGCCCAGCGTACGAGAAGCGAGTTAAACAGGTCGTGAGGGAGAACCCGGCCCTTTAAAGAACGCCCCACGACGGCATGACAATTTATTATCCCACCACGAAGCTACTCTTCCGCCCATCGTGTGTCTATTTCCGTCCCCCCAACTTCATCCCAGTTCTGCGAATTTCACGGCGGGTATGGCGGCTTAAGAGTCTTAGACCAGGTGTTCCCACGTGGGGTAGAAGGACGGGAAGCCTTCCAAGAGGGAGAGCGCAGATACACCCGCTCGGGAGTTTATGATCATGCTCAGCGCGCCATTGCAGTCAAATAGGTTCCGGAATGTCGCATGGGCGCAGGTGTGTCTTAACTATTCTCCTGTCTTGGAGGTGTGGAATACATGGGTTTTCTTCTTAGCGAGCAGCGTGGCGTACATAGAACTGACAAAACGGGGCGGTTCGGGACGGCGTTTGACACTATCTTAATGCGATTTATCTAGCTTATGTCCCTTCTTTCTCTTTGGGATGCTCGCATACTTCTATCTATGTCTACCACTGGGGGTGCACGCTGGTGACCGATTTTCGGATGATCATACCATAGATAGACGGCTTGTGCCCCCTGGGTGGGGGGAGGGTCCTCTCTAATCGACTCCAACTCAATTTTCTCCAATCTGTCATCCTTAGTGCGTAAAAGTAAAACAAGTTCCAGAAAGACCAAAAATCTGGAGAAAGTACTCTAGTAGAATATAAAATGTGGGGGATGTGCAGACAGTTGAAGGAAAATGGGACACCAACAACGTTGGAACCAACTAGAGAACCCGACCCAACCTGTCAGGGCACAACCAATAAGGATGACATAGATAGATAGAAAGAAAGAAAAGTAACCGTCACAGCAACACATTCAGTTTTCCGCGTAGGAAAATTAGCGGCTATCTTATCGGAAGTGAGTCACTGAGATTTGTGGCCGAAATCGCCCCTCGGGTTCCGCCCCGCCGCCGCGAACGGGTTGTGTCGCTTTTCCAATCCATATTTAAGATTTCCCGCTTCATCTCTCTCTCTTTCCCCTCGTTCTCCTATCTTTCGATTAGTCAATTGCTTCCCTTTTGCTGTCTACTTGAGTCGGTTCATCAATTGAATTGTAGTCAGCATGTGTGGTATCTTCGCGTGTCATCAGTATGTGGGCTAATCCTGGAATCTTTCTTCTCTCTCCCCTCTCTCTCTTTCAAAGTCTTTGATTTCTTTTGCGGGCCCCGCGCCACTATCGCTCTCCGTTTTGAGTCACACCCTCTAATCTGAACTGCTATAGTCACCCCGATGTGCAAAAATTCAAGCCTACGGCCCTGCGCATGGCCAAGGCGTAAGTATTTCTGGTTCACTTTTGATGGTGAATGTGGTGCTGATTGCTGTTGAACAGTTTGCGCCACCGTGGTCCCGATTGGAGTGAGTCATAATGCCTTTTTGGCAAGCATGCTGGTGGTGGACGTTTTTCTGACTTGTGTCTAGGCGGAAGCTGGATGTCTGAGAAGACCAGTGAGTTGAGCAGCTTCGTGGGCTGGAAGAAGATGGTGACTAATTGACTGGCAGTCCTCGCGCACGAGCGTCTGTGTATCGTCGGTGTTGGTATGTGATGTTTTACCCCCGCCGCGGATCGTTTCGATATCAATATTAACGTGTTTTCTTTGCAGACTCTGGTGCCCAGCCCCTTGTCAACGACGATGGCTCCCTTGCCCTGGCCGTCAACGGCGAGATCTATAACCACCGTATCCTCCGGAAGAACCTGAAGACCAAGTATGAGTTCAAGACGCATTCCGACTGTGAGGTCGTCATTCCTCTGGTATGTGCGAAGGATATTTTCTGGTGTGTATCTGTATAGGGTTGCTGATGGGGTTAGTACATGGAACACGGCCTCGACGCCCCCAAGCACCTGGATGGCATGTTCTCCTGGGTTCTCTACGACAAGAACCAGGACAGGGTTGTCGCCGCTCGTGATCCCATTGGTATCACCAGTTTCTACATCGGCTGGTCCTCCGAGACCCCTGGAGCCGTTTACTTCGCTTCCGAGCTGAAGTCTCTCCACCCGGTTTGCGACAAGATCCAGGCTTTCCCTCCTGGCCACATCTTCGACTCCAAGACCGGCTCTTTCACTCGCTACTTCGAGCCGACCTGGTGGGACCCTACCAACGTTCCCTCCGTCCCTGTTGACTACAAGGTCATCCGCGCTTCTCTCGAGAAGTCTGTTCGCAAGCGTCTGATGGCTGAGGTCCCCTATGGTGTCTTGCTCTCCGGTGGTCTCGACTCCAGCTTGGTCGCCTCCATCGCTCAGCGTGAAACCCTGCGTATGCAGGAGGCCGCCAAGGCTGCCCAAGCCCAGGGCGCTGAGCTCAACGAGTTGGTCGGCATTGACGACTCCAACGATCTGTCCACCGTCACCACCTTCCAGCAGCTGCACTCCTTCTCCATCGGTCTGCCTGGTGCCCCCGATACCGAGGCCGCCCTCAAGGTGGCTAAGTTCCTCGGAACCAAGCACCATGCTTTCACTTTCACCGTTGAGGACGGTCTCAACGCCCTCTCCGACGTCATTTACCACCTGGAGACTTACGATGTCACCACCATCCGTGCTTCCACCCCCATGTACCTGCTCAGCCGTAAGATCAAGGCTATGGGTGTCAAGATGGTTCTCAGTGGTGAGGGTAGTGACGAGATCTTCGGTGGATACCTTTACTTCCACGCTGCTCCCGACCGTGAGGAGTTCCACAAGGAGACTGTCCGCCGTGTCAAGAACCTGCACTTGGCGGATTGCCTGAGAGCCAACAAGTCCACCTCTGCCTGGGGTCTGGAAGCCCGTGTTCCCTTCCTGGACAAGGAGTTCCTTGAGACCTGCATGGGTGTTGAGCCTGCCGAGAAGATGATCACCAAGGAGCGTATCGAGAAGTACATCCTGCGCAAGGCCTTCGACACTACCGACGAGCCCGACGTCGAGCCCTACCTGCCCGACAACATTCTCTGGCGCCAGAAGGAGCAGTTCAGTGACGGTGTCGGCTACAGCTGGATCGACGCCCTCAAGGACCAGGCTGAGGCGCACGTCACCGACGAGATGATGAAGAACCCCAAGCCCGAGTGGGGTAGCGATATTCCCGACACCAAGGAAGCGTATGTTTAGAGTTTTGTGTCATTGTATTGCCGAAGACAGGACTGACATTTTCTTAGCTACTGGTACCGCACGATGTTCGACGAACTCTTCCCGGCTTCTTGTGCTGGCACTGTTGAGCGTTGGGTACCGACCTGGTCCAAGCAGACCGACCCGAGTGGCAGGTAAGCATATGATGCATCAGAACGCAGAAGAAAACAGACAGCTGACATGTTTGACCTTATTAGAGCTATTGCGACTCACAACGCCAAGTACGAAAACGCCGTTTAAATGTCTGGGTAATGAATATTGCGTGTCTTAACTTCTTGCGGAGAGTTTGGGTATAGAACCATGTATAGATGATTTACCAGGGATACTCATTGGGACGCGAAAAAAAGCGAATTTCAGTTAGATGCGCCGGGATCACCGCGTATTGGCTTTTCCTTTTCTTTCATCTATGGTGTCTTTTTCCACTATTGGTGTTGTCCGTGTTCGATCGACAAGATTTGTAAGAATTGTAGGAATGGTTGAGAGTAGTTCGGGCGAGGTTACCACACCGGCGGATTATGAGTCAAGCGCGGATGGTGCTGATCAGGAGGGACATGCGTTGTCACGGTCATACGAACCCCATGTGGTTGGGCTGGGTTCCATGGTAGGTCCATGCATGCTGTCCCGATGGGGATGCGTGACAGGCATCCAGGATGATACAATTGCTATGTTTCTAAGAAGCGGTCAATTTCATAACATAATAGTAGATATTGTTTTTTTTTTTTTTTTTTTTTTTTTTTTTTTTTTTTTTTTTTTTTTTTCTTTTTCTTCTTCATATTATTGAGAGAAGCTAAAGAAAATGATTATACTTTGTTATTCCTCATAGTTCAGGACGAACGGAAGCCGAGGATAAGCAAGCAACTAACTACAAAGTAACTAGTCAGTGTTAGTGGTAGACTGGTAGTACTCAAAACACGGCGGGCTGAACTCTCGGGAAACCTTGGAAAGGTTGACTCGCAATTCAGGCGCGGAATCTCAGCCGCCAGGCATCGACATCACGGGACTTAGCGGCTTCTACCGGCAACCGAGCACCGACCAATCAGGGTGGGGGGTTTCTCCCGTGGCTTCCCCATTGTTTGGCGACTCAACTTCGACCTTCTTTCCTGCCCGGTTTCCCCATCGTTTCCCTTTCCCTTTCCTTCTCCCCTCATCATCTTCAGCCTTTCCACTCTACCCTCTCTTATCTCCTTCTGACGTTTTCGTCATCTCCTATACCACCTCATTCACAATGTCTGCTCCTGCTGCTTTCTCCGACATCGCCAAGGCGGCCAACGATGTATGCTGCCCTCACCACCTTTGAAATTTGTTACCTTGGAAGACAGCTTCCCGGGAAGGGATTTTCGTGCTAATCCTCTGCACAACAGCTCCTGAACAAGGACTTCTACCACAACAGCGCCGGTGAGTTCCCTCCCAATTCCTGCGCCCCTGAATTGGGTTGTTTGCTTTTTCTCTTTTTGCGCGCGACACGGCTGACTCAAGTGTTACTCTAGCCAACCTCGAGGTTAAGTCCAAGGCTCCCAATGGCGTCACCTTCAACGTGAAGGGCAAGTCTGCCCACGAGGGTCCCATTGCTGGCTCCGTAAGTTCACCACCCAATTGGGCGTCCTTCCATTGAACTACGGATCATAATGCTAACCATCATCCTGTTATAGCTCGAGGCCAAGTACGTTGACCAGCCCACTGGTAAAGGCCCCCGGAAACGCAAAAAACAATGCGAACATCCCTTGCGCACACCACCCGTCCCTTCGTCCCCAGCAGTGCTTGAGGATAGGTTCACGTTCATGTTTGCGTGCAGCCATGCCCCATCCCAGCGCTTCTTCCTTCACTTCATGTCCAGGATTGTGGAACATGCAGGAATGCTAATTATCCGTCCCCACCCAGGCCTTACCCTCACCCAGGCTTGGACCACTGCCAACGCCCTCGACACCAAGCTCGAGCTCGACAACAACATCGCCAAGGGTCTCAAGGCTGAGATCCTGACCCAGTACCTCCCTGCCAAGCAGTCCAAGGGTGCTAAGCTCAACCTCTACTTCAAGCAGCCCAACCTGCACGCCCGTGCCTTCTTCGACCTCCTCAACGGCCCCTCCGCCAACTTCGACGCTGTTCTCGGCCACGAGGGCTTCCTCGTCGGTGCTGAGGGTGGCTACGACGTCCAGAAGGCCGCCATCACCAAGTACTCCGCTGCCGTTGGCTACAGCGTTCCCCAGTACTCCGCTGCCATCACCGCTGGCAACAACCTGACCGTCTTCTCCGCCAGCTACTACCACCGCGTCAACGCTCAGGTTGAGGCTGGTGCTAAGGCTACCTGGGACTCCAAGACCGGCAACTCCGTCGGCCTTGAGGTTGCCAGCAAGTACCGCCTTGACCCCTCTTCCTTCGCCAAGGTATGTAACAACCTCAGATATTCAATGGTCTATCGTTAACCCATCCTCTACAGGCCAAGATCAACGACCGTGGTGTTGCCGCTCTGGCCTACAACGTTCTCCTCCGCCCTGGTGTTACCCTCGGCCTTGGTGCTTCCTTCGATACCCAGAACCTGAACCAGGCTGCCCACAAGGTTGGCGCCAGCTTCACCTTCGAGGCTTAGATGAATTTTCCTTGTTTTCAGCACCCGCCCATGCCTAGTCCTTTGTGCTCTGATACTGCCTGATAGAGTAGATTTTGGAAGTCATTGAGAATATCGATTGATTCCTGGTTGTCTCTCGTCCGGCTGTTGGTATACGCGGGATAGGAGTTGGGAGTGGGCGCGGGGTTGTTATATGGATGTTTAGATAATAATCATGTATCACACCCTTTCAACGATAGTGTATATCAATCAAGCCTATATTTCCTTGTTTCAAGCCAAGCCCGTCTATAGTATATACACATGGGGACTCTCCACAGAGTCGCGGGTATAGAACCAGCTATAACCGAATGCATGCCGAATTGAACCTCCAAGCAAGTCCTGCGCCAGATGAATGTCTATGAACCAGCCAGTTGCCCCCAATATACCGAACCAACCCAACCCACCAGGAAGAGTACTGACCACACTCTAAACCCCGATCAACCCTCCTTCCTCCCCACCGACTTAGTAGACTTCGTCTGCCCACCGGCCCGATCACCGTTCCACACCCCCGTCATAGCGCCCGCCCCCATCAATATCCCACAGACCACAATAAACCTAACAGCCATGGCCCCAGGACTCCCCAGATACTTATCATTAATATGCGACGCCCCTGCCATCTCCCTCGACCTCCGCTCCTGCCTCCTCTCATCCTCCCTCGTCTGCGTCCTATAATGCCCCTTTGCATTAAAATGCCACACCGTATTCCGATGAATAAATGACGTCGGATCGTCCTCTCCCCCAGCTGCTGTGCCCTTTGCACCACCACCACCACCTTCTCCACCAGCCCGCCTCCCAGTCCCTCCATACCCCCCATGGGCATAGAAACTCGGCGGCGGCCCACGAAACTGACCCCGTCGTTTACTTAATCCGCTGGCGGGTCGCGACCCCGCGTACGACGCCCCCTTCGTGTGCAGGTTCGCGCTGTAGCTGCTGTAGCTGCCCATGGGGTGTTGGCCTGGCGTTGCTGTGCTGTGGGTCGAGGATGCATGGATGTGGATGTGGTGGTCGCGGTCGTAGATACTGCGTTTCGTGGCGTTGCTGAGGGTGTTGTAGGCGCTGGAGATTTGGGCGAATCGGTTGGAGGCGCTGGGGTCGTCGCGGTTGCGGTCTGGGTGGTGTTGGAGGGAGAGGGCGTAGAATTTTCTATTTGGTTTGGGGGGAGGGTGGTTAGTTGGTGGTGATGGGGATGGGATTGGGGGAAGATGGAGGTTACTTTTTGATCTCGGCTTGGGTGGCGGTTGGGGGAACGTCGAGGATTTCGTAGTAGGTTGGTTCGCGTGCGGTGGGGGAGTAATGGGGGGTGGATGAGGTGAATGTTCGGTGGTGGATTGGTCTGGTGTAGGGTGTGTTGGTGGTGATGGTGGTGGTCTGTCGGAGGCGGGTGGCCGTGGGCCCCCGGAGACGAGGGAAGGTCATGTTTCTTTTCGAGGATTGTGTTGTGTTGTGTTGGTTATGAGGGATGGTGGGTTACATTAGGTAGAGGGTGAGGGTTAGGAGAATGGAAGAGGGCGCGATTGAATGGAGGGAGAGTTGGGAGATTGTAACTTATCGGTGCTGGGTCGGGATAAGATGAGAGAAGGAAATCCGCCGCTCTTCGGAAGGCGGAGCTGCGTCATCGGTCGGGTTTATCTGATCTGATCTGGTGGTGGTGGATCTTGCTTTCTTACTACTTCGTAGATATACTTTGTGCTACGTTGTATTTGGTGCTATGCTTGGGAATAGATTGTGTATCTTGATCTCGGGATATTGTTGAAGAGATCTATTAAGTGATTTTATTTTCTGTTCTCTTATTGTTTCTCTTGTTCTGGGTTACTGGTGTTTTTTGTGTGCATGTAGGGATGTAGGTTCATGTATAGTGGTTCTAGATGCTGTTGCATGACAGCGTCGCTTTGTCCCTTTTACTAGGCCTTTATGTATCTTCTATGCATACTATCCCTTTTTCTTATTCTTTAATCAATGTCAATGGTCCAGTCACACAGGTTTCTGCAGGCGTCAGACGCACGCGACCATTTGCAATGTTAGCGTACACTGATACCTACACATATAGATCTCCCTTTTGGTATAGTTGGTAGTAATTAGTATGGTCAATGCATTCAATTTGTACATGCAGGTTGTACCTGACCTGAAGCTTCTCCACAGCATCGATCTAGACAACCAGCTAGGGCTCCAATACTAACTAACCAGTTGGCGCCGCGGAACCCTGAAAACAGCCAACAAGGCAACCTTCAGGCTTGGCATTGACCGTCTTTTCCCCGACGGTTGCCGCTTTGCCCTCATTTTTCTTTCCCCTCCATCAGCCCACCACCAATCCATCCCGGTTTGCACAGCTTTTCAACATGGCTGCCCAGGCTAGCGAGAAGCTGCAGAAGCTCGACCGTAAGTCACTGAACGCCCCCCGTTGCTGATCTCCGAACCCTCCTCTGCCATCCGTTCGCAGTAAGCTGATAAGATTTCCCCGCTCGCTCTCTAGTCAACGGTCAAAGCGGCGACGCGAAGGCGGACGCCCCTGCCGCTGGTCAAGCACAAGCCGGAGAGGCGGAGGACGACTCCGACGATGATGAAGTAGAGGATGGAAATGCTGCCGGCGAGGGTGCAGCCAGCGGAGGTGCGCTATCTCTCCACGGATTACCAACCCCTCGGGCCAATTCCAGAATTCTCCCCGCACTGACCAAATCCGCGGATGTGCAGCCGCCAAGAAAAAGAAGAAGCGCAAGTCCAAGAAGAAGAAGAAGGGAGGCGCCAAGGTCCAGTCCTCTCCTCCGCGCGTTCCCCTGTCGACCCTGTTCGCCGGCAAGGAATATCCCGAGGGTGAGATCGTCGAGTACCAGAATGAGAATTCGTACCGCACCACCAACGAGGAGAAGCGCTACCTCGACCGCATGAAGAATGACTTCCTGCAGGAGTACCGTCAGGCCGCTGAGGTGCACCGTCAGGTTCGTCAGTATGCGCAGAAGACCATTAAGCCTGGTCAGACCCTCACGGAGATCGCGGAGGGTATTGAAGAATCCGTCCGTGCCTTGACTGGTCACCAGGGTCTTGAGGAAGGTGACAACCTCAAGGGTGGTATGGGTTTCCCCTGTGGTCTCAGTATCAACCACTGCGCGGCCCATTACACCCCCAACGCTGGCAACAAGATGGTGTTGCAGCAGGGTGATGTCATGAAGGTCGATTTCGGTGCCCACATCAACGGCCGCATCGTCGACAGTGCTTTCACCGTGGCCTTTGACCCGGTGTATGACCCTCTCTTGGCCGCCGTTAAGGATGCTACCAACACTGGTATCCGCGTATGTCTACAGTTTCTATCCTAGTACCGGGTCCCTGGTTACTAACAGCTTGTTGTAGGAAGCGGGTATCGACGTCCGCATGAGCGACATTGGTGCCGCCGTCCAGGAAGCCATGGAGAGTTACGAAGTTGAAATCAACGGGACCATGTATCCCGTCAAGTGTATCCGGAACCTCAACGGTCACAACATTGACCAGCACATCATCCACGGTGGCAAGAGTGTTCCGATTGTCAAGGGTGGCGACCAGACCAAGATGGAGGAGGGTGAAGTGTTTGCCATTGAGACCTTCGGTAGTACCGGAAAGGGGTACGTGAGAGAGGATGTAAGTTGTCGACATTTATTGGTCAGAACTTATTCATTTGCTAACTGATATGAAGATGGAAACCTCTCACTACGCTCTGATCCCTGATCACAGTCAGGTTCCTCTGCGTCTCTCTTCGGCGAAGAACTTGTTGAACGTCATCAACAAGAACTTCGGTACTCTTCCCTTCTGTCGCCGTTACCTTGACCGGTTGGGCCAGGATAAGTACCTCCTTGGGGTGAGTAATTCCTCTGCTTCGTAATGTGTCAACGCTAATCAGCTGGTGCAGTTGAACAACCTGGTCTCGTCCGGAATTGTCCAGGACTACCCGCCTCTTTGCGATATCAAGGGCTCCTACACTGCCCAGTATGAACATGTACGTTTTTCTGCATCTCTCACGATCTATAGACATACAGCTAACCAGACGACAGACGATTGTCCTTCGACCCAATGTAAAGGAAGTCATCAGTCGCGGCGACGACTACTAGGTTGAACTATCTTTGGTCGAGGGTTTAGGGATTGTACCACTCCAATTAGCCTTATTTGAAACGAACCAAGTATATGAAATGCATGTTAACTATTGACCAATGATGCCGATGATTATGTATAACTTTTCACCGAGTAATAAAAAGCGTAGATGGAATCGGACCATCCGTGGACCCGGGTAGCCCCACGTGGAAAGCATCCGCTCCGAAACTCACGTTGTTCTGTTCCTTGCGCTCTCCCATCAGCCCATTTCTCTCCCACACTCTCTTCTTCCTCCATCCTACTCTTCGGCCGCAGTCATCTATGGCGTAAATTGCCACCTGGAAAGCCTGTCATCTCGCCCCTACTCGTCCCTCGCTATGTCTTCGTCCGTCGTCGAAGCCACCGCGGATGCTTCACCGCATCTCCGCGTGTCCGCATCCAAGGGCCAGGCTGCGCAAGCTACCCCCGATAAAACAGAGCCTTCCACCAGAATCGACCCTCCAGAAACCTCCGCTGTCGATGATCACTTCTTTTGGACATACACAGAGGAGCCGCACCGCTCCAGACGACAAGCTATCATCAAAGCGCACCCGGAGGTATGCACATACTTCTCCGTGGCCTTTTCCGCCAAATAATCATTTATTGACATCTGTGCTTCCTTCAGGTCACCAAGCTCTGCGGACCAGAGCCCCTGACCAAATATGTCGTTCTCTTCGTCGTCTCTCTCCAGGTCCTCTGCGCCTACCTCCTCCGCAACACCTCCATGTCCGACTGGAAATTCCTCGCAACTGCATACGTGATCGGAGCCACCTCGAACCAGAACCTCTTCCTCGCCATCCACGAGATCTCCCATAACCTCGCCTTCCGGTCTGCCATGGCCAACCGTCTGCTGGCCATCTTCGCCAACATCCCCATCGGTTTGCCCTACAGCGCTGCGTTCCGGGTACGTCGGAACCCCCAAACCCCAGAAGCACATAAAACAAGTATACAAGAAGCTAAAGCTAACTTCTCCCGCTTCACAGCCCTACCATCTCACCCACCACAAGTCCCTCGGCGTCGCCGGCCTAGACACCGACCTTCCCACCGCCGTCGAAGCCTTCCTCCTCGACTCCATCCTCGGAAAGGCCTTCTTCTGCACCTTCCAGATCCTCTTCTACGCCGTCCGCCCCATGTTCATCTACAGCCCTCCCTTCACCTCCATCCACGTCCTGAACCTGATCACCCAGCTCACCTTCGACTACGCCCTGACCAAGTTCTGCGGTGGCTCCCTCCAACCCCTCCTCTACCTCCTCCTGAGCTCCTTCCTCGCCGGCTCTCTCCACCCCTGCGCCGGCCACTTCATCGCAGAGCACTACTTCTTCTCCCAAGTTGGCCACGGCACCGAATCCATCCAAGAGCAAAAGAACAACCAGAAGAAGAAGCCCCACCCTCTTGACTCCCTCCCCCCGCCGGAAACCTACTCCTACTACGGCCCCCTCAACTTCTTCACCTACAACGTGGGCCTCCATAACGAACATCACGACTTCCCCGCTATCCCCTGGACAAGACTGCACGAGCTCCACCGCATCGCTAGCGAATTCTATGAACCCCTCCCTTGCCATCACAGCTGGGTGTGGGTGATCTGGACGTTCATCCTGGATAAGAACGTCGGCATGTGGTGTCGGGTTAAGCGTGCGCAGGGCGGTCGTCTCGTCGGTGGCGGCGGCGGACGCGCAGGTGAAAGCATCTCGGCTTCGTCGGCTGGTCCGAATGGGGAATCGGGAGATGGGTGGAAGGAGAGTGAGATTCAGAATTGATTTGGATTATCATCTGCTTTCTCTTGTATGTATCATGTGTACCGTGCGGACGGTATCGTTTATCTGTTTGTTCTGTTTTGATGACCTGTGACATACTATACTAGAGATGATATCCCATGGCTTTGTTGTTTCCATGATGAACTGACTGACTGACTGACTGGTGCTGGTACCTGCTGTCGATTATATGCTGGGATTGACCGACTGATTTTATTTACATGACATGATGTCATTTTTCATCTATCTACCTACTTATCTTACAAAGTACATGTGACAATAGTTGGGTATGATTTAGATTGTGTATAGTTACTTTAGCAGTATGGGAAAATCAATTATAATTTATTGTGTTTTCATCGCTGAGACAACTTTTCCGACATACAAGTACAAAAACGGGCAATGCAATAGACATTTCAATGGCATCATCATGATTAGCTTTACTGCCTGACTGACTGAAACTATGGACGCGTGCATTCGTCTAAACGGTTATGTCGCTGGGAACACAAGACTGGGCAAAGAGACTTGGAAAAGGAAGACAAGAGGATAATAAAGGAGGAGAAGAAACGCTGGGATAGAGTCAGGGGTTAAGGCATCCGACCAATTGGAAAGTTGCAAGGGCAGAGAAGATGGGCCCACGCATGGTCATTCCATGGAACGGATAGAACCGCCCCTGCCTCCCATCTACTGCATCATCTCATCACAGCCGCCGGGAGCAATTTTCGGACACTGGGGTAAAGGTTATGGTAATAGAAAAATGGAAAGGATAGTAGAAAAAAGAAAAGAAAAGAAATTGTCAAGTGAAAGGCCGTACCGAGGTGCCAGATAAGCCAGCTGTGAACGGAGCGGCAAAATGATAAAATAGTAGGTATCACATGGACACCATCATTGCCGATGTCGACAAAGCTGTTGAAGGAAATTGGACACTCCAGAAGAGAATACAGTTGGTTGATAGAAGCGGATGGTGGGTAAAAGATGCTAAGAAAAAAGAAGAGCAAGCGAGCGCGGAGCAAGAAGACGACTCAAAAGACTGAGAAATTAAAAGAAGAAGTATGCGATCAGGAAGCTGAGGAGGCACAAGCCAGCGACCATCTGCACTGGCACGCCTGCCTCGGCAGATTGCGGCTGTTGCTGCACCAATGGCGCCGGCGCCTTTTCGGTTTCACCTCCGATCTTCCGCTGCCTCAGGCCCTGATCTGCCAGCTTCTCCTTCAGCGCCAAAATCTGAGCATTAGCCTCGGACAATTGGGCTTTCAGATCATCGCTTGAACTTGCCGCCCCGCCCATCATGGCCGACTTTGTAGACGTGGCTGGGCTCTCAGTAATTGCTTGTGGGGTCGACACTTCCCGCTTGGGCTTATCGCTGAAATCTGGCGGTGGGATCGGTGACGTGTCGTTAGCGCTTTTAGCAACTGCAGCAGCAGGTGTCTGGAAATTCGCATTAGGAGAGGTGTAGGCTGGGGGTTCTTCTTCCGTCATAGTCTGAATAGAACAATTAGTTATCCGATGGCTGGAGAACCGAAAAGGGGTCGGTGAGGGGTTACTTACGCCATTCGTTTCGGTGACTTGTTCGGCAGCTGAGGAATCATCTGCAGGCAGCCAGTTCACACGGATCTTGCGTTCTTGAAGCGAGGCCTTGGAAGATTTCTCGAACTATGGGTTATGTTAGATCGCTGCCGGTGGGGATCACCATGAAATCAGACTTACAATCGAAGTAACATTGGCGAACTCCATATCGCGAGTGACGGCAACGGTCTGGACTAGGAACTTGTCCTTGCACTTGGCATCATCTGCAGGTTCTTCCTTCATGGCCTGGAGCAGAACTATCAAGACCGTCAGCCATTGCGCAACAGCACCAATCCAACGAAACACAGAAAAACCAACCTTGAACGTCGACATTCTTTCCAGGATCTATCCGGCCCGAGTTCGGGCGAACACAGTAACTATTCCATGTTAGACCGCTGTTACAGCGATACTAGTATGTCGAGTGACGAAGGGGTGTGGCCACGTACTGTTTAGGGGCAGTCGTTTTAACCTGGAGGGAAAGTCGTTGTTAGTTAAGGCAATCCAAAGATATTCAGGGAAGTCGATATAACGAACCTTGAAGACCACCGGCTCAGCGTTGTCATTCTTCAAATGCAAGATCTGGCACACCTCACGATCGAAGGGGCCTGGGGATTTAGTCAGCTTCGGATACTTTCAGGAGGGCAGTATATAGATAGATTCAGGGCACCACGTACGCTTGAATCCCAACTCCGGGGGCTCGAGAATAATAGACATGTTGGATAGAGGGTGAAGAGTATGTCACACAGGAAGGAAAGGGATGCGCGGGTGAAGTAGTGTACAGAAGATGGTCCCAGCAGTGCGGGAGAGGGTGGCCCTTAGAAAGTTAGATTGAGAGTGCGCCGAGGAAAGAGGATCAGTCGCGAGGGAAGACAGCAGCAGGACCCGCCGAAGAAATAGATACCTAACGAAGACTGGATGATAAGGAGGGAACTCGGTCAGAAGTAGTCAACGACAAAGTGGATGCCAACCACGAGGCAGAATGATTAACTGTTCAGGCGCAACTCTCCGTTTCGGGGGGGGAGCGAGACGGAATCCAGTTGGTCTCGCCGTCGCAACTGCTGGTTGGACCGGGGTGCTGACTCAGCTATGGCCACGGAGGCACTGGTCAGGTGATGTCATCACGGGGTCTGGCAATGGCCGTTTGAGCCTCGTTTCAAGCCAGCAAAGTACCTGCAGGAAGTGCAGGCAATCTGCATCCTCTCCATTTCTGCTCGCTGTCTTCAGAAATCAGAGATGGGCTACTGCCGAACAACGCTCACTGCGGTCGCTGTCGGCTTCCAGTGTCTAGACTCCATCCACTCCATTTACTCCGTACCTTATTTACTACGGAGTACTCCTGTCGGTTCTGGGTCCTGACTCGGGATCCACTATAATGACATCGTCTAAAAATAATCAATTAAATGGTTCGAGCTAAGTGTCCACTATCTCTAGAGATGGGCGGATGTCTTGCATACCATTAGCCTTCTTTTCTTTTTTAGTTTGAAACGGAGATTTTCCAGTTGTCACTTTGCAATAGGGTGATTCCCTCTTTCCAAACACTTTGCCAGCTGGTCAATCTTGAATCACGACGCTATCCAGTGACTCAATACGAGGCTATCTTGTCAGTTCGTTTACTGTACAGCTCTATCCAGGCACGCCGTCACACCGAACTTTTGAAGATTAGCAGGTTTCATGGGTACCAAACTTAAATGCTGAAGTGGGCTTTAATGCCAACAGTGATCCTCGATCCGGGGCGCCCTATGCGCTTACTTTCCAGGATTTGCGCCAATCGTGCTGAACAGCTGTTGTTCGCCAGACACCATGCAACCAAGAAGCCATAGGTACCCAATCTTCCAGATTGGATTATGACGGCTGTCAGGCGCCAAAATCACACATCTTCCGGAGCCCATTGGTCGATCTAACTTATACTGTGTGCTCTATTGTTTCTCGGGGCCTGTTGAGGCATTTTCAGAGTCTCATCATAGATCGGCTCTGTCAGCAATCTAGCAAAGCCGAATGGCAGCTAACCACAGCTTCTTCTTGATCACTGGCAATAAATCGTTTAAGATGACGGGCGAATGAGTGTTTTACAAATCCTGCACGATCGGGACATCAGCTGTGACTCGTGCATCTAGATATTCATAGGGCATTTTGTCTTAATGAAGCTCAACATAAGCGCTGTAAAAGTACGACAATCTTCATATTGATCTTAAATTGTAGAACTACTTCTGTGCGAGTAGTGTCCTGGGTGCGATTTGCTATCTTATTCCAGCCCGCAAGCGCTCGATTTTAGGACCTTGGATATAATATCAATCCTGAAATGAATTCACAAAATCCCACAGACAGTGACTGGCAAAAGAGACACATGTAGACCTTCTCCAGCTGTACGAGCTCCAGAGAAAGGCTGGAAAGGTCCAGAACATTGGTGTACCTGATGCCGCTTGGGGGCGGCCTATCTGGGCGGCGGGACATTCCGCAGCCGGCCATCTATCACTCAGCTCAAGCTATCGATACGTCACCCGCAAGCCCAGCTCTTCCCAACGCTCAAACATTTCCCCACTCTATCGTCGCTTTCTCAAGGCGCCATATTTGACTATAGTTTTCATCAGCTCCGGGCGATACCATATTTACAACTCGACCTGTCGGTTACCGAGCAAAGACGATCCCTTTACCCCGCTTTTGAGACTCTACCACCACCTCACCCTCTCCGAATTCACAGCCAGTGTCACCATGGCCTCCTCCGATCTGGACCAGCTCATTGAGATGGGCTTTGATAAGGAAAGATCCGAAATTGCAGTGAAGAAGGGCAACGGCAGTATGTTACTCTCAAGCCCAGCTACAGTGTGTCGACCGCTGACAGTCTTCTGTAACGCTTTGCAGTTCAAGGTGCTCTCGAATGGCTGGAAGCAAACCAGGATAAGTCACTGGAGGAAATTAAAGAAGAGGAGAGCGAGGAGGGCCCTGCACTTCAGCCGGGAGAGGAAGCTCGCAGCTTGGTGTGCAACGAGTGTGGCAAGAAGTTCCGGAGCCATGCACAGGCCGAGTTTCACGCGTCTAAATCCCAACACGTTGACTTCTCCGAATCAACCGAAGAGCTTGCTCCTTTGACTGAAGACCAAAAGAAGGCAAGGCTCGAGGAACTTAGACAGAAACTAGCGGAAAAGCGGGCGGGACAGTCAGAGCAGGACAAGATTGACAAGAAGAGGAATGAGGTACGGATGGTTTCGACTACGATTGGATTTTAATTGCTAATTCTGTCCCAGGAGATCCGCAGGAAGGCCACCAAGGACTCCCAAGACGTTAAAGAAGAACTCCAGCGAAAGCAAGCGCTGAAAGAAGCTGAACAGAAGAAGAAAGAGAAGCAAGCAGACATCGAGGCCAAGAAACGCGTCAAGGCTAGGATTGAAGCTGACAAGGAAGAGCGGCGCCTGCGGGCTGAACGAGAGAGGGCCGAACGTGCCGGTGTAGCACCCCCTGCTCAGCCTGCACCAGCCCCGGCGGCCACCACGTCTGGTCCCGTTGCCTCGAAGCCCGCTTCGGCCTATACGGAAACCCGCTTGAGATTCCAGACATCGAAGGGAAATATCATGAAGACTCTCCCAGTGACTACCACGCTCTTTGAGGTCGCTGCAGCTCTGCAGCGGGAGGATGGAATAGAAGTACACAGCTTTGCGCAGAACTTTCCCCGGAAGGTCTTCGATGCGGAGTATTTCGGCGAGTCCCTGAAGGACCTGGGCCTGATCCCTAGCGCAAGTCTTGTTGTCCAGTGATTGCGCCTATATGGCGCTTTTTAGCGGAGCCAATCGAGAGCTTAAATGACGATATCCAACAAATCACCAAATAAGTGGTGATGCGGTTCGTAATGATTTTGTTTGTGCCTTAAAAGCAAGGCTCGCATGAAGAATGTTATAGAATGCCAGCACCGCATTAGCACAGCACGGAAGCTGAGAAGCAACCGAAACAATCATAAGCCTAAATCTAGCTTAGAATTTACCTTATCGATTCTAGACCTCCTGACTCCTGTTCATTGATTTCGGTAGATTAGGCAGTCATTCCATGAGTGATACATTACAGGCAGCGATATCATCACGTGATGACGTGATAAGGCGTGTCGGCATCGATCACGCGTCGACACGCCTAGAGCTAGCATGTTTGATTGTCATTCACTAATATATCCCACTGGTGGCTTTCAATGACCGCCCAGTTTGGTACTTCACTATCTTTACTATAATAATGCCCGCGTAAGTAAACTCGGTGGCCCCGTTTCTCCTCCTCCCCCATTCGCCTCTGGAGTTAACCGCGTCTCCAGTGTTGGCGACCAGCACCGAGGGAATCCAGCGTCCATCATGATGCCCAACTCCACTGGAGCGATTACCACGAATCCATTCGAAGAGCCACAGCGACGGATTAACGAGTACACTGCCCAGGAAATCGCGACTTTGCAAGCTCGTCTCGATAAGAAGCTCGGTCCCGAATACATCTCTTCCAGGCCTGGGGCTGCGGGACAGAGAGTACACTACCTGTCGGCCGATAAATGCATCAACCTGGCAAACGAAGTTTTCGGGTTCAATGGCTGGTCAAGCTCAATCCAGAATATTCAGATCGATTTCGTCGAGGAGAACCCGAATACTGGGAAGATCAGCCTGGGTCTATCTGTCATTGTGAGGGTGACTCTGAAAGACGGCACATATCACGAGGTAGGCATCACTGTGTTGCAGCGAGCTTGTCTGTATCTTTACGCTAAGCCTCGACTGGTATCAGGATATTGGTTACGGTCACATCGAGAACTGTAAAGGAAAGGCTGCTGCTTTCGAGAAAGCTAAGAAAGAGGGGACAACCGATGCTCTAAAGCGGGCTCTGAGGAACTTCGGCAATGTCCTGGGCAACTGTGTCTACGATAAGGACTATGTCTCGAAGGTCACCAAAGTAAAGACTGTACCGGTATGTGGCCATTATGCGGGCACTCGATTCACAACGACTGACTCTCTCTAGGCTAAATGGGACGTCGACGAACTTCACCGTCACCCAGACTTTGTTCCCAGGAAAGAGCCCGTAAAACCAAAGCCCAGTCCCGAGGACGATGATCTGCCACCTCGGCCAACGGACGTTGGCAAGAGCAGTAGCCTCGACGACTCAATGGCATTCGATGGCGACGGGGAGTTCGGAAGTAAGTACAATGGCATGTCACGATCGCTTACAACCGCTAACCTTCTCCTTAGGCGACCTATTCGATGAAGCCGACTTTGGGGTAGGCGGATCCGGCAACCCAGACGAGGTAGTACTAGGACCAGAAACACAGAAGCAACCACCGACACCTCTAAACGGGCCCAATGTACCTCGACAACCATTCAATAACAACGCTCGTGCACCAATGAGGCCCAATCCAGCCATGGTAACGCCATCCAAGCCAGAACGGCCCTTCAACCCAGCACCTGGTGCCAGACAAAATCCCGCTCCTCAGCCCTTTAACAGCAGGCTCAACCCTTCCGCAGCCCAAAACCAGCCCGCACCTCAACGACAATCTATGCCTCCTCAAGCTCCCCAGCAAAACCTCCCCAACAACCGGATGGTCCCACCAGCACAAGCAGCCGCCGCCGCATCAAACACAAGTGGTGCCGTGCCCATCAAACGTGAATTCGGGGCACCCACCACCAACGAACCCCCCAAACCCCAAGACACATTTCCCGGCACGCCCTCCGCATCATTCTTCTCAGCTCGCGCAGTCGACCTCCTCCGCGACAACCCCAACGGGATCCCATCCGGAGCCCCAGTCTTCGACCCCCACGCGGAGAGTCCCTCCATCCGGAAGACCGCAGGCATCGACCACAACAAGAGCCTTCCAGTCTCCAGACCCATGCTCGCCGGAACCGGTGCCGCCTCCCCAGCAACAAACAACGCCCGGGACTTCGTCAACCCATCCCAAGATATGAACCGCAGGATCGGAGCCCCGGGCATGAACAGCCCCATGAGCAGACCTATGACCACATCATCTTACCGGCCCTTAACACGGCCCAACATCAATGCCCCGGGCGCAGCTGCGGCCGCCAATCGTGCATCTACACCAGGCCTCGCACCGCAGAACATGAACGGAAAACGACCCCCCTTGTCTGATGTGACGAATGCCTCGAACCCTAGTGGCGGCAGCGGGCCTGCTCCACCGGTAGGCGTTGAGAACGACCCGAAACGACCTAAGATTACCCCGGGTGGTGCTGCTGCTCCAGCGCCGCCGCAACAGCCGCAGCAGCATTGATGATATGCTGCTATATTACAGTATCGTTTATGATGGGGTTTCGTCTCGGTATTCTTACAATGCGTTATATCTATTCATAGGCACGGCGTTCAGGGACGGGGAATGGAATGGATATTGGCGGGATGGTATGGATGTTATATGTTTGATATAAGATGGTTGAGCTAGCTTGTATCGAAGTTCTTGACCATTTTCTTCTACTTCTATAGTGACGCGAAGATAATCTACCTAGATTAGCTGTATTCCTTCCTTACCTTAATTGAACCGGAGTACATGAGCCACAAGACACTTACGTAACTACATGAAGTGTTGACAACAGTACTATAAAGCAACCCACTCCTGTCTTAGTATCCTATCAAAGTTGAATGATAGCAGCAACCCACTCCTTTCTACCCTAGTCCCTAGTTCCCATCTAACCAACCAACCTAGCAATCAATCAATAACTACCTACAAATTCCCCCTCCCCTCCTGCTCCCTCTCAAACGCCTCAAACAAACTCCTAAAATTCCCGGCCCCAAAGCCATCAAACCCCTCCCTCTGAATAATCTCCAAAAACACCGTCGGGCGATCAACCACATGCTTTGTGAAAATCTGCAGCAAATACCCACCCTCATCGAAATCAATCAATATATTGTATTTCTGAAGCAGGTTGATGTCTTCGGCTAGGGTGATGTTCGCGGATGCGAGGCGCGTGCGCATGTTGGCGTAGTAAGTGTCTGGGACGGAGAGGAAGGATACGCCGCGGGTGGTGAGGTTCTTTACGGCTTGTAGTATGTTCGGGGTGAGGAGGGCGATGTGTTGGCAGCCGGGGCCGTTGTAGTATTCTACGAATCTGGCGAATGTTAATCAATAGTTCGGGGAGGGGGGGGGTTGTTGTTAGGGAGAATGAAAGGGAAAGTTGGGGGGGGAAGGGTATGGCGTACTCCTCTATTTGGGACTTTTTGAGACCGGTGGCGGGCTCGTTCATGGGCATTTTTATGATTTCATTGGGCGAGGCCATTACGATGGAGCGCATTGCGGAGTATTCGGAGCACATTTCTTTGTCGTCGACGGTCCAGTAGCGGTGGAAGTTTAGGGCGTCTTCGTAGCTGGTGGTTGTGTTAGTGTATAGTATGAAAGGTGCTATGGGGATGGGAGGTGATGCTTACTACTTCACGATGCTGTCTAGGCCATTCCAGCCTTGATTGCCCACGCAATGGTCGATTTCGATCACGTCAATCTCGGGAAGTAGATCGTTCAGTCGATCCTGGCCGGATACGGCTTGGTATCCGGGGAGGAAGATCCCTTGATACGCGGATCTGTTGATCAGCGTATGTGCTGTGTCGCCGTAGGTCTGGATTGTGGCGGAACGGACCTCGCCGCTGTCATCTTTGAGAAGTTGTGGTTCCTGGATGGAGATGGCACCGTGCTGGATGGCGTGTTCCCAAACGCCAGTGATATCGTCGACGGCGAACGCGACGTCTTTGACGCCATCGCCGTGCTTGGTCAGGTGTGCATGGATTTCATCCAACTGCTGACGGTCTGCGCCTGAGGCCCGTTTGTCCCAGGTGTTGTTGGGAGGGGTGATGGGAGCCGTGAGAACGAATCGGGCGTTTCCGTTGGTGACAACGTACGAACAGCTTAGGTGGGAGCCCGTTTCTGGTCCGCGGTAGGCAACGATGCGGAAGCCAAATTGGGCGACGAAGTAGGTCGCTGCTTGACGGGCATTCCCGACATACCATCTAATATGGTCGAAGCCCGTGTAGTTGGGATTGATGTTGCGAAGTACGGCGTTATTGCCTACCTTTGGTTGACTCTCGTTGGACGGCATGATGAGATCTTAAGAATACTGATGCTTTAGTTGCACGACTTGACAGTTTTAGTTTTAAGATGCTGTGATGGCGTCACATATTTAAATATCTGCCACGTTTTGTTAGTGCTGGGTTACGTGTACATGCTCTCCGCCTGTAGGAATGCACACCTGTAGGTGCATGCATCGCCGCAGTCAAGTTTATCAAGGATGACGCAAGATCAGCCTTCTTTGTATGCGCGATGAAGTACTGTTGGCTTGGAGTACGACTGTAGCACTGACTCGTCTGGTTCTTGGCCGCTTCACTGAGATTTTCAACCTATGATAGTGTCGAGGGTATATTCGCTTTTTTGTACCTTGCGCCAGTAGAATCTCTTTATCATCGGGAAGCAAATCAAGAGAAGTGTGACATGCAATGCTCGTCACGGCCATCCGGCTAGTACTTGATTGTGACGATATAATGAGTGTGCTGTTGATCATCAAGATTAGGTTTGGATCCAATCACGGAGAAACAAGTTGCCAGCAGCCTTTAATCTGGAGGCTCAAATCACGTCCTTCCTCATGTATACTCCCAAACCTAAAACCTACGTCACGTAAGCGTGGCCGAGCAAACACCGGCCGAGGACGAACTTCAGCCATCTCAGCTCAACAAGGAAGCATCCGAATGATCTGACGCATATCAATGAGCAACACATGGCGCAGAAGATAACCATGTCCTTCTGTAAGTAGACAACCGGGGACACGACCCATGGAGCATCGTGCCCCAGTCAAGAACTAGTCCTGCACATGCAAGTTCCCAGACTCGACCCCTGAAAGGCACGATGACTGCCGACATGACCAGTCACTTCATAGTGCAAATGCGTGCTGCCACCGCAGGCACGTACTATTGTTGCGCTGTCCTACCTTGCACTAGCCACGCGCAAAGCATTGCATGAATAAATAAACCCACTTACTCCAATAGTATCAATAACCAAAGGTACTATCACTTTCGCTATGCAATAAACTGAGTCATTCATATATACCATGGAATGTGATATGTGACAGGAACGGAAAAGAAGATCTACAATGCCAACCGAACAGCAGACTTGAACTATAGCCGCCCACATGTCAGTAAAAAGGTACGCATGGTGATGGGCCTGCCAAAAGGGGAGGGAGGCAGAAGCAGGGAATAATCACAAACCGGAATAATCTGCGCCTTGTCCATGTCCCACACTCCACTCTTCGTGTAAATATCATTTCTGAGGAGCGCCTCGGCTTCCTCCTTGGTCTCCGCCAATACCATCATCATGCTTCCTTGGAAGGACATGGATTCGCCTTCTGCGGGGTGCTTGTCGAGCATTGCGCCTTATTAAGGGAACAAGTCAGCAACGGAGAAGCAGGGGGAAACAGGGAGTGTGGCAACTATGATGTACCTCCCGCAACCACAGAGCCGGCTTCGACGAGAGGCTTGACTCCTTCCAAGTGTTGACTGTTCGGTGAAGCCGGTGTTGTCAGTGTTGATGACTAGAAAGAACAGGTGAGGGGTAGTTCTTACGGGCGAACTTCCAGTCGCTTGGCCATCATTCCCGGCTTGTCCGGGAGGATGCAGAGAAATTCGTTCTTGGCAGGCATGGTGTTGAAGTTTTCGTCTTCAATGATACGCAATCAGAAAGGTGTAAAGTGTGGTGAGAGGGAAAACTGAGGGAAAAGTCCGGCAAGATGAGAGATCCGATGGCGGGAAGTGGAAGCGGGGAAAAGGTGGGGAGGCAGGAGCAGCACTTATCCGGTGGATCTTCGACTATTCCTACTATTAAAACCTATGACTACTATTAAGTTCCTACTACTGCTACTAGCTTATCGGTTTTACAATCATGACAAGCCCACCAGATTGTAGCCTATATATGTATGTACATGGACGCCAAGCACCATGGCCCTGTTCATCTGCCTCTTTCATCGACCTCCCTGAGCTACTGTATAGCTCACCCCAAATACGGTCAACTGCTCTAACTGCGGATGATGCGTCAAGCAGACCCCGGGAGATGAGCAATAGCTTCAGAGCACCATGCCGGTGAAAGGAGCCCATGGCTTGGGCCTGGAAGAACAACGTAGGCTCCAACCAGAGCCCGCTCACTCGCTCTCTATGAGCTTCCAATACCGCTGAACACTGTCCCCGTAGCGCCAACAAAATCAGACATAACCCTAGCACGCAATACAAAGAAAGACTTAATTACCGGCGTCGTGAGATATCCGTCCCCGCGTTTGAAGAAATGCAATCACGAAAGAGAAAAAGGAAAAAGAAAAATCGAAGAAAAAAGTATTCAATAAAAGCGTTAAGAGGAAAGCCTCCATGCAAAGAACCGCTGCAAGGGCTCGGATTTACACGGGAACGGGGTATTCAGGCGTCAAAGGATGAGATGTGGCAATAGGTGTACCACTCAAACTGCGGGGAAATGAGAATCAACTCAGGAAAGCAGCTAGTATGCCTTGCGGCCTCCGAGGTTGCCAGGCTTCTCATCCGTGTCAATGTGCCAGACCACATAGTTCGGAAGACCGTACACCTGGTATCCAGCACGCTTGGCCATGCGGGCGAATCCCTCGGTTTCAGCCTGGTTCTCGAAAGCGTAGGCCGGGAAGTTGATGCCAGTCCGGTGAACATCGGCCTTCACGAGGATGTTGACACCGCCAATACCGTCGAGCTCAACTTCCTCATCCTTGTTCTTTCTCCAGTCACCCATGCCAACCAGGTAAGTCCGGCCAGTGTCGTATTCCTTGTAGCCTTCAGCCAGAACAGTATCCGGGTCGAGAGTCTGCCGAAGCCGGCGTCCCTTGTCCGATTCGATCCACGAGTTGTAGTCAACTGCAAGAATTAGCAAAGCGAGGATTGTGAAGGGAAGATTGTGTACATACATCGACCTTCGACATCAACACCATCCCGGTAGCGATGGAACCAGATGTCTGCGACGGAGTTAGCACCTGGAAACGTGGTAATCATAGAGGTGTTGCAACGTACTTGGAACCAGAATATCCCTGTCGTGAGCAATGAAATCTTCAATGATACTATCAGGGCTGTCAAAGATGTCAACATCTCTCCAGTAGACCCAAGAGTGATCAGGTTTGAGAGCCGAGTAGAGCAGGTAGTTGCGGGCGCGACCGATAGCCTTGCGGCGCGGGCCTTGAGCAGCAAAGGAGTGCCTGTCCTCGACGTTCATCTCGACATCAGCCCCAAAGTCCTTCTGCACAATTGTCGCGCTACGGAAAGCAATCTTCTCATCCACCTGGTCCTGGATCCGGGACAGCTCGGCGGTAAGAACAGCCATGGTGTCGTCACTGCAATCACCAACGAGGAAAGCCAGGTCAATGAGGTTGTGAGGGTACGTCAGCTTGTAGAGGAGATCGAAGTAGTTGACCAGATGTTCGGATGCGTCTCTCAGAGGGGTGAGGATGAGCACCCGCTCAGAATTCGAGATGGCCTGGGAGGTAGACTTGATGGGGTTGAGGTCGACGGTCTTGATGCTCGAGGAGTTCACTTCGTAGGCAGCGTGATGGTTGAAGAGGACAGGGGTCTGTGTGTGCGCGGTCCACTCGACCATTTCGTTGATGCTCATTTCCATCGGCGATTTTGAAGGGCCATAGCAGTAGAAGCTACATGCAGCCGTTAGCGTTTTCTGGTCGCGTGCCTGCAAGTCGTTGCCAGGGACCGGGTGTCGCGGGCAGCCCTGTCAACGTCGAGTCAGGTACTCACCTCTGCATCTCCGACGCTGACTTGCTGATGCCACGCCATAGTAGGACTACAAGACCAGTGATGGCCAATGAGACCAGAAAACGGGTCCGTGTGACCAGGAACAGAACAGCCCGCCATGGAGGCAGCCGTGCTTTGGCAGACTTCCACGTTACACCACCCTTGGGGAGCAACATCTTCGCGACGGGGGAGAAAAAGGGGAAATAAGATTATGAGTTGGCCAGGAAAGCGAGCAGAATGGTCTCGCTTTTCGTAAACAGAAACCGTCGACGCCTACAGCTAGGCGACGATTTCTGGGGATGGGGATGTCTATCGCTGGGACACCAGAGTCCAGGGAGATCGATCAATCTGTCGTGGAGCGGACAACACGATGCAGAACGGGCGGCGGAAGAGACGGACCGTCCGGGGAAGGGAAAAGGAGCGGGTTTGGACGCGATGCAGATAATGGCAGGGACGATCACACAAAATCGAGACTGAAATCTGACGGATCGAAGGCGTCGACAGGGGAGGTCAGAGTTGACGATGCGATATGGAGAAGGGGGGGGGGGGGTGGAAGCCAGCGATCGCCCGGGGCAGGAAAAAGGGTAGGGAAAAGGCTGGCTGCGGGAGCGTGGTGCGGCACCGGAGGGCCCCAGCAAAGAAGGAGTAGGTTTCAAACGAATGTGAGAAGCAGACGATGGACGATCAGGACACAAAGTGATCCGACCAGTTCTCAGTCAAGCGACACAGAGAAGTCCAGGGGAGGATAAGATGAATGGAATGGTCGTCGACAGAAGAGAAGTTCCAGGTTGACAGGGAAGATTCGACCCGCCGAAGTTCCAGCCAGACTCAAAGTCCAGTTGGCCGCTTCGGGATTGGCCCGCCGCTTTTAATTTTTCTTTTTTATTTATAGCCGCGGGTGACTAAGGAGACCCTTAATCAGCTGCATAACCCTCATCCACGGCATAACTCAACGACCGAATTGCACTATGTATCACTACTAACAAATCTACTCGACTCTTCCAAAGGTCTACTACCTCATGTTTGAAGCAGTCACCCGCTACTCTGTACCCCATTTGAGTTTACTTCTTATTTTCTTTATAGATAAGAATATTTTCATGGTCATCTCGCTCTATGCTGATAGTTACAAAAATTCACCCCATTGGAACCGAACCCTGAAAAATAAGCAGAAGACATCACAAAAGAAATAGATACCGAAATCAGTCGTGTATGTATAGTAAAGCGGAAAACGAAAATTCAACCCAATAAAACTGTCGCCACAATGCTCCAGATCCTGGCCAGTGAACAAGATAATTATAGCCTTCCCCAATATGAACACGGAAGAAAGATTGTACAGACACCAAATAAAACCATCCGTCGTAAATGCCTAACAAACGCTCTTTGCCTTTTTCCTTCTTTTCTTCCTCTCAAATGATGTACACATTGCGCCTTTTCCGTGTTCGATAGGAGAGATGCGCAGGAAAGCCTGAGTCCAGTGTGGACTCTATATCAGACGGTAAACAGATCACGGTGCAGGAGACATCACTTGTCCCAAGTATATGTCGATGACGAACGCTCTCGCTATGCCAGAAATCACAGTTTAAATGAGATGAAAAACAAATTTGGGCTGCGCAACAGCCGCTCTAGGAATGGACTCAAGGAGAATCATGACAAGGTTCCCTCAGTGATCGTGAAGGAGGCAGATGCACCAATTCATGGCGACGGGATGATGGATTGACGCCGTGATACAGGCACTGAGTGAGGCCCGTGTGCGAACACAGGCGAAGAGGACCGTGTGATAGAAGGAGTGTGGGTAAGGTATGTATGTCCGAAAGTGAAAGCTGGCGCTGTGGGATGGGACTCAAGCCGAGAGGATTCAGGGCTGCTGGCGGCAATCTCGTCGCAGAATACCCGCAACCCGGGGAGCATGTTACGTGGCTTGGCCTCGGCGTGATGAATGATCGGCTGAGAAGTCAGGGGCTCGCTCTTGGGCGATCGGAACATGTGCTCGTATGACTTCAGCTGAAGCTCGAGCGCTTGGTTGCGCTCCTCCAACATCTGGTTCTCTTGCTTCAGACTTTTGATCTGCTGCTGGGCAGTCTGGTTCTGCTGCTGAAGACTGGAAACCAGCTGCTGCAACTGCATGCAGCGGATCTGGGGCTCCAGTTTCTCGGACAGTTGACGAGGCATCTCGTTCTCCTGGCGGATCAAGTGGATGATGATCAGAAGCATGAAGTCGATGAGAAAGATGGCAGCCTGAACAATATGCTCCTTGGACTCTGGTAGGCTCTTGGACGGGTTCCAGCCGGCGCGCTCCAAGAAGAAATCATGGATGCGGCTGTCCAGCTCACGATGTAGCTGGCTGAGGTTCTTCCGTCGGTTTCCCTCTGCAATTCTGTGCTTTTCTCTCTGGTCGTCTGAATCCGCAGAGACCATGCTTTCCTTGCGCTTTCGCCCGCAGAGCTGCTGCAACGGCGGCTTGCGGTTAATGTGCTTGGGGGCGATGAGGTTCAGGAGTTCTGCAGGGGAAAGCTCTTGCGGCCAGTCAAAGGCCTTTTGTGACTGAACAGACTCTGGCCAGGAACTATCGGCGGAGGTTGCTGGTGATGGGGGAGTCACAATGTGTTCCGCTTCAGGCCACGGCGACCTAACGGGAAAAGCGTCCTGGGAGCTTGGAGAGCTGGTGGCACCGATGTTGGTGGTGAACGGGTCAAAGGGGCCCCGGGGCAAGGGCTCCACGCGGGGGAGCGGGGGCAAGCGGCGGTCCTCGCTCATGTCTGCCGTGCTGGATGCACTGGAGAGGGAACGCACACTGTGGGGGAGCATGTCACGTCAGATGCTGCATCTGTCGGCAAGGCTCAAAGACAACTTACGGGAGAGAACAACGGCGAGAGATGTCGTCAGCCATGGTGTTCATGTCTTCAAACATCATGGTGCTGAGGGTTCTTGCTGCAGGTAAGATGAAAGACGGGGGGCTGCAGCTAGAGAGCTGTATGTCTGAGATTTGTCTGTATGCACTGCAGGCAGGAGGGGAAATGTCTCTGATATGTATGTCTGCACCGGCGCGGGATGATTAGGCGTGAAGTAAACAAACCACACAGCCAAGAAGTATATAGAATAAGCTTCAAGGGGGAGGAGCAATAATAAGGACCACAAGGGATGATGGTAGTAAATGAGAGTTCAGTGGCAACAATGACGCTGATACAATCAAGGGGGGGAAGAAGAGGATGAGGGGGGTTTCTAAGGATAGAAGTAAGACAAGAGGAAACAATCAGGTTAATCCACGAGGAGCAGCTGAGATTTGATGATGAAGAACACAATGCTTCTCACAGAGCAAGACGGGAGGATCCCGCTGCATGTTTTATATGTTGGAAGCCGCAGGTGGGAACGAGGAGAGGGGAAGGAGGAGGCAATGGATGAGGAAGTCGGCGAAGGAGGGAGTGGGGAAAGACCAGAAAGAGCAGCAAAAGGACGCCATTGTGGTGGCGCGCTCAGACGTGCAGTTTGAGCTGGCAATGAACTGCATCGGAAGAGGAATGCGAAGGGTTGAGAGGATGCGAATAGTACGGAAACAGTATGGGAGAGTGTGTGAAAGAGGGAGGGAGAGAGAGAGAGCATTCGGGATGTATCACCAAGTGCTTTCTTGGGATCCTCCCCAGAAGCTAAACGGATTAGCTCGATCTGCGACTGCCTCAACAAGGAAATGGAGCATCGACGATGACATACAGATAGATGGTTTGATGGTGGTGGAGTCGTTGGATTCTCCATTTTTTCCTTTTTCTTTTTTATTTTTTAACTTGGTTTTAATTTTATTTTTATTTTTCATATTTTATTTTCTTACTTTATTTTGATTATTATTATTATTATTTCTTCTCTTCTTGGGATACTATTCCTTGTGTCTACTACTACTTCCCTGCTTCCCCTACAGATTATCTGCAGCCTCCATCTCCATCTGGACCTTCTCCTTCTGCGCCGCTTCCTCTTTTGGTCATCGCCTCCACTGCTTCATCATCCTTCTTCCCTCCCCCCCCCCCCCCTCATCTTCCTCATCCTGCTGCTTCCCTTGCTCCCTCTCCCCCATGAGGACACGCGGGGATGCATGAACAAGCTTCCGGCAGAGTTCGACAGCCCATCAACTAGTACCTTTTATTTTCACTTTCCATAGTACTCCCTCCAACAGGATGGGACATTGCTCTATCAGAAATGGGCACAGACGCGAGGCAAAGCACCGGATCGACGAATCAACGTGCCATGATCCCGATGAACAAGAAGGAGAGTCGGATTGGGGATCGCAGACCCTTGATTTGTCACCGCTGCAGCGGTTTTCGATCTACACGGGGCGAAGAAAGGTATCGACTCCCCTTGCATCGCGGTCATCAATAGTCTGTTCGGGCCAATGGCCATGGTCCGTCCACCCAGTGTCCACTTCGGATCCTGGGCCCAGGCGGCGATGCATCCGCGAAACCCATAGCGTCGAGGCATAAAACGTTCCCGTCGTTTGGACAAGCGCGGACTGGTGGCTGTTACAGGTGTGGGAACTAGCTCTGCGGCGCTTATCCGTCTGGCCAGTTCGAACACAGGCCCAATTCCGAACCGGACAAGGTGCTGAAGCCATGGAGAAGCAAATTTAAACGTCAAATTATAGGGAACAGATCGGATCAGCCATCCGGACCATCCAGTTGGAGGGTATCAAAAGTCGTCTCGATCGCCTCGATCTTCCCAGACTCAGTGCCACTATAGACTACACACCCCCCCTCCGTATATACTACTATGTATAGCACATGGTCTGCACGGGATCGAGGGCAAAAGTGAGGCCCACGGGAGCGGTCCCGGCCCGATCTTGTGTCTTTCTCGTCTTGACCTGCGGCCCATATGAGGGCATCTGGCCAGGAAAAGCAAAAGTACCAATAAAGGGTCATGAACGCCCAGAGTAAGAATGTACTATACATAATGATCCGATGCAGAGGCAGATGCAGGTTCCCCGAAAGCAGATCATAGCTTCGGCAGGAGGTGGAATAGGACCTAATAGCACGAAGCAAGGACTTCTAGGACGGAAGCCAAAAGTACCTGGTACCTGGAAGAGCTGTGTGAGGAGACCAGGGATCGACCTTTGTCAGATAGGAGGCAATGAGCGGCCGCAATCTGTCACGAGTCTCCACGGTTCTAACCTGTCTTCGCTGGTTACGAGTGAGGCGATTCTCCTTGATGCATACGACAGAGCCATTGTCTCCATGAGAACCTCGTTTAGCCGGGCTATGGGATCATAGAGTGGCCTTGTCTATAATAGCACAGGTTATTACCGAACGGGCCCGAACGAAGGGGTCAAAACTCGGACAGAGTTGGGATCATCCACAGCCGACGAAGGGCCCATACGCCTGGGTCACTGGAAGATCCCAGCGACCAGGATGTGACGGCTGTCAGACCCAATTCTGGACTGCTTCTTTTCTTGGTGCAGGCTTGGTGTAGTCCGTCGCAATGGGCTGGCTTAGACCTGGGCAGGGGATTTGGAATGCCGTCGGACGTCTCCAACAGACAGACGCTATGAGGAGTTGTTTCGGAAAACTCCACCAGACTATCGCGTGAAGAAGCGTGAGGGAACCCCATTTCCAGGTTTACACTGAGGAGTGCCGCTCGTTGGAACCGTGGTACGGTGGACGGGAATGCAATCAGTGAATGGAAGATCCCCCGGGAAAGGACACGACTCTCTCTTCACTGGGAGAGAGCAGACCCCGAGGGTGTCAGTGGAGAAAGGAGGGCCGGCGATACAGAGTAATGGGGTACCAAAGCCAAGAGCCATATGAGGAGAACACGACCAAACAGGACAAACCTTATCCCGGGTTCGCTGATAGATGGCAATCAAGGCGGCGGCCGGATCAGATCTGTCATATTCAGGTGCCCCCGGATCTGAGGATGCGGCATGATGAAGGAACAATGGATCTTCTAGCTCCAGCCACGCCCAGGCCGCCCCACGTTGAGAGGGTTGAAGGAGGAATGTGGACGATCATTATCTTGTGCGCCAAACGATAACTATCTACCAGCCTCCCATATGGTAATGGCTTGGGGGAAGTTCCGAGGGCGGCGTGGACGCCATGAGAGTTGAATGATCAATTAACTAACATGGTTAGGGCGGACTCCGTTATTCCCGGAGAGGCAAGTCCTTTGCCCTAGTAGCCGAGGATGACGATGGCGCCTTTGAACGTTATCGCTACTCTTAGCCGCCCTTTCTTCAGCAGACGGCGCCGCGCGGCGATAGCGAGGATTGCCGCCGATGGTGTTGTTAGGCCATATCAACGAGTATGTCCGATCGGTTTTGCCCCCTCAAAACCACCAATAGTACCATAGTGGAGGCTCCAAAGTACCAAGCTCCATAGTGCTGAGTTGGCAGTACATACATCCACCAGAACAAAGTCATGAAACACTGGACACCAGTTGAAAGAGTAGCCACCCCTACTCGATCAGAAATCGCTCGCACGCAGTGGCCGCCAGGCACGAACTCACTCGTAAACTCTCGCTGAGTCTATGTCCATAGATGGCATATGTGCTTGCGCTCCTACATGCTCCCCCGGCTCACGGGCCCATGGACTAAAACCTTAGAAAATTGCCCGAAGGACACTGACTTGACAAGTTTCGCTTATTTTCCGAATTATCGGGGCCTGGAAGCATCGATAAGTGCCAATCTATTGGTTTCAACCAGGGAATCCCCAGCAGCGACGGAAGGGCAACAATCCATCAATAGAGAGGGAGAGTGTGAGAGAGAGGAGCGGCTGAAGTGAACCTTAATGTGTCCATGAGAGATCCATAGCACGATTTACTAAGTACGGGGAACCGGTTCATTGTGATTTGGGTTCGACCATAGTACCGAGTCACCTTGAGTTTGATGACTCGAGGACCATCATCATCGGTCTCTTTTTCGAATAGGGTGCAAGGCCGTCCTGACTGGCAGGAAATGGGAAAGCCGAGGAGTGATTTAAGTTTGGTCTAGATTTGGAATTGGTTACACAGCGTCGACTGGCGGGTCCAACAGTCGAGAGGCAGCAAAACTGACACGGACTGCCGCTGACACATTGACAGTTGACTGAATCCTTTGCTTTTGGAGGTCCCCCTCCCCCTCAAGCCTCCCAAAGGTCATAATGGATAGAGAAAAAAAATTCATCCGCATCACAAAGAATCAGCAACATTCAAAGCACTTCCGATCGCATGCCGCTTACTTCAGTTGGACTCGGAACGCTTGTAAAGAGGCAAAAAGACCCAGCAAGAGCCTGACGCCTTTGCCAATCATTGTCCCCAGGTGATGCATCACAGAAGCAACGACCCTCCCCGCCTAGACCCCTTCGCGCCCCTCAATGCGTTGTCCAAACCCGGTAGCCAGTCGTCCGTCTCGCAAAGCTACCCGGGCTAGTCTACCTGTCGACTTGCTTACAGCAACTTCCCTGTCGCTACCGGCTTCCCCCAACGCACTTACAGTACAACATTATTAGGCCCCGTTCAACCCCAGTCGGGTTACAGTAGTACGTACGCATCTCATTGAACGTACATACATAGTTAACCCATGAGAGGGCTTCGGAGGATACGCTTATGAACACACGTACATTAGCGTGGCCCATCATGGCACGGATCTCAGCAGAGACCGGGATGGCCCTGCGTGCGGCGATGCAAGATCGCCTCATGTATCAGATTCTTGTCTCCGTGATGTGATCCTTTGCCACTCGGTTCTGGCCGGGCCAGAATGGCTCACGTACTGACACGAAGTCCTATCTCTCTGCCTTCCGCATTTGCATAGTGCCCTTATGCAGAATAATATTGAAGGCCGTCCTAGAGTCGACCACCGCCGCCAGTAAGGCTCAAGCAACTCGTGCCATTGTTTCAGATGCTCCAAGGGGGCGCCCTTCTCCCGGCATTCCATTATTCCATACGGAGTGCTGCGTCCACCTCGTCCTGCGTTGTAAGGCCCCATCATTATCCATGTCTGCATGAGTCTGGTTCCAGATATAGCCACCACCTTGCCTCAACCACTGCCTTACGGCTCAAGGGACTCGTACACCTGATCAGCCCAGCTGCTAGCAATGACGCTCTCATCATTGCCACTAGACCTTGTTCCAGACCCTTCAGCCGTAGCACCGACACACGGAGGATTGCATACTGACGGAGGAGCAAAGGCGAGGATCTCCGAAGGCAATTCCTCAGGCTATGCTATTCTTGTCCGCCCTAGCCCTAAGACGGCCGACCTGAGGCATCCACACATGCAAGGCATCCCCTATCCGGTTATCTATCATATGGATCCTCATCCTCCATCATCCTCCTGCCTCGCACAACACTAGGTAGGTCCTTTTTCTTTTTACTGTTTTCTTTCATTCTTTCCTGGTCTCCCTTCATTCTAGGAAGACTAGACACTTAGTCTATTGATCCTCGAGAGCCACTCGAGACCTCGATCCCCTCTCTTCGTTCCCCCCTCCCCAAAGCCGCACGGACATACCTCTTTCCTTTCAGAGATAAACCAACATGAAACAAAGGTACACTACGTACGACGGCATCTCCATAATCGTATTTAGAGTTCATTCCCCTCTTCCATTCATACTACCTCAACCTACAGCCTCCTTGTCGTCGCCTTGACCTTCCCCCGCTCCCAACCCAAAGGGTGAACACGCGCAGTTCGCGAACCATCACCGGGCCTTCCGTAGGCACACAGACACTATGTGGCCCTTGCGAACATTATCTCCTCAACAAAAAGTGTAAAGAAGTTCCTGGTCACATAGCAGCATCGACTCGATATTTAAAATCTGTACGGAATTCCAATCCGATCGCAGACCCGTCCATCGTGGGTCTATTTACCCACCAGTTGGGCTAGGGAAAATCATCCGGCCAGCCAGGTGACCGGGATCCCAAATCCGGGCCCCAGTGTTGTTTACGGAGCAGTAGATGTATAAAAAGATAGGCAGGTAGTCAGAAGGCAATTGCAATTAATAAAGTGTCCTAGTTAAATAGGTGAGGTTTATCTGTCAAGCATGAAGTTAAAGTGAGGAAATAAAGTGAAACCTGCCGCATATGTATATACCTTGCTTCTACACTGCCAACAAAAACAGCAAGTAGCAAGTAGCAAGATAGATAGTATAACCTACACATTCAGTGACTATCTCTCAGTAGTATATTCCACCATGAAGATTGAATCCATCCATACTCAGAGTTAAATAGTCCCCCGTACTTTTGACAGACTTTCACTTTTTCTCTCCACCAACTATCCATAACAGTAATCTAATTAACTTAACTACCAAACTATTATCAACCCAAAAAAAAAACTGACTCCAACCAACCAAATAGCTATAACTTACCTACCAACTACCCAACTACTACTAAATGTAAACAAAACACCAAATTCAACCATCCACCCCTTCCATACTCCCTCACCGGAACTGAATTGACACATCAATCTCTCTACTACCTACCTACCTATCTACCTACCTATCTACCTACCTACCTACTTACCCACTCAACTACAACACAACAACCTACGTATTTAATAAAGCGCAGTAGTACCGTGCCTACGTACAAATTTGGGTAGGGTAAGGTAGGGTAGGGTAGATACTCCCCAGAAAGAGGAAACGAAAAGCACGAAGAACATCCATATCCACATGACTAGAATACATACCAATCAACAAACTAACTCCATCTACAGAGTACTACATTGAGAGATATAGGCCAATGCATGCATGTCTACTAATGCAATACACAACAATAATAACCCCCGGTCATTCCGGGACTCGACTCCAATCCACATCTGCGGCCCGCAAACAGATGGAGAGACAGCAGCAGCAGTAGCAGTGGAGTACTACGTAGTAAGTAAGAGAGATTAAGATCGATCCTACCTACGATACATACCAATCAACCAATCTCCCGCAGGGAGACAGACAGACAGACAGACAGCCCGAATGGGAGATTAGAGTCGATCTCAGAATACCCAAGCAAGCAGGCAAGTCAGCTCAGCTGAACTCACACGCAGATAGACAGACAGACAGTCAGACGACAGTCTGCTTTCCTGGAGATCTCCACTCACACTTTACACTCACACTCACACTTACTGGCCCTCATAGCTCTGGAAATATGTACTCCGTATGTATGTATATATGTATGTATGTACGCATGTATATGTACGCAGTAGGCATATCACCCACTCACATTCATGAGCACTTTGAATCCCACGATCGATGCCTCAGATCCACGATGATAGATTTAGTAAATCACATTGGTGCTCTTTCTTTCTTCCCCCCACGACATAGTGCGTGAAAGAAAGGGAGCGAGAGGAACCAAAGTACTTTTGACTTGATATACTCACTCACTCCGCCTATATTCATTCATCTAAATATATATATACTACCATGGTGTTTACAGAGGGGGAAAGAATTAAGGGGGAAGATGCCTGAGTCCCACTTCTGAGTGAGGTGTCTTACGGCCAGCAATGCAGTCAGTCTCGCATATGCACCTGGTTCGGGAGGTGGGAAGGAGAGGCAAGAGCCGGTCATCTGCGCGGACTTTAACTTTCCGTTCGCCACGGTCATGTAGCAGTAGCAGTAGCAGCAGCTGCTGCTGCTGGTGTTAGTTAGACGGGCGGACGGACAGACAGACAGCAGGCAGCACGAGACCGTATTCCTGCTGCAAACTGAGGACAGAAGTACATCCGACAAAGTTGCCCTCGGACCACACATCAGACCAGGCCAGACCACACCAAGACATTACTGAGAAAGGCAGACAGATGTGGAGGCAATCTCAATTTAGAATGAGAAATAGGATACGTCAATTATGGACGGCGAATTAGCGTATAGAGTAAGAACAACATACTGTCATGTAGCAAAACGCACACGTAAACTGCAAAGGAACGTCTATAGAACACAATCCGACAGCTCACAGGGCCGAGAAGAGGCCTGACCGCAGCAAACCCAGCCACCTCGCGCACTTCGCCAGGTGTCCGGTTCGTACAATTTATCACCCTCCCTCGACCCGCTTCACCTGTCACGACTCAAAATAAAATTGATGCTCATGCTCAAAATGAACAGAAAAAAAAAAATAAAAAAGCAATTCATCTCCCGAGGCACAATGCCACGCCGTGCGAATTTTGGCTCAAGCAAACCGATATTCAATTATTATCATAAGAAACAGCACAGTACTGGAATTAAAGGAAACCAATTGCTTATTAGGCAACTTTACACGACCATGATAAGGGTTTCAAAAAAGCGTACACACAAATGTTTGGTATCAAGTTGTCCTTTACAGAGCGTACTGGATCAGACCACCGAGGACGGCAGCAAGACCAAGAGCGGGCATGTTGGCCACGTTCATGACGGAGGCGCTGTCGCTGCTGGTGGAGGAAGAGCTGCTGCTGCTGCTGGTGGAGGAAGAGGTGCCAGAGGATCCATCGCTGGTGGTGGGGTCGGAGGTGCTGGCCTTGCAGGTGTAGGTACCACGGATGACGTTGTTCTCACGCAGGGTCTTGAAGGCGCTGCAGCTGAAGTTACCAGTGCTCTGCATGTTGAAGCCACCCTTGACCTCGGTCAGGGAAGAGAGGGAAACCCTGGACACACGAGTTAGCAAACAGAACGTCTTATCGGAACAAAGCAACTGGAGAAACTTACTCGTCGAAGTCACCGCTGAAGTCAATGGCACCAGTAACCTCCTTCAGGTCGGGGAAGTTGATGGACTTAAGCTTGTCATTGCGAGCAATCTGGAATCCACCGTTGACGGTCTTCAGGACGGGCATGCTGATGTTGTTCAGCTTGGTGTTGTCGTCGAAGACAAGGTCACCAGTGGTGGTGAGGTTGGCAGCGCTGAAGTTGGTGAAGGTGTTACCCCAGAAACCAAGCTGACCGCTGAGAGTCTCGAGAGAGGGGATGGAGACACCGCTGACGTTACGGAAGGTCATGTTGGTACCGGTGCCGAGGTTGGGGAGGATAATCTGCAGGGAGTCCATGTTACCAGCGAAGTTGATCAGACCAGTGGCGTTGGTGAGCTCGTTGACGTTGACGGTCTTCAGGTTGGTGTTCTCGGTGATGTCGAAGGTACCGACGGTCTTGAGGGAGATACCGTCCAAGCTGGTAAGACCAGTGTTGGTGATGGTGACACTGCCGGCCTCGGAAACACCCTTGGTGAAGTCCAGGGACTGCAGCTCGGGGAGAGCAGTCCAGGAGATGGAGCCAACGCTGGTGAGGTTGGTCAAGCTGAGGGTGGTGAGGGTAGTGAGACCGTCCAACTTGAAGGTGTCGCCGATGGAGCTCAGGGAGGAAGAGCTGAAGGAGGTGATGTTGCTGCCGCCGGTGCAGCTCAGTCCACCAGTGATGGAGGTGACACCGCTGAGGGTGAGGTCACCAGAGGCGCTCTCGCTGATCTCAACATCACCCTTGAGGGTGGTGCAGGTCGCGTAGCTGTCAAGGTCACTCTGGCTGGAGATGGTGATGGTGCTGTCGGTGCTACCACAGCCTATATTGTTATCAGTAAGTGCCGTTCACTACTCACTTCATCCAGATGATCGCGGGTGGTACTCACTGGCAGCCATGGCGACCTGGGCCGCAGCAAGAGCGGGGAGGGCGTATTTGATGAAAGCCATTGCTTAGGATAACTTGAGACTGTATGGTGGAGAAGATGTCAGTCACCAATGTTCACCTCGATTGCTTCTGAGCCACTGCCAAGGCCCTTCCTACTGCAATCCAACAGATCCCAATCGCAGTCGTGGCAGGCGCAAAGATAGCAGATCAAACAGCAGCTTGAATCAGAGGAAAAGGTCGACCTACCAATGACGGCTGATGGTTAAGTATGCAGACTGGGGCGAGGCGAGGCCCTTTGTTGACACGGATAGCAGCGTAAGAGCTGAAGAAGGGGGGCTTGTGAGACAATAAATAAGCGAGCGAGTGAATTAAGAGCTTCAACGAAGGAGAAGCTTTATGAACGAAGACCCTCAGCGAGAGAAAGTGCGCAGGTTAGGCAGGCACGATTTGCACGGGGAAGGGAAGAAGGGGAGAGAAGAAAGGGAAGGACAGAGGAAAGCGAGAGAAACGAGAGAGGAAAGGGAAAGAAGGACTGGATGGCTGGAAAAGAAAATCTTCTTCAAAAGAAAGTGGGAAGACTTTCAGGGAGGACAAACCAAGGCAAGAAAGGAGTCGTGGCCCCGAAAAGGCTGGTGGACCTGAGACCGGGGAGGGGGGGCGTCTTTCTCTCCTTGCGACGTTACCGGACCTGCGTATGAACGCTGCTCATACCTGTAATTTACTCAATTTACCGTGCCTGTCCGGGTTTAATTAATTAACTTCGAGGGGGGGGCGATTGGCCCACGGTAACGGAGAGCGGAAAAAGAAATCGAGGAATCCTGATCTTGGTCCTGGAAACGAATGGTCCATTTGGTTTAGTTTGCTCCATCCTGTAACACCTCGCCAATGGCCAACTTCTTGCTCATGCGTCTGCTGATTCGTTGTGCCTTCCTTTTGGCTCCTCTTCCTCCCCCCCCCTTCTTCCCCCGTCTCTCAGGCTCTCAGCAAATCCTGACCATTCATACCAAGCATAGGCTTCTGGTGCTTGTACTATGTATTCATTGCTCGAGCCGATGCAGCAGCTTGAATCGGACTAGATACTAACAACCACTCCCGCAGGCAACTTTACTCCGTATTTTTTGACTGTATCGAAAAAGTCTGGCCCCGTTTCTTCTGGTTGTGATGGTGAAGTGGGCTTCCCATTCACAACTCAAACGTCATACTACAATAGTCGATCTGACTTGTGAAATCTATGAACAACCCGGCATCATCCATTGGTGCCCCCCCGCCACCCATTCAAAACATCAGCATCTCACTGCTGAAACCATCAGGAAGTCGTCAACCACAACTGACAGGTGACTCCTCTAATGGAATGCGACTCGATAGATCACGGACATTCGTTGTGGCAGGTAACAATACTGACAAATTTAGCATCCTGCCGCTAGGAGGGGCCAGACCCCAATCGCGCATTGCTAGGGAGGTCCTGACTAATATTAGCATCCTATACCAGGAACAAATTATACATGTATCTCACTGAACCTGCGATGGCCTGTGTGATCTAGTGAGGTCGACTAATTATCTACAGTAGAATCTCCGGAGTATCTATGGAGGATATATTCATATTGCCAACACAGTATTGGCTTATCCCTTCGCTCCACCATCGATTTTGTTCGCCTATTATTTATCCCTTTCGCACTCAACCGCAGCCAAGTCAGCTTGCTTTCCATCGCCAGCAGCATGAGTGACACCACGAAGCTTCTAAGAATGCTAGTATCAAATTCAACAACACCTAGCGAGTCCGGTCGCTGTATAGTGGTCGATCTGAATTTATTGGAATCTGAGGGGGACCCGCTTTTCCTCCCAGTGCGGACTCGACTCCGTCCTCCCTCACAAGTCCTGTCCTTTGCCTGCCTTACGTTGGTATGCAGCGCCCTGTTCGCGTGTTGGAATTTCGGTCGCCTAGATGCCTTTGAGTTGCTTTTGCCTCTTGACACGTATGTGTGTAGCAAACGGCAGACGACTGAGGCGAATGCAAAAAAAAAAAAAAAAAGGTAAATCTTCTAACGGTCCATTCTGTGGCACTGCTATGATCCCCGTTTTCAGTTTGAACTCATTCTTGTTCTTGTTCTTTGACTTCCAAGATGAATGCGCTGGACCTCATGCCTGAAAACTCAATTCTCGTCTTGGCTTCAGGTACCGGTGGATACCGAATCATAACAAAACAATGTCTCGGGAAGCTAATAATAAAGTGGCGAATCGATGGCTCTGAGGGGGAGAGCATCACGTGTGTCTTACAACTATACGTAACACGGCTGTAACTCCCATACCCACTGTTAGTGGCCCCCACTTGGCCTGGCCACAAAGTACTCCGAGTTGCTGGTGCTGTAATTTCCAGTCGTCGTATCTTACATACCATACCGCGATAGAAATTGGCCGGCTGGATAAGATGATTAGACACTCCCGGCGCGGCCAGCCAGAGTCCAAAGCTGCTTGCCCATAGGCGCATTCTTCCCATGCTAATTTCATAGTGGCAATCACTCGAAACATCCATGATATGACATGATCTATAGCTGCCTCGCTGGGACTTTCAAAAGCGAGACAAATTCCATCCGAGTCTCAGATCTTGAACGGTTGCAGAAAGAGTCAGTCCGATTTCATGTATACACCCGGCTATGCGCTGTAAGGGATTTTCCGTCGTTCTGATCCTCTCACCCGTCACAAAAAGGAATAACGGGATGATTGATTACTTCCCTGCGAGGAGAATCCCGCGCGCATTATCAAAACCTGGCAAAGAGCGATCGCCGTGGTCGCTGCCACTATTGCTTGTTCTTTCTCGATCCGTTTAGAGTTCTTCAGCTATCAGACCCATTCCTACTCCACAACTATCCGTCGCAATAATAAGACTGCCCTGGGAGATAATCTCGCTCCTTAAGTGGCGCGAGACGCCCTTGCAACTGACTTTAATGAGATTTCCTATTTCTTGTTCGCGGTGGTGTTATATTCGGATGGAGTTGGTCGATTTTGCCTCTCAAATGATAATCATGTCGAACCTCGGCTTGGCCAAGGCAAGCTGCTGCAACCTCTTTCATTGCCGATGTTTCACTTCTGACGCTGCGTAATAAAGCGCATGTACTAATGAAGTAGCCGATAAATCTTACCACCGAGCACGTTCTCCCAAACGCCACTAGACGCGGGTGGCTGGAACCGGCTAGCACTGTTTTGCCTGATAAGGATTGAATATGGTCCCCCAGTCTGACGCATCCAGTATGACAACTTATGATGTAGAGGGGTTGGGAATGAATTGTTCGAGGACGGAGTATACTTTGTCTTTGACAGATCATTCAGCAGTGGCAATGAGGTCCAAAAGCATCGGAATGATTTTGGCGTTCTACAACTCCCAGGACATTTCATGATACACCCTCTTCATAAGATACTTTTGCCGAGCACTGCACATCATAACTCTCCCCTATCCATCATAACAAACCATAAATCATCCATCCCAATTACCCCCTATATCACGGCTAGAACGACCCAATCCTCTCACTAAAGCTTTAGCATCAAAACCCGTACTAGGGGACCGACCGGATCAGCTTGTCGGCATGGGACAACTCACCCCGACCATCATCACCATAGTAACCTAGCCCCAATACCGACTGACCCCCTTTTTCTTAGCCACAACCCCAATGATCCCATGATGTTCAGAACCTCAATGGGCGGGGCAAAAAAAGCAACATACGTATGCCTTCTCCTCCATCGCAAGAGCGAAGCTTTTTCTTTTCTCGGGATAAGATGCTCGGTATAGATGAACCGATGCTTATTTGTCTACGGGAGTACCCAATACGGGGTTTAATGCCCATTCGGGCAAAATATGATGGATGCAGTGGATGATGGGCATACTAACTTACAGCAAAAATCCACTCGCCGACCAGCGGAGGATTGTCGTTGCGCCCCCTTTAGGCATCGCTCAATTGTTGTTAGATAGTATTTACTTTACCTGGTGGACTAGACCTTACTTACCAATCACCTACCACGGATGAACATGTCATCCCATGGAACCGGCTTTCTCTAGGGGGGATCTATACCTTGGTACTTTGTAGGTTCACCACGCACTTCAACTGTCTGTGGAAGGTCCGTACGGAGTAGTCTAGTTAGTTGTTATCTACCTACCTAGTGGCTGGGCCACACTTCCCAAACTATTTTACCTACGTGGATGCACACAACGTCTTTTTTTGCCTCTAGATAAAAAATTTTTATAAAGATGACGCGCAAGCTCACTGCATTCGGTCGTTTCCGTCCGACTCTAAAGTCCTACTTACCCACCAAGTAGCCTAAAGAATATACACCAGTCATGTTAGCGATTTCGGTGATCTTCCGCATCTTATCATCATCGTGGGCCACCAGACCAACACATTGATCGTATCTTCTTCTATGGAATACGTAGTACTAGATAGTAGAGATGCCTGCGACCATCAGGATCAAAAGCCCTTACGAGTACAACATAGCATCAACCGGTGAAACATGGCCAATCGGACAGTTTCCTTTCAGATAAATGAAATCGCAACGTTTGGTGGAGGAGAAGTGATGGTGTTGATTGATGCCTACGGCCCTACACATCGCGAGATCCATAGTTAGTAGATTTTCTGGGTATTTTTGCTCCCCTCTTTTCCGGAGGATTCCATACCGGGTAAATATTCCACTTTCTCATTATTCTAGAAGAAGTGTCCGCGAACCGTGGATGGGGCTATTGCTACTACTTTGTACGTACATAATTGAGTGTGGATGGGAGAGGATAGTATGTATGGGCTGTAAGAACGAATGTATATTTTAACTTAGGAGATGGACTGCCCGGCACGAGACTTTCATGTTTGCAGTACGGAGTAGCTGCCACCAGTTAGAATCAGTACCAAAATTCCGCCATAATGATCATGATGTTCAGTCTAAAATATTTTGAATTATTATGATTTACAATCAACTCTTGGTTTCATTTCCTAGACTAATCATACCCAGAACCCATGATTCTGCAGGTTTACCATGTTACTCAACATACAGCGTGTCTAACTACGGAATGTCATATGACACAACAACAACAACTGATTCAACTGATTGAAGACCTCAAATTGGAGCGATAATGTTTCACATCTCTCAAATGCGGGGGATAAGCGAATACTACAACGCATGCAGAGAAATCCGCAACAGGAAGCGGTATGGAAAACTGACAAAGACAGGAAACCAACCAAGGTTGATTGCTAAGACAGCTTGCTGCTCGTGACTTCCCGAGCTTATGTACTCCATCCTCATCATAGTACTACTCCAACGATACGAACCACCATGACTGACCATGCTACCTACTAACAGCAGCAGCAATAATATCCTTACCTCAATCACTTTGAATACATATATCCTAAATCAAGATAGACGCTGCTGAACAGCGACTGACTCAATGATGACCCTACGACGCTCCGCTCGTCTAACCGCAGCGTCAGTTTCCAAGAACAACAGCACCACCACCACTGCTACCTCTGTCCCACATCTGCAACCCAGAACTCAAACAAAGAGAGCAGCCAGCAGAACCACAAACGGTGTCTCAAAGACACGAAAGCCCGCAGCAGCAGCAAGGGGCAAGAAAGCGCAGCTAAATGCGAATCCCAAGCTAGACCAAGCTTCTCCCCTTACAGATGCACCAACAGCATCATCATCGCGCTCAAACAACAGCAGACAATCACCTAATACTACCACTACCACTACCACCACCACTACTACTAACAACATCTGGGACCCCATCCCCACCCCCAGCAGCAGAACGACCCCTCCCCCACTCGACCGACCCGTCGAACCGCACCACACCAACGCAACGCTCCTAACCCCCCACGGCTCATCACTAGTCGCCTACCCCCCAGGCACAGATGCAGACGCCTCTCCAAGCAAGACAGGCCGGCCCCGTCCCACCGCCACAACAGGCACGCTTCTCGAGCAAGCAGCCGCACACCTGATCGCCACAGATCCGCGCCTCGAATCGCTCATCCGCGAACATCCCTGCCCATTGTTCACGCCGGAGGGTCTAGCCGAGGAGATAGATCCGTTTCGGAGCCTCGTTAGCAGTATCATCGGACAGCAGGTGTCAGGGGCAGCGGCGAAGTCGATTAAGGATAAGTTTGTGGCATTGTTCAATACCAATAATAATAAGGATGAAGATGGTGGTACAATAAGAGCAAGCTTCTTCCCCACCCCGGAAGATATCATCAAAAAGGATATCACCACGCTCCGGACAGCAGGTCTATCCCAGCGCAAGGCGGAATACATACATGGGTTATCGGAGAAGTTCGCCAACGGGGAACTGAGTGCCCGGATGTTGTTAAATGCTAGTGATGAGGAGCTCGTGGAGAAGTTGACTGCTGTGAGGGGTCTGGGTAAATGGTCTGTGGAGATGTTTGCTTGTTTTGCTCTGAAGCGCATAGATGTGTTTTCCACGGGGGATTTGGGTGTACAGTATGTTCCATTTCCCCTATCACCTGTGGACGGTAATAAGTGTGATGGGTAGATGCTGACTTATTGCAGGAGGGGATGTGCGGTGTTTGTGGGCAAGGATGTAAACAAGTTGAAGGGAAAGGGTGGCGGTAAGTTCAAGTATATGCCTGAGAAAGATATGTTGGAGCTGGCGGCGAAGTTTGCTCCGTATAGGTATGTGGTGTTCTTTGATTTCTTCAATGGTTTCGTTGTCTGACCGCAGTACTAGGAGCTTGTTCATGTGGTATATGTGGCGGGTGACGGACGTTAATATTGCTGTGTTGGGTGGGTAGATACTACTTGGTATATACGGACAGGATATAGATCCCGAAACATGCGATTGGTACAGTATGTAGAACTACTATATATACATTACTCGGAAGGTGTGGAACGTATATAGGTCTGCTACAGCCAACTAGAGAACGATGACGAGTGAATTTGTACAGTATCAGTACACGTGATTGAGCACCATAAATCAAAAGCTTCAATTAACGACCAGCCAAATGCTCTCTTCCCCCTCTCTTCTTCGCAGCATGCCCGCCGAGCCGAGCCGGGACAGCAAGTAGTTCTCTCTGATACTTAGTGATACCCGCCCGTCTATAAAACCCCAGCGGCATTTTTGTATACCGTAACAAAAGTAATCTAGTTCAGCGAAGCCATCAGAGGCATAATTTACCGTCTGACGACAAGGGCGTCGAGGTCTTCGCGCTCCTGCTTCTCCTTCTCGATCTCACGGATGATGGGGCTCAGGTACTCGACATCCTGGGGGACGACGACAGTTAGCATCCACCACATAATATAAGTCTCAAACGCGTCAAATAATATATCAGGAGCATCAATATATCAAGTCCAGTCAACATAAGCATCGATATGGAGTAACCCAGGTGGGTTACAAATCCCGCTCACGGGATTGGCCGATGCGTTTTTGCGGAGAAACTGAACGGGCAATTGACGGGTTGAAAGAACGCGGGATTTCGACTCACCTCCTCGGGCTTGGTCTGCTCAGCAGCGGGAAGGAGGGTGTGGGAGATGGAGCACTATTTTTGCGCATATAATATTAGTTTTTATGTTCTTCCGTATGTTGGGTTGGGCTTCGTTCGGTATGGGACGGACCTGGAATGCTCTGCGGATGCGGAAGACACGGTCGTAGGCCTCCTTGGGAGGGAGACGCTTGAGGGCCTTCTGGACAACGTCGTTCTCCTCGGGGATCAGGTCATCAGCCCTGGTTTGATTGTTAGTTGATGGCTGCAATGGAGGTATGGGTATGGGCTTGGTTCTTGATGCCCGGACCAGCGGGCGACGGCAGGAACATGATATGGATAGCCAAGTGGAGGGTGCTGATATATATATCCCTCCACAATTGAAATCTATCCATTGTCTTTCCAATCGATTCGTAGTCGCTGATATTGGTCCGGGAGAACCGCCCAGGAAGGTAAGGGAGTCGCCTACTTCAAGCCGAGTCTCCTGTAACCAGAGGCATCGGTGTACCACTGGGCAATGGGCATCATCCAGCGCTTCAGGAAGGGGCGCTTGACGATGTAGCTGGCGAGGGAGGGAGCGGACATGGTGAATGATCCCAGCGGGGTTGATCGGGTCCAATTGACGGGGTGGTGTGGAGGGGGAGGATCGCGAAATGTCAGTCAAGCTGAGCAGGAGATGGCCCGACGTTGGAGATTGTGCAAAACGGAGGTTCGGCGGGTGACTTTCCCAAAAACATCCGATGTTGATGCCTGAGGCATAAGGGATCATTCCGAGAAGTACAGTCAAGACTGTCTTCCACGTGACCGGCTCAGCTTGCGCCATGTGTGTGTGCCTCAGGCCAAATAAGCGGCGCGCTTGGAGGCGGACAAGATTCACTCATTCCCGAACTCCACTCCACCTGACTGACTGGAATACGACTAAGACAATCCCTCCAGCTCAATTCATCCCGTCCTCATTGCTCCGTCCTGTTCCGTCTGCTTCCTCTTAACACCGGCGCTCCCTTCTGTTCGGACTTCACACCGACGGTCTTTGATTTAATACTTCGGTTTGTACTCACTGGGCATGCCGCTTATTATCAATCCGTTGAACATTTTTCTTAGTTCGATTCCCTTTCACTCCGATAGGGGAGCTGCGTTGCTCCTACAGACCCCGCCCCGTCTGTGCTTCAGATAGGCCAACCTTATTACGCCCACTCCTCCCGGCAGCATCGGCTCCTCTCTGAGAAAGAAAAACCCTTCAATTCACTGTCTCAGGGTAGTTTTTCCTGTTCTACCATCGCCCCGAACGACGTCACGCTTTCCTCCCCTCTCACCACGATTTGACACACGGGTTATTTTTGGGTTCCGGAGCGAGCACCGATATGCTCGGATCCGGGAACCCTCGGTGACATAGTAGACGGATTGCATACTGCTTTGAGCGCTGGCTGGAAAGATGTTCTCTGAAGGCCATGGCCCGTCGGGGGCTGCCAGCGGCTCTCAAGAGCAGCAGGGTACAACTTCGGACAGCCCGCCATCGTCTACGCTTCATGTATCGGCCGAGTCTCCGCCCCAACCTACTTTCCTGGATCGCTTCGAAATGCTCGCTACACGTGTGCCGGATTATTACATCACACCGTTTTGCGGGGCCAGTGCGGGCGTCGCCTCGGGGATAGTTACCTGTCCTCTCGATGTGATCAAGACCAAGTTGCAGGCTCAGGGTGGATTCGCGCGACGACGTGGTGGCAAGACGGTCGAGGCTAAGACACTGTACCGGGGAATGCTGGGAACTGGACGAGTAATATGGCGGGAAGATGGTATTCGAGGCCTTTATCAAGGATTGGGTCCTATGCTCCTGGGATACCTGCCGACGTGGGCGGTCTATTTAGCGGTCTATGATCGGTCTCGGGAGTATTTCTACGAAACAACAGGTGAGGAGTGATAATCAGGGGTTGATGATGGGAGGGCTGACCTTGAAATAGATAGTTGGTGGCTTTCAAGAGGTTACGCCTCGATAACGGCGGGCGCTTGCTCGACACTTGCGACAAATCCGATATGGGTGATTAAGACACGACTTATGTCACAGAGCCTCCGGTCAAGCAGCGAAGGCTACCGGGCTCCGTGGCAATACAAAAACACTTGGGATGCGGCCCGCAAAATGTACAGAAGTGAAGGAATCCGTTCGTTCTACTCCGGCCTGACTCCAGCGCTGCTGGGACTGGCGCATGTGGCCATCCAGTTCCCTCTCTACGAATACTTGAAGATGGCATTTACGGGCTATAGTATTGGCGAACACCCTGATACTGGCAGCTCACACTGGGTGGGCATTACATCCGCGACATTCCTGAGTAAGGTTTGTGCCAGCACTGCGACATACCCACATGAAGTGCTTCGGACACGACTCCAAACACAGCAGAGGACATCACCGGCGTCCTCACCCGAAGAGATCTCGTTCCGCGGCGGCATGGATCACCCCCAGGGTCATAGCAGGCCCCCGGGTGCGGCTTCGTCGGACGGGATGCCCAATCGACCCCGGTACACGGGGATCATTCGCACATGCCAGACCATTCTGAGAGAAGAAGGCTGGCGTGCATTCTACTCTGGGATCGGCACGAACCTGTTCCGGGCAGTCCCGGCTGCGATGACTACCATGCTCACTTACGAGTACTTGAAGAAAACAATTGGACACGTGCAACATGAGGGGGAGTTGAAGCTGCAGAAGCTGGAGACCGCATCAGACAATGGAATTTAATTACTAGATGGATGGTCTGTGACGAGGTGACGAGCCATGGGCATCGCACCTGAGCTGGGATTTTATTGCACCCTAGCGATTTTATTTCTGTTCCGTGCTAGTCGTACATCGCGAAGATACACTACTATAGAGGACATTCATTTCCTGGGCTGCAGCCCATGATATCCTGTCTGCACGTTGTTTTGATCCTTTCGACACATCCTCGGCACAGCCATACACCCCTGTGGAGTAGGGGTAGATGTATGATGTGCTGTTGACATGTGAAACTCCAAACAAACTAGTCTTGTTCTGAGTTGTTGAAATCCTTGGTGGTTATGGTTCTGAGCGTTCTTGTCTTTTTTCCCCCCGGATCGATAAACCTCAATTGCGATTGTATATACATACAAATCTTCCCTCTAGAACATATGTTCCGTAGTAAGATAAATAGCATTCAACAATTCCAAATAACAACTCAGCCAATCTAATGAAAATAATCTGGGGGGCATTACATCCATCATCCATGCACGCAGCTGCATTCCCCCTCTCCGTCCGTTTCCCACATGACTGACATCAGCGGGAAAGTCACGTGATAACCACACTAAAAACCACCGGCGAAATTCTCTGTGCGGTTTGTTTCCTTCCCACCAACCATGGCTATAATGAAAGCCATATTAACCGACACTGTTGGTTGATATCATTCTTCTATCGCGCAATAATGTATTTGTGCTTATGATGATGGTGATGATTGATGCATATTCGACTTGCTATTCTTTACGATTGGATTGTTTTGTTTTTTTCTTGTGTTGGTTGTTATTATCATCTGACTCCATTTATATGATGAATAATTTTTAATGGTAGATCTCGTTATCCGCCATGGATATGGGATATGATCATTGATACACTGAAAATTCTGATAATGGATTAATTTGATATGATGTTGATGTGTTGTGTTTGTGGTGTTGATATTAGCCATCTCATATCAGATTGTTATGTGTGCCGATTTACTGCAATGAATATTTGAGAAAATGTCCCAGACATGAAGCAATAAGTTTTACTAGTATATACAACGCGTATTTCTAAGATTTACACTCAGTTCTGCCCCAGCTGAATCACTTCTTCTCCCCCTCTCGACTCTCTTCCAGTGCCTGCTGTACCCATGAAGACTGCGACTCTGCCTTCTTAGTAGGTCGGGGCGTCGTGGTTGCGGTGCTTGATGTGGATTGCGCCTCGCGACGAGCGGTGTGGATGGATTTGATGCAATAAGAGCCAAGTAGGAGGGCCATGGTGAAGGCGGCTATTGGGGCATTGAGGGACTGTTCATAGATAGTATGTTAATTACTAAGGTAAGTCGAATGGTGATCATCCAGAGTGTGTGCTGTTCAATAGAAACCGAATATATACTTTCGCAGCAACTGTCATGGGATCAAACCAGCAACTACTACCACTACTAATAATTGCAAAGGAACAAGAAGATAAAAAGAGTGACTCACGCCCGATGATCGGCCAAGTGTCTTTCCGGCCATGGTTTACGTTCTTTCTTTCTTGTAAAAAGGAATTTGACTGGTGGCCAGGAAGATACGCTTTTCGACCAAAGTCATCCGGGATAACTTAACCCGTCTAAGTAAACAAGTAAGCCAAGCAAAGGTTCTTACTAACTAGAATGGTTCTAGAGCAAACTGCAGGGTGTGAAAGAAAAGACACATGCTCGGGCCGGAATAATCCGATAGGGAAAGGAAGGAAACATTATCAGATGGAGGGCGAGCAGATAAGCCCATCCTTACGATACCAGCCGCTGCTCTGCTCCGTACCGCTTGGTAATGCCCGCCTGCAGAACTTCCCGTTGGCCGAAACTGCCGGTTCTTCTTCTTGGTTAAGAACCGGCGGACCCAGAACTACAACTCCCGTCTACCCTTTCAGTTGTAGGCCACAGAACTGGCATTCCATCCTCCCCCAACAACGATTCTTCTGGTAGAACGTGTCATCCCCTGTTATTCAATCAGATAGCTTTTCCATCCACGGGTATTCCAGACAAGTAACAATACACAGCATACTTACCTCTAATCCCACCCACTGGTTCGCTTTAACGTCATACCCTATCTCCGAGGCCGGCTCCGCGGAGGCAACGGGGTTTCTCGAAATCGCCTAGCGCCGGTGAATAAGACGGCCTTAGTCAAGTTTCCCTCCCCCCCAAAGAAACCATAATTAATCAATCGCAACTATCAATCTTTCATCACACCCTACTCTTCCTAACTAACTTAACCACTCAACCCCGACATCACCACTCATCTGTCCCTTTCATCATCAATTTACTGTCTAATCAATACCTTACTTTTCTCTTAATTCACCACACACATCACATACACAATGTTCCGTCGTCTAGTAACAGTTGTTCCTCGCTCCGGCGTCCTTTCGCCTCGCAGCGTCACCCCGGCCGTCTCCGGAATCCAGCAAGCTGTGAGGTCGACTGTTGTTGCTCCTCAGCAGCAGCAGCGCAGAGGATACCATGAGAAAGATATGTCTACCCTTTATCCCTTTTTTGGCATCGAAGAAAATACTGACCATCCTTGCACTGTTGGACCACTACTCCAACCCAAGTAGGTAGCTTCCTGCATCCATCCCTCGACAAGATGTCATCGCATCAACATATACAACACGCAGCGCATTCAAATCACGCTTATCAGACACACACGATAAAAATTTGGAATGAATATTAACGAACATTCTGTAGGAAACGTCGGCTCCATGGCCAAGTCTATGGACGTTGGTACCGGTCTCGTTGGCGCCCCGGCCTGTGGCGATGTCATGAAGCTTCAGATCCGTGTCGACAAGGACAGCAACAAGATCAGCGACGTCAAGTTCAAGACTTTCGGTTGCGGTAGCGCTATTGCCAGCTCGAGTTATCTGACTGAGTTGGTCCGCGGAATGACCCTCGACGAGGCCGCTAAGATCCGTAACACCGATATCGCCAAGGAGTTGTGCTTGCCCCCTGTCAAGCGTACGTTTCCCCTTGTTCCTGGAGATGAGAGCGCTGAAAGGATCTGGGAAAGAGATGATAAGATCTAACATATAATTCTAGTGCACTGCTCCATGCTTGCCGAAGACGCCATCAAGTCCGCCATCTCGGATTACTACACCAAGAACCCTCGCACCGTGAAGACCGACCTGTCCGGCACGGGCGCCTCTATCCCTGAGGTGCAGGTGGAGGTTGAGAAGACCAGCAGCGCTACTGCTTAAGTGTTTTACGAACGAGTGAAAAATCTGAAAAACTCATAAAAAATACGGAGCAAAAATGGATACGGATACGGATACAGATACCATGATTGATTCCCTGGAGAGAAGAGCGAAGCAGAATGATACAATGGAGATGTGACTGTGTATGGATTTGGCCTGTGGTGGAGTGGAGTGGAGTGGAATGGTTTGGGCCGAATATGTGATTCCCACAAAATAACCTGTTTGTTTGTCAGTCAGTCAGTCAGTCTGGATTGGATGGACTTTTTTTCCCTTTCGTTTCGTTTATTAAACGGTGTATAGCATTTCATTATTCTTTTCTTTCCTTTTCATGACTCGTTTTACTTTACTCATTGTGTTTCCGGCGAAGCAACTAAAGAAGGGATTGATTATTCGGATATATACAACATCATCATCAATCACAGTAGTACAACTACACAATAAGATGTACTCCTCTCTGTCTATCGAGATGAATGTAATCATCACAACGTAGTATATACAGTAGATAGATTGATAGAAACCCATCGAAACAAAGAGATAGTAATAGTAGAAGAGTGGTTATCTGATTCGCCACCTCCACCCATCAACTCAGCCAGCTATGGCTGGCCACTGACATCATGCAGCACAGCACAGCACAGATAACTTAGAGTAACACAAAGAAGGAAAAGCCCCATCTGATAAGCACCTTAGCATAGCCACACAGTAGTTAAGCTCTAACTACTATGACAGTAGTCTGTGCGTGAAGTATCTAACAAGGTACGCACGCATGCATGCAACGATTAGATCTGATAAATTCTGCAGATGTGACAGATTTATTGATTATATTAGTGTACTACTAGTGTTGATTTGATTATTTCGTCTGAATTGGGAGTGATGTGCAAGGGGCGTTGGCTACCAAGGTACCTTACCTACTACTTATTTTATCTATCTTACCATTGAACTTGAATACTGGGTACCGGTTTATGTACTATCTAGTACCTAAGAGGATTATTTCGATTTATCGATTTAGGGAGTAGTAGCTATTGTATATATCTTATAGATATAAGGTATCTAGTATATAAGAGATAGCAAGATAATGAAATGAAAATTCTATATATATGTATAAAATACAGACAGAGCACGGCTTTCTTTTCAAGAATCCAGATAACTGAAACAGACAAACGATGTGAGAGAAAAGTCAAGTCTAAACTGACGATATCAGGTGGAAAAAGCTGAAAGGTAAAAAGGAAAAGGTAATGGAAAAGAGAAACGCCAATGCACAACACCGCATGCATATGCCCTCTATATCGATATCGATCAATTACTGCGTAGCAGGGAAGTCCAACCAAAGGATAAGGTGAAAGGGGAAAAAAGAAAGTAGAGAATAAGAAGAGAAGAAGGAGAATATACAATCACTCAAACCAACCCGAACCGACTCTTCAACGAAAGCAACGTCTCATAAACAGACAACTTCAACTCCACGCGCAGATATCCAGTCCAAGCGCAGAGGAAGCGCCAGAAGTTTCCAGGACGGAGGATACCCCCGGTCTCATTGACAGAGTCCATTTGCTCTTCGAAGACGGTGCGGGTGGCGTAGCGGGCGAGAATGAGGAAGGTGCGCATAGGTCCTTGGCGGGTGTGGAGGTTCTCGTCGAGACTGCGGGCTATTTTTTTGACATCATTGGTTAGAGGCAGGTAGATAAGAAGGGGAGGGAGGTGTGGGACTGACTCAGATCGTTGGTCTTGAGGATCAGTAGAATAATCCGAGGTACTTGACCTAGGAGTTCGACTAGTTGTTGCAGCAGACCGTCGGCCAAAGAGCCGGACATGCTCTCTCGTTCTGCTGAGGTACGAGCAGACACGATATCCTTCTTCTGGAGAACCATGTAGTCGCGGCCCGTGATGGCACTGGCGAATAGCGGGAACTGCTCATCTGTGATTCCGGCAACCTTGCGCGCGTACTCGCGCATGCGCGGCAGGTCGGACTCAATCACAGCCAGCCAGAGCTTGGCGTAGTTGCGGCGCAGATCCTTGTCGATGTCGCGGTAGAGACCGTGGTCGTAGAGGATGATGTCGAAGTTGTGCCGGCGGCGGTTGGGGTTCGGACGGATGGCGATGTTGCCGCCGTGAGGATCACAGTGCAAAGGTGCGTTGTTGCCGAAGATCATCTCGTTGAAGATGTGTGCCAGAGCAGCGGAGACTTCGTCGCGGTCAATATTGTTCGAGTCGAGGAATTCAAGGTCGTCGGGACGTCGGCCGGAGATGAACTCCATGACCAGGATACGCTTTTGGGACCACATCACTGGATAATGTTAGTATACACCTGCTGTGTAAAGGCGGTTGTAATTGATGAGGCATACCTTCAGGGATGACCAACGGGGCATCCGAGTGCTTCTTGAAGTACTCGCTCGCCCGCGTGGCATTCTCCGCCTCCATTCGGAAATCCAGCTCCTGGGGCAGAGACAGGTCCATTTCACGAGAGAGCCATTCCAGATCGTATTCAGGGAAGAACCGCTTGAGCATCGAAAAAGTAAACCGAGTCAAGGCCAGATCCAGGGGCACCCACTCCGCCAAAGCGGGATGCTGCACCTTGACCGCAACCTTCTGACCTGTTTCCTTCAGCGTACCAATGTGCACCTGCGCCAAAGAAGCGGCACCAATAGGCTCGGAATCGAAGGACGAGAACAGCTCGTCGATACGGCGTCCTGTATCGGCCACGAACATTTCCTCGATCGATTCAATCGATGACACGGGGCACTTGTCCTGGAGCGGGATAAAGGTTGTAGTCCATTCCGACGGAAGCAGGTAGCCCATGCTACTCAAATGCTGTCCCAGCTTGATAAAGATCGATCCATTCTTCTCGAGAACCCGTAGAGTCCGTTCCGCGCAACGTTTGTGACAGGCCCGAATGGCTTCGCTTCGCTCCTCCGGCGTGGAGGTTTCTTGCTTGAGAGTTACCCGGTAGCTGTATGAATCAAGACGTATAAGTATACCAACAGCATAGCCTCAGGGGTATATATGTATGCTTCCCACTTACTCGTTAATGCAAACCGCCAGTGTGCCAACCACTCGGCCAGTTCTCGCAGCGGCACGGTAGAAGTGTTGAACTTGGTCCGAAAACACCACTGCTCCAACCACGAGGGTGCCTCCAATCACAGCATACTTGATGGCCTTGCTGCGCGATTGACCGGATCCCGAATGCTTTCCATCATTCTGTCCCGAATTCGCCGATTCAGACAACGCAGACGTGCGGGTGGCGTAAGTGGCCCGGGGAATCGACTGGGCGATACGACCGGAGAAGCGCTTCGAGCATGATGCAGGAGGTGTAGCAACCGAGTTGGAAATCAACCGACGGGAAATCGAGGACGACGGGGCGAAATTGCCAGGGTGGCAGGCGAGAGAAGGCTTCGCAGCCGATCGTATGACCGCCGCAGGATCAAAATTGGAAGCCCGCAGCGGAATGCGGAGGAGCGCCGCCCTCATCCCGAACTCGAACAATGCCGTCTGGGGAGCGACCACAAGTCGAGAACAGCTGTCAATCGGACGGCGTGGATCATCCGTGCCAGCACGAAGCCCTCGAGGACAATTGTAGGGGGAGGAGGAAAGTCTGCAGGAGGAGGATGAGGAGGGAGGATGCGGCGGAGAAGTTCACTGGTTGGCCGCCGCGGCGCATTTTCGTCGCACTTCTGCATCGGAAGCCGATCAGCCCCGTTTGGCCGCCACTTCGGGATTGCCCTTACAGTGTATATCAATTATAATCACTCAACTGTAAGTCAGTAATAATTTCTACTCAAAGTTCGAAAAGAAAAAACATAAAATCGCACTCGTATGTTATCCATGATTATCTACATGGGCCATTTTCCCTCCCTGACAGTTCCGTCTTCCTGTATCCCGAATACCAGCCTGAGAGAGATCCCATCTCCGCCTGAAAGCACATCGACAAATGAATGTGTATACACAGTCAAAGCAATTCACAAACAAACCCAGTACTCCAATCCTATGCAATGCAAATACTATGTATCCATCTACTTCCACAGTCTCCTGTCTACCCATGAGCCAATCACCGTACCTTGGCCCAGCATGAGGTTCATTAGGACGCCCAGTCCGAATCAGCATGCGTGGGTCGTCGGCGCTGAGGAAGGATGGAACGTCGACGGGACAATGAACTCGACGGTCGAGTCTCCTCCTCGGCCAGGAGCTCTACTTGTGATAGCCTGTTAGCCACTCCTCGCGACAGTCTGTTCCTCGATGGGCCGGCACTGCTGCTGAGCCCAGCTGACAGAGCGGGGCTAGTGCCATCTCTGCTGCCTGGTCGTAATGCCAGAGCCGAGCTGCTGAGAGAGGGCCGCGGGTGTCGTTGGCTTTCCCGTCCATCGAAATAAGCCTTGGGTTGGTTGAACCGGTTGATCTGTGGTGTGGCTGGGGCGGACTGGTTCGCAAGGTAGCCCGGGGGCGTGGTAGACGTGCTCTTGCGCCTCATCCCAGGCTTGCGCTTCTCGAGGCTGAACGATTCACTGCGCTCATTGGATTGGATCAGCTTGCCAGCCATGTCTCTGACCAGGATGGCCGGGTCATGCTCTAATTCCCGGATTGCTTCCAAAAGTCCATATTTCGCAAGAAGGCCACCTTGTTCTTCGCTCGAATCGCAGATGCTCGAGATAATACGCAGGAGGTTCAGCCGAACAGCGGCCTTGTTATGATGTAGTTTCTGCCCTAGCCTCGTGAAGAGATCAGGACGCGCAAACGTCGAGGCAATAGGCGGACTCAGTCTCAGAAGCTTTTGCAGTGGCTCGAGAATGTTCTCGAAGGCGTTCGCCTTGGAAATCGTTAAGCACCTGACAATGGAATCCGTGAATGACATCTTGTCGTAGCGATTATCCAAGAGGTGTTCCTCTACCTTGGCCGTTTCTTCCTGGAGCCTGCCAAAGAGTTAGATCGGTTTGTCACTACACATGGCGCTGACACATACCAAGTAAATATAGCATCCAATGCGGTCACCTGCCAGTACGGGTCCGACAGCAGAGAAATGTAGAAAGCCAGACCCTTGTTGCGCCATAGTTCGCGCCGTCCCACCTTTCCTGAATGCGCCATGTCGCAAAGAATCGGCAACGCAAACTCTTTGAGCGGCCGCTCGGTCTTCACAATCTTCTGAAGAAGCGGTACTATGCCATTCAGAGCAGCATCCTCCTGGCGGGACTTGTTCAGACGACACATGTTGTAGATAGTGTTGAGAATCTGGTTGCTGACTTCCCGGAAGTGCGGCCGTTTGATGGTCGACCTCAACAAGTCCGTAAGCACGTCAATGGCGTTGGAGTTCTGGAGCGAGTCGAGAGTTGTTGAAAGCATGGACAGATTCTTGATGAACTTCAACATAGTGATCTGGTGTGCGGGTGTCATCCGCTTCAGCTCTTTCAGGACCCCTGAGAC